GCAACCGCGCGTGCAGAGCAACAGCGCGGAGCAGGGCGCACGATGCACGAGGCACGAAGCACAAGGCACAAGGCACAAGGCACGAGGGCGCAGGTAGGTAGGTAGGTAGGTAGAACAAACGAACACAGGCAAAACAAACAAATACACGAGCAAGACGAACGAACACGGAGCGGGCTAGAAGCGACACATACAGCACGAGAGGAACAAGACTGCGGGTGACAGGAAAAGGAGGCGGCTGCACCGGGACCAGGAGCGGCGTCGCATGCAGCTGCAGGGTTGGCTGCTGCAGTGGCGGGCGGCTCCAGTGGCGGCTGCTGCTGTGGCGGGCGACTCCAGGGGCGGCTGCTGCAGTGGCGAGCGGCTCCAGGGGCGGCTGCTGCTGTGGCGGGCGACTCCAGGGGCGGCTGCTGCAGTGGCGGGCGGCTCCAGGGGCGGCTGCTGCAGTGGCGGGCGACTCCAGGGGCGGCTGCTCCAGGGGCGGCTGCTGCAGTGGCGAGCGGCTCCAGGGGCGGCTGCTGCTGTGGCGGGCGACTCCAGGGGCGGCTGCTGCAGTGGCGAGCGGCTCGAGGCGCGCCCTGGCCTGGCGCAGTCCGTACGGGCCGCGCGCGGGCTCGGCGCAGCCCGTACAGGCCGCGCGCAGGCTAGACGGGCCGCGCGCGGGCCCTACGGAGGTCGCTCGGGCCACGACGGGCGACGGGGGGCGACGCGCGGCTCGCCGTCGCCCGTCGCAGCTCCTCCCGGGGGCGACTCGCGGAGTGACGGGGCAGAAAGCCGCCGCGCGCCTCGGGGCGCACGGCGGGCAGAAAACCGCCGCGCGCCTCGGGGCGCACGGCGGGCAGAAAACCGCCGCGCGCCTCGGGGCGCACGGCGGGCAGAAAACCGCCGCGTGCCTCGGGGCGCACGGCTGGTAGAGAACCGCTGTACGCTCCGAGCGCGCGGCGGGATGAAAAATTAGGGTTTGGCCGCCGCGCACCACGGGGCGCGCGGCGGACAGTACGGCAGCGGAAGCAGGTGGTGGGCCCATACAGGAAGGCGGCAGGAACGTGCCTGCTCTGAATACCATGTCAGGAATACTAGGAGTGGGGCCTAGGCTTAGTAGCCTAGGCCCACACTAGGAGGTAGTAGGTTGTGCCCTAGGACTAGGGTTTGTGGTATACGAAGGAGAATTGTGAGAATGGGAATGATGATGAACTAGCAAGCAGCAGGATACATATAGGAAACCCTAAGGGGTTGTACTCACTATTGAGCACCCCACTGCAGGCTAGACAATAACATTCTGACAAACAGTGGACTATGTATCTTCACCCTGGTGGCTTAATGGTTCTCTCAATTCGTATGTTGTGTGACCATACTGATTTAGTGAATAATTTGTACGGGGTTTTTTTTCATTCTGTGTTGATTGAAGATGGTTCGTCTGTGCTTTCAAAGAATATAACTACAACGATTTTGAGGTCAACGATGCTACTATCAGTAGATGATCGTCACCAGTTCGACATGCTCTCTAAGATGTACATTCCTTTATTCACGGTTGGGGATGTACTTGGATAAGGGAAAGGTCCCCAGCAGTACATAGCTAGCTAAGTCTTGTCGTCATCCCGGTTCTCATATTTATATTTGCATGTTTGAATATTCTCACGCATTTTAAAGCCACACTGATATTGAGGTCAAGGGCCCCACCAATATTACTTTCCTGTCATCGAACCTTCCAGAGAAGATACAAGGTGACGATCAACTTATAATTTACCTTCACCAGAAATAGGGATAAATTCTGCGTACAACTTGAATATAATTCCTCGGTCACTCGCTATACCGAGCGCTTACTAAACCGAACACGGACTGGCTGGCAACTTCGCGATACTGACGTGCTAGTGGTAGCTGAGTGGTGGCCGACCTAGTGTACAGTATTCCAACTCCCGTTATGTGAATGTCCCGAAAGGTCCCCCAAGGACCACACTTGTCATTCACGGATTGCATACTGCGCCTTTACTATGGTTTGACCCGCGTCTTTCCGTTTCGGCGCGGAATGGCAAGAGTGAGGCGGTTGAATGAAGGTGCACCCACTTTTCGTCCGCCCTTGTGACGGGGGTTCTACACCCGCGTGGTGGATCCCTGGTGAGCCAATTGTGATTCTGTCAACCAATCCCTATCACTCCCGACCATCCAGGCAGTTGGGCATCGCGGAACACCCACCGTGCCTCCTCGTTCCGTGTGGATATTTACCCTCGTGACTTTCTGGCCCGCTCCTTTTTTGGAGTACTATGCAAGGATAAATAAAAAATACATGCAAACAAGATGATATGAAATAGAGTACAGGGGAAGATCATACGACCTAACTAGCCATGTACTCTTAGGGGTTCATTCCCTCAATCAAATTCATCCCCAGCCGATCGTAGTTGTCGTCTCAACTGTCGCCGCCGGGATCGTTTGTCCAACGGCCATTAGGCCCGTTAGGCCTCCGGATCTTCTGGCCATCCTGTTCTTAGATCGCTTGCTGCCTGCCAGATCTTGTTGTGGCGCAGATCGTTTTTCCGCAGAAACTTTCGTTCCATGTTGAATTTGATGTTCGATATTGCAAGGTACGCGTCGTTCTTGGTGTTTCGCATTTGACCTCCCGGAGAAGTAGTACACTCGGGTAGTACTGCATGTGAAGTAGTACTAGCTGAGAAGTAGTACGCTCGCATGCATACATTGGGTTTATATAGAAATACAGATCACCTGGACACTCACCACGTCACCCTTACCACCTCAAACTGTTTGGATCATTTTCCTTTGTAGGGTATTTGGGACGGGTTGGGGTTCATGTACATGGTTAGGGGGGTCACCCGCTAAAATCGCGCGCTGACTAAACCGAACACTTCATGGCCGTCAACTTCGCGATGGTGACATGCCAGTGACAGCTCATTGGTGCCCGACCTAGTGTACTGTATTCCAGTTTCCGTCACGTGAAAGTCCCGTCAAGACGACACTTGTCATTCACTGTTTGGGCGCTTGGCCATTACTATAGTTTGACCGGCGTCATTCTGTTTCGCGTCGGAATGACGAGACTGTGGCGAAAGGTTCAAGATGCGCCCTCTTAACGCACGGCCATGTAAAGTGGGTTCTACACCCGCGTGGTGGATCCCTTGTCAACATTTCGTGAAACGGTCAACCAATCCGTTGCAGTTGGGCATCGCGGAACACACTCCGTGCCAGTGCGCAACGTGTGGATATTTACCCTTGTGACTTACTGGCGCGTTCCTTTTTGGGGGTTGCCCAATGAGCACTAGAAGTGTCTGACAAAAGGGGATTGTGTAGCCTTCCCGTAGCTCGTGTTTCATTTCATTGTGATAGTATGGGTTTCGTACACATGCCTCGACTGTTGCATGTAGTGTATCCCTTCGGGGATACTGAACGTACCGCCACAGCTCTCACTAGCGATTCACGAGTGTTTCACTTATACGTGGCGAGCGTACTGTGAGTACAAACTTCGGGAAGAAGACTGTATGGCCCGTGCCACGTGGGATGTTCACGGAATGCTTAATGTGCTTTTGCGGGATGATGATGTGTTGTTGGCGGGTATCGCGTGAGGCATTTACATGGACATGCTAGTTGCCCCGCTCTCCTTTGACTAGGGGCTGACGGAACACACACTGCTGATTTGCGCTACTTCGTAAGGGTCTTGCTCTTCCCTTTCTGGTATTTACTCTTGCTTCGCTATTAAGCGATGATTCGGAAAGAAAACCATTGTTGATGTTGTCAGTTGCACGTATGGAGCAGTCACCAATTCACAATGGCACTCTATGCTAGATGCTGACGACTTACAAACACAAGGAACGAAACACGCAGAGGTTTTTCCGACTAGTAGAGAATTCAAGTGCAAACGGAAGGCCTAAATGTGTCCCTAATCACACCCGCACATTGCCACGCTGAACACCGTGAGGTTTGTTTGTACAAACAAGGAATGTAACACGCACAGGCCCAGCCCCGATAATTGCAACATTCCACAGTCTAGGGAATGCCTGAATGGGTCCCAAAACACACGCGCAAATATTTAATAGAGCCATGCACTATGCATCCTTTGATCCCGACCCCACCTGTGTTATAGTCACAGTAGGCTCCAATAGGCTTCAATGTGCCTAGAGCCAAAGATAGAGTGCGCAGTCAGATTTCTGCACAGCGGCTTCAAACGTTCATAGCGATCTGGTCACAGCTCCAATTGACCTCATTCAACTTGGATCTGGAGCGTCTTAACGTGCCCTACAATAGGCAATTTAGATCGCACGATTTCATCAAGTATTGACGACACAGCGTCAGATTGAACGAACGGCACTATGGCAGCAACATAGTCTTAGAACACAAGTTACGAACAACTAGGAAGAGTTGCGAGTTGGGAAGGACTCCCAGCTCCTACAAACCCCAAGAACCGAGCTACAGTGATGGGGAACAGTGCCACACTGTCCCCAACCAAGAAGGGTCTCGAAACTACCCTCCACAAGGGCCTACACCCATAGAAATGTTACACTACAAATTGTAATGTAACAATCTTCAATATCTTGAGGTGTAGCCTTTTGGCGAGCTTCGAAAACACTTGAAGCTTGAACCAAGGCTCGGGTTCTTCATCACAAAACTCATCCTTGAGTTCTTGATGGGTCTGCTGCAAACACCTGCGACACGCCGAACGTTCAACAAGCGACAAAATAGAAACCGCGCACGACAAAATAGAAACCGCGCGGGACACACAAAATGACCGCGTTACACGCGACTAGCGATAACTCGCTATAGACTTGACACACACACTCGACATTATGACCCATCATTCACACACCATTATAAGCATGAAATATATATTTATTTCATGCACTCATACCACTCCATGCACACACGCATGCACACACACACACACGCACACGGACAACAAGCCGAGTGCAAACCGTAGGGTTGCACCAACAACCTGGTGAGTTGCAGTCTCATCGCCGGCGTCTCTTTCGGCTTCAGCTCGCGCCCTTTTGTTGGCCCGTGCATCATCCTCCCCCAGGCTGGCCTTTATCGCAGCCCTCTTTTCTTCGATCTTGCGCATTTTTGCGTCCCACTTCGCCTTCGCTGCAGGCCAATACTTCCTCCACTCCTCCCACATGTGCCAGAACCTCATCCGGACCATCACCTCACACTGGTGCACCGTGCACCCTCTGAGCTTGTCCTTGTCGGCGGCTATCAAGGGAATGAGGTCCCCACGTGTTGGCTTGTCAACGAACATCACGTGGGACGCAGCAGCTATTGACCTTGCCGCCGCCTCCTCAGACTCAAAGTGGCTGTTGATGACGATCAGCGACGTTGATGCACGGTCTAGGATGATCCGACCGATCCACTCGTCCTTGTCCTCCTTCTTTGTGACGCCCGTCCACCCCTTGGTGCTGGGCACCTCACCGTTCCCCGCTCCCTGGGTCGTGGGCACCATGGACGATGAGACTGCAGGCGAGGGCAGTACTTGTTGGGACCCCTGTATGGAACCGACGAGCATGGTCGACAAACCAAAACCACGGGACTCGGATGTTTGACCACGGTGGCAGCTGGTATTGTCGAGCACCTCATCAGCGGCGAGGAATTTAGCAGGCTGATGCAGCGGGGGACGAAGGGTAGACAGGGGCAGTTGCACGAAGTCGTTAGGCTGCCCAGAACCGGGGCATACGGCGTGGGCAGGGGCTTGTGCATGGCCAATCGGCCATGAATGTGCGGCGGATGCTGAGGAGGCCGGCGGAACAGCACCTGGATGCTGCGCAAACCCCACCGGAGATGGGGCGGGTACACCCTGCATATGCGCACCTGGGGGAAAGGCAGAAGGGGCGAAAAACTGTTCCCCAGATGACCATACAGACGAACCCCTTTGAGGAGCAGATGCCCTTGCAGTGTTTGCCGCCGCATCCGACCCGTGTGCTCCATGGAGTTGGACACCTCGGTGAAACATGGTGAGAGCCGTCGGGGGTCCCACTAGGTCCCAGGCGTCGTTTCGGGGCTGATCCACAGCTGCTTCGAAAGGCCTCCCCGAAGCTGCTTGAGCCCGTGCCTCTACGCCACGGGCCCAAAGAGTCGTACCGGGCGCGTATGACACTGGATGCATCATGGTCGCGTCTTTCACAGCATGAGCAGGCGTCGGTGCAACGCCTACAGCACCTGTCTGTGACTCGGGCACTGACGGAACACCATGGCCTGCAAGACGCTGACCAGTCGCTGCTGTACTTGTTCCGGCGGATCCAGACGCCGCGGCAGAAGCATGAAGATTGGCCGCTGCACACCCTAAACCCGCAGAGCCAGACGGAACACCGACTGATGCCGTAGCGTGACCGGCCGATGCTGAAGGAACACTGGTTGCTGGACCTCCATGACCCGCGGCTGCAGTTGGTGAACTGGCGGCTGCACCGGTCTGACCCGTAGAGGCGATAGGAACCCCGGCTGCTGCACCTGTATGACCAGTCGGTGCAAACTGTACACCGCCCGCTGCGCCCGTCTGTCCTGCAGCAGCTGCGGGAACTACACCTGGCAGAGTTCCTGCCGATGCTGGTATTACCGCTCTTGCACCTGGCTGTCCAACCCCAGCCGCCCAAGCACCGGCAGAGGCACGTAGCTGCCCTGGAGCAGATGGAAGAGCACCATCAGGTGCACCTGCCGGAGCCGATCAAGCGCGCGGAGCACCGTCTCCGATACCTGGCATGCCACTCGGAGCCGTAGAAACACATGCTGCTTGAACCGGCTGACCATGCGTGGTGCCAGAAGGGACGGCCGCGAGACTAGAGTGACCCGCCGCGGTCTTTAGTGCACCGGGTGTGGCTCCCTGGCCTTGGCCATAACCTGGCGTCGTCGCTTCAATTGTTGCACGCGCATGTGACGGGCCGGATGTGGTAGCATGGGGAACGCCGCCCATGGCGACGGGAGCTTCAAATGATGCTCCGGCCGTACTATGGGGCGGAGGGGCTGCAGCGGTAGAGGCGGTCGGTTCGTCGCCGTTAAGATTCTCCAGGCCACACGACGGCTGCTTGAACCCTATCTTGGCAGCCATCTGCTGGAAGGACGTGAAGAGTGACGATAGCGTCTGCGTCACCTTGTCGAGCCCCTTTTCTCCATTGTAAACGGCGTCTTTGAGAGATTCCATGTCTTCTTGCAGGCACTTGAGCTGTGCAGCATGACAACACTGCTCCGCCGCCACATCCTGAATGGTTGGCTCCTTTATCTCTTCAACTCCCTGGTCGCTATCACTCTCGTCCCCCCCGTGGCAGTCACTCTGTGGGGGAATGACGGCCCCCTTCAGTGCCAGCGATTCCAGCAGTTTACCTTCACCGGCCTCGCACATCAGACCACGAATTTTGTGCCTGCATTCAGCGGCACTGTAACGAGGATGGGCGATCCCTTCTTCCATGAATTGGAAAGCTCGGCCCACAAGCTCCTTGGAGAACATACAGACGTAGACCCCGCAATCTACACCGTTTTGTTGCTGGGGTACCTCGAAGTACTGCGGTAACAGGAAAATGGAAAGAATAGAAAGACCAGTTCAGAACGGCGTGGTAAACCGAGCCCTGCAGGGTAATTGCACCAGGACAGCAAACACAAGAGTGGCATACTCACTTCAAGCGCCTTGCTGCTCACGCGACTAACCCTCTCTGTCACAACCACCCATGGCATATCAGGGTAGGCCTTTTTTAAGGCCCTCATTAGAAGCCTGCGCCAGCCAAACGATGGAAAGGGGTTTATTGGAAGGATATACACACTTGTGCGCAAAATCGAGTGTCGCGGATGATCGTTTGAAAAAACGCCGAGAACTCACTCGTTGATGTTTGTGAAAACAGCCTCGTGCATGTCGAAGTGGATGCGTGCCGAGTCGTACAGAACCGCTTTTACCGGTACAGGTGGCGTCACGGCCTCGTACTCCTCCTTACTCAGCAGCAGCAGACGGGGGTCCTTAACAACAACAATGCTGAAATGTTGAACTGGAATTCTGCCCAAAACCGTATAGCAGAAGAAGCCAGGTTATGCATGCCTTGGAGTGGTACTGATGGTTGTCGCAAACGATTTCCCGGCCTTGGTAAACGGTACAGAAATCTCTTACTTGGTGAAAACCACGATGAGAAGGTAGTCGTGCTCGAAGAGAAGTTTGCAATCGACACCGCATGCTAGCTCCTGCCCCCCGGTGACGGTTTGGTAGGCGAGCGTGTCAAGAGCCAACCACGTTTTACCGTCTGGTAACTGCCGGTGCAGCAGGCTCAAAACCCTGGAACAACACGAACAGGACAGACCATTTGTTGAGTTAGCATTGACCCTGCAGAAGATGGTCGTCGCCTTCTGCAGGGGAGCGGAATTCTGCCGAGGTCAGCGCGGAGTGCTGCAGCAGAGAGAAATCTGCAGAAGCGGAAAACAGGTTCCGCAGAACTTGGCAAAGCTGCAGAGCAGATCGCGATCCTGCAGACGAGGGCGCATCTGCAGAAAATTCGGGTCTGCAGAGGAGGACGCATCTGCAGAAGCGGATTTCTGCAGGGGACCAGGACTTCTACCGACGACCCCCTCCGACGCAAAAGTGCGATCGTTTCGTAACTTTTGCTGTGGGAATTTCGGAACATTGGGACATTGAGAAATTGACCCCGCGGAACAGTGCGCGGAACTGGGGTGTTCAATCTGGGGCGAAACTGAACCACCTGCACAGAATGAACCTGGCGCACGTTTTCGTAACTACGAAAACGTGCGTTACAGAAGTTGTTTAAAACAACCTGAACAGCCAAAAACAACTACTTTTAGGTAGGTAAAAATTACCAACTAAGCACGTGTTGTAATTTTCACCTGCCGACGCTGAGTTGGCAAAGCGCAGCTAAAAGTAGTTATGTAAACGTTCTTGGGCGAACGTTCTCTGAATGGTTCATTGGTGGGGTAGCTTCTATTTCACCCATTGTTGTATTCTATTTTCAACTTTTCTATTGAACTACTTTGTGTGCCAACTCTATGCCTTCAAGGACTTAGTCAAATTTTCTCTTTAGTGAACAACAAAGATTGCGTGGCTACGGAGAGGCATTTCGTAGAGCTCGACCGTTAGAGCAAAAATCTCTGCATGGTGCGGTGAGCGTGGATCGAACACGCATAGAGCCCGTTCTTCTACGTTAGGTCTCATTGAACTTAGCTCGTCGGCATGGTGGATACTGAGGATATCCTCGAGGGAATCGACAGTCTAAGTGAGCGGGAGGCTGCGGTGCTTGCTCGTCATGAAGGTGGAAACCTCACCGAGCAGGAGCTCAACTTCATGCTGTTGGGAGTACGAGCTCAATGGGAGATGGAACATCCACCGACTCGTGCAGAGGGAGACGACGAATCGCAGACTTCTGGAGACGACGACAACGCTGAAGAACCGGAAGAAGGCGGAATGCTGGAGCCACGAGGTGTTCTAGGACAAGGAGAACCGATGAGCCCTGGCGAAGGCTCGCAGCAGAAGGCGGATGCAAATCCGAAGAAGGCGACTGGCAAAGGACGCTTGAGCGGTCGAGGATCTGCAGTGAAGACTGGTGGAAGCTCGGCGGTTTCACATCCGTCTACATCGAAAGACGGCGGAATTGCACCTGATTACGGCTACTTCAAATTTTCTCCCGACAAGATCACGGTGCCGAAGCTTCTGGAAGGACGCCATGACTTATCCGTGTGGAGGGAGTCCATCGAGCCTCAACTTGAAATTGCGCAGCTGAAGCAGTTCATCGACGGCTCCATCAAGATTCCACGGCTCAGCGACATTTCGCAATACACACAATTTCGCTCGGCACAGCTGCTGACCTTTATGGTGATATCCCGTTGCTGCTCTCCATCCGTGAAGATCGCATTGAAATCATGTCGTTTTCGAGTGGACGCGGGTTACCAAGCTTGGCGCTTCATCATGGAGACATACAAGGCAACGGATTATCTCTACATCGGACAGCTGGAGAGGAGCTTGGCGACGCTGGAAATGGCGGAGCATGAGACGGCGACGACCTGCTGCAATCGTGCGCAGATGATTCTCGTTAATCTGCGAATGGCTGGCGTGAACTATTCGATGGCCTTGTATGTGACTCATGTCCTTACAGGTCTTCCCGCGGAGTACAAGTACCTTCGCCGAATGCTACAAGCTCCGGAGAATTGCAAGACCCTCGACGAAAATACATTGACGAGCAGAATTATCGCCGAGGAATGCACGATCGAGCTTGAGAAGAAGAAGGAATCCCCTCTGCCACAGGTCAACTGGGCGTCGACGGGACAGCAGCAGAAGCAGCAGCAGCAGCAGCAGCAGAAGCGGTGGTCTTCTTCGACATCTGGCGGGTCTACGGAGCAGAAGTCGTCAAACAAAGAGCAGCAGAAGAAAGATGATCGACAACCGAACAACAAGCGGAGCTCGAAGAAACCTTGTTGGGTCTGCGGAGAAATCGGTCATTTTGCGTTTCAGTGCGAACAACGCGCCGACAAGAAGGACAATTCTCCAGCGCAGAAGGAGAGTTCGTCGAAGTCGGGAACGCAGAGTGCCAACTCCGATTCGACCAACAAGAAGGGCCCTTCTTGCTCAATGGTAGGACCAGTTGTCGACCAGCTGCAGACGACTGATCTACTCATTTCGCTGAACGCAGATGGCGAGGATTTTCAGGCGATTGCTGCAGCCGTCGAGGCCGATCCTGCGGTTGTTCTTCTCGACAGTGGCTATTCACATCATTTGATGGGAGATGATGCAGCTTTTGTCGAAATGCATGAAGGTGGCGACATTAAACAAGTCCGCGGATTCAACGGGGCCTTCCAACCAGTGCGCGGTCGCGGAACAATAGCTCTACGCGGAGAAGCTGGGAAGCAGATTCTGATCCCGGATGTGCTCTACGTACCTGGAATCCATGCGAATCTGTTGTCTACAGGGCAGCTGAAGGACTGTGGGGTAAAGCTGAAGGATGAAGGTGAAGAGACCCTCCTTCTCTCTGCCGATGGGACAGTCCTTGGACGCGCTCGTTATCGAGGACGAGTGCTCAGCACAGATCTCCAGGTGTGGCCGCTGCAGAAATCGGCAGGGGAGGCGATTGCTCTGCGAACATTGGCGACGGATACACGGGCGAAGATGGATGTGTGGCATCCTCGACTTGCACATGCGGGCGTCGAAACAATTAAGCAAACGGCGACGCATGGTGCTGCGATGGGCCTGGACATTGACAAGTCCGCCAAGCCTGATCTACCGTGTGTCTCTTGTATGGGGGGGAAACTTATTCGGCATAGTTTCCCTCAAGAGGGGAGTGAAGAGCAGAAGGTGCTGGGAGTAGTGCACATCGATCTCTGCGGGCCCTTCCGAGTTCCTGCGAAAGATGGCAGCCGCTACTTTCTTCTGCTCAAGGATCGCAAATCTCGCTACGTTTGGATCTACCCGATTGCGCAGAAAAACGATGCTCTGCGCGTCTTCCAGAAGTGGCTTCCGCGTGCAGAGAGGCAGTGTGAGGCTTCGCTGAAGGCTCTCCGCTCCGATCGAGGTGGCGAATTTTTGGGAAGTAAATTCACCGAGTTCCTCGAGGAGAAAGGGATTGAGCACGACCTCACTTGCCCTTATACGCCGCAACAGAACGGGATGGCGGAGCGTGAAATGCGGACTGTCGTCGAAGCAGTTAGGACGATGCTTCTGCACATGGGAGCTCCCCACCATTGGTGGCACCTTGCAGCTCTGCAAGCTGTTTGGGTGAGGAATCGACTAGAACATTCCTCTCTGCCATCAGGGGTAACTCCTTATGAGGTGCTCTTCGACGAGAAGCCTGATCTTGGCATGGCAAGGGTTTGGGGGTGTATGGTGCAATACCTCATTCCAGAGAGTTAGCGGGGAGGGAAGTTGGAGCCGAAAGCTCGTTGGGGCCTCCACCTGGGCGTCTCGCAGCAGAGTAAGGGGTGGTTGGTCCTCGACCTGTCGAGCAACCGTTTGATCACCACGGTCGAAGCCATCTTCTACGAGACAATGTCTCTTGCAGAGTGGAAGGCGACGACGCAGACTCCCATTGTCGACCGTGCTGCGCTCGAAAATGTGTCATCGTTCCCGACGGATCCTGCGAATGATGAGGACGATGATGACGACATGGTTCAGGCACCAGCACCTCTGCCCGTGCCCGCGTCGATTCCGCAGCCGCAACTTCCTCCAACCAACCCTCAAGTGCAACTTTCGCCGTTGCCAGAGACTTCTCCCGCAGAAGACACTCATGCAACAGATGCTCCTTCTTCGGAGCAGATTCGTTCTGTTGAGGACATTCGCTCTGCCTCTTCTTCGACAGGGGAGCAGCTGTTGACTGCCACTTCTTCGACGTTCTTTCCTTCAACTGCGAAATTGGTGCCATTGTCGACACTCCTTGGCGAAGAGGGGAGCAAAGTGCCGATGAATGTCGTCGCCAATGAGCGTCGAGAAGTCGAGCAGCCTGCAGATGAAACATCCGCAGAAGAGCGATCCGCAGAAGAGCGATCGGCAGAAGAGCGATCTGCAGACGAGCTGCCTGTAGAAGAAGATGTCGAAGAAGAGCTGCCTGCATTAGAAGAAATTGCCGCAGAAGAGCAACCTGCAGAAGGAGGACCTGCGGACGAAACATTTCAGGTTTCTCGTTATGGTTGAAAGATTCTGAAGCCACTCCGCTACCGCGAAGCCATAACGATGTTTACGACGACTTCGCTCGACGGCATGCATGAGGATGTAGCTCGACTCTGCTGACGAGTGCGTCGTCGACACGGATCATCGTTGGGACATTTCGACCATGACAGTTGCAGAAGCTCTGCGAAGCTGGAAGGGTGAAGCAGTCAAAGCAGCAATGGATGCAGAGATGCAGACTCTCTACGACCAAGAGACTTGGGAGCTGGTACCTCGTCCGCCTGGGGTCAATGTGATGAAGAATCGATGGGTTTTAACGACGAAGTACAACCCAGACGATACGGTCGACCGAGAGAAGGGTCGACTTGTCGTCAAAGGATACACACAGACCCCTGACGAATTCGACGCAATTTCTGCCCCCGTCGGAAGCTACGGAACTGCTCGGATGCATGTGTCGAACGCGGCTGACGGAAATTTGGAGTTGATGCAACTCGACATGACAAATGCATTCCTAAATGCGAAACTTGACCGTCCTCTCTTCATGGAGCAGCCCGAGTTCTACAACGACGGGACGGGTCGAGTCTGCATGCTGAAGAAAAATCTCTACGGACTGAAGCAGAGTCCGATGTTGTGGTACGAGGCCCTCGACGAAGTGCTGGTCGACGCAGGATGGTCGAAGAGCCAGGTCGACGAAGCTTTCTACTTCCACGAGGACGAGAACCACGACATGTGCTGGGTGCTCGTCTACGTCGACGATCTGCTCGCCGCGAGCCGCAGCAAGGAGCATCTGGCGGAGCTCAAGGTACTACTCGAAAGTGTCTTCAAGCTGCGGGAGATCAGTCCCGTCAACAAGTACCTGGGACTGGAGCTGATCAGAGACAGGGAAGCGGGGAAGATCTGGCTGCATCAGAGAGGCTATGTCGACAGGGTGCAGAGGCGCTTTCTGCCGGAAGGGCCTCCTCAGCGATTTCCGAAGACGCCAATTTCGGTCGACGCCTTCAAGGTGCTGACATTTGACGACGAGAAGCTGCAGGCGCGCACAGAAGAAGAGTATCGGCAGAGGGTCGGATCTCTGCAGTTCGCTGCCTGCACTACTCGCCCCGACCTCTCCTTCGCATGCAGCAAACTTGCGTCTGGTCAAACGGTTCGAAGCGACCAGCATTGGAGGGAGCTCGACCGCTGCATTGCGTACCTTGTAGGAACGCGCGATGTTGCTCTCGAGTTCGGCGGAGGAAATGGAGAGATGCGTCTCGTCGGCTTCGCAGATGCAGACGATGCAGGAGACAAGCAGAATCGCAGTAGCACGAGTGGCTACATTTTCACTCTTGGCGGAGCTGCTATTTCATGGGCAAGTCAGAGGATCAGGTGCATCACTCACTCTTCTACAGAGTCGGAGTATATCGCTGCAGTGGAGGCTGGAAAGGAGGCTCGAAAGCTTCGTTTTCTGATGGCAGAATTTCGCATGCTCGACGAGACGTCACCAACGATTATCCACGTCGACAACCAATATGCGATTTTTGTGTCTGAAGGAATGGGGCTCAAGGGAAAGCTGAAGCACATGGAGCGGCGCTACATGTGGCTGCAGAGCATGGTGAAACGTCGCAAGATGAAGCTGCAGTACATTCCGACGACCGAGCAGCCGGCAGATTACTTGACGAAAGCACTAGATTTCCCTGCGTTCAACAACTGCTTTGAGAAAGTTGGTCAAGTAAGGCTTTCGGCGAAGGGGAGCAGTGCAGAGGGTCCTCGCGACGAGGAATAGGTGCCATGACCTTCTTCATGGCTGGTGCGGTGGTGGTGTGTGTGAATTGCAGATTTCTGCAATTCTAGTGTGTTTGTTTTTTTTGCAAGTTTGTCTTTGTTTTTTCTTTCCGTTTACTGTTCTGTTCTGGAGTGTGGTGTAGACGGGTCAATGTTCTCAGCGACGACCAAGCAGGATCAATGGAGGGGAGTGTTGAGTTAGCATTGACCCTGCAGAAGATGGTCGTCGCCTTCTGCAGGGGAGCGGAATTCTGCCGAGGTCAGCGCGGAGTGCTGCAGCAGAGAGAAATCTGCAGAAGCGGAAAACAGGTTCCGCAGAACTTGGCGAAGCTGCAGAGCAGATCGCGATCCTGCAGACGAGGGCGCATCTGCAGAAAATTCGGGTCTGCAGAGGAGGACGCATCTACAGAAGCGAATTTCTGCAGGGGACCAGGACTTCTACCGACGACCCCCTCCGACGCAAAAGTGCGATCGTTTCGTAACTTTTTCGTGGGAATTTCGGAACATTGGGACATTGAGAAATTGACCCCGCGGAACAGTGCGCGGAACTGGGGTGTTCAATCTGGGGCGAAACTGAACCACCTGCACAGAATGAACCTGGCGCACGTTTTCGTAACTACGAAAACGTGCGTTACAGAAGTTGTTTAAAACAACCTGAACAGCCAAAAACAACTACTTTTAGGTAGGTAAAAATTACCAACTAAGCACGTGTTGTAATTTTCACCTGCCGACGCTGAGTTGGCAAAGCGCAGCTAAAAGTAGTTATGTAAACGTTCTTGGGCGAACGTTCTCTGAATGGTTCATTGGTGGGGTAGCTTCTATTTCACCCATTGTTGTATTCTATTTTCAACTTTTCTATTGAACTACTTTGTGTGCCAACTCTATGCCTTCAAGGACTTAGTCAAATTTTCTCCTTAGTGAACAACAAAGATTGCGTGGCTACGGAGAGGCATTTCGTAGAGCTCGACCGTTAGAGCAAAAATCTCTGCACCATTTAGATCATGGAGATGAATAAGGTGGACAACGCACACACAGATCGTGACTCACACGTGGTAAAAGTCGATGGTTCTCGTTGTCAGCTCTTGTCCATCCTGGATGTGGAGAGCATCCATCATAGTCACCTTCGCTCGCTGATCGTGATGGTTTTTTATCTCACGGGATGGGAAATGGTCACTCTTAACAGACCTAGGTAGCTTATCGGTCGCGCATTCAGGAACCCTGACTCCCTTCGCGAACCTCGATATTATGTCATCAGGCTCGGGCAGCACCTGTACGCCTTCTAATTTAACCGGGACCGTGAATTCAGGGCTTGCGGCCGCCTTACCACTGGTGGCATCCTGCCTGGCCCGGTTCGTTCGTTTCTGCCGCGCGACGGCGGCCTGGCTACTAACAGCTTCTTTGCCCTTGTTGCGGTTGGATCTAGTCTGCGTCATCGTGCGCTGACCAAACGACCACTGCGCGAATGTAAGTAGAGGCAGATGGTTAGACCAAGGGTGGAGAGGAGTGAGCTATGTTTAATCAACTCAGCATATTCAACAATTAGAGTAACAATGGTGGCTACCCATTGACGCCGAAACCCTTGGTTCACTACTGTGACTGTTATCGTGACTGCGTGCTCACGAGACGTTGACGGGGGGGAAGCCGAGGAGGTGCATGACGATGGAAGGACAGACTGTTGCTCGGGCCGACGCAACCGTGCTTAACCCGCCAAATTTAGTCCTAGGTGGCACGCCGCATTTGCCCGAAAGCCTGACATTGTGGGGTCTCGAATGTCAGGCGAGGCAGAATCGTGCACGCGTACTCGGCAGGATATTTCCCTGGTAACATTATCATTGCAACCGCTGCATGGACAGCGATTGTTGACAGCGCACAGATCATGACAAAGACGAAATGATTGTGCAACATTGACACTGTAATTTGCGCCTGCCCACGAAAACACTGCAAGTGTAGAAAAGTGAGTTTTGACGGGGAAAACTGACCGCGGGAATCGGGCGCGGGCGCGTTGGGGGGGTAGTGGGAAAACCACTGCCCATTGGAATTGGAGTCGAGCAAGCACCGCGGTTCGTCATTCCCTCTTCTTGTGAGTTGTTTGTGATCTTATCCTCTTCGCAATGTTTTGTCCTGTGATCTCCTGACGAGTCGTAAGCTGACAGGCTGTAAGTACCGCTCGCAAGGAGTGGTGGACGACTTTTGCCGAGGTCGCGCGCACATCTTCCTGGCACCCTACTCAAGCCCATTTCTCTTTGGATTTCACGAACAGTTCCGTCGGCAACTCGTCCACTTCCCGCCTGTCCCCCGTGGCGCGCCCAGAGCTCTGAATTTTCGGGAGTGTGCTTTTTTGAAACGGAAAAACTTTTATGCTGGCAATAGCTTCGAATAAATCTCTAAGCAGCGTGATGACACAGGCCCTGATTTCAGGTTTTTATGAAAAGTGGGAAATACATCGCATGCTGGATGTCTACCCAAAATGTTTTTTTGACCCGCAGCAAAGGTGGTGGTGACCACCACATCCCACAGAGTTGCTGCAATCTGACACTGTAGTTTTCGGCTTGTAGTGAACAAACCACTCCTCTGCTCCATCCTCACCTTGCCGCAAGGATGCTCAGGGAGCCTCCTCACAGAACAGGAACACTTACATACTCGCGAGGAGAAAGTAGAGCCTCCAGATACACTGCCTGTGCATTGGGTAGCATGTATATAACGCAGGGACTTAGAATCGTAAAGCTTTAAGCTCATAATTCCCGAGGTTGACCACCATAATTTCCCGTCATCAACCAGCTTCATTCGCCCGACCACCATGCGCCCTGGAGTTCGTCCGACATAATTCTCGTCATCAACGAGCTTCATTTGTCTAAGCTCATAAACCCTGGAGATCGCCCACCATCCATTCGCCCCCATCACCAACCTGCAACCCGCCGCCATCCGCACATCGCCCCCCGCCCAGCCTACCCTTCGATCTCCAAAGGTGAGCAGAGAGTTCTTATGTCTACTTGTTCCGAGCTAGACGATTTAATGTCAGTGTTTCAAAATTTATTTGTGTAAACTTCCAATTACTGACTCATCTGTGTTCGTTTTCGCAGGTACAAAAGACAAGTCCAGTGACGATTCTGCATACGAACTGCTCCGCTCAACACGAGCTTCTGCTCAACACGAGCTTCTGCTCAACACGAGCTTCTGCTCAGCACGAGCTTCTGCTCAACACGAACTTCTGCTCCGCATCTTCTAGCCGTGCGTGGCGCTCTGACACGTTGGGAGTGCTGCCGTTCAAGCCGTGCGTGCCTGACTTCACGGAGTCTGACGCTGCTCAAGCCGAACTGCTTCCAGTGGTAAGCACGGAGTTGTGACGTCAACTTTTTTTTACGTTTACGCACAAGATCTCCTTGAATGTCCTCGTTTTTTTTTTTTTCTCCTTCCGATTTCTGACTCTTGTTCGGTTTTATCTTCGCAGGTTCATAACCCTTCCTCGTTATCAAGTATAATGGCCTTTGTCAACAAGTCCAACAGTTTCTCTTCAAGCCGTGGCTGGCGGTCTGGCGTTGGACGTGCTGCTGGCCGCCTCTCATCACGATGACATTTTCAAGCCTTGGCTGGCGCGTTCTGACATGGTCGGCGTGGTGCTTCCGCCGCTCAACCCGCTGCCAACGTCCATCGGGAAGTTTCGCCTCCCTTTTTCTCTTGCTCTTTCCTCGCTTTTGTTTCGATTTCCACGTTGTCGTTTTCACCGTCCATCATCCACCACCGCCATTCGTGAATCGCGTTTCCACCGTCCCTCTGGTCACGCAGTTGCAGCTGGACGAAGATCCTCCTCGGTTGGGTAGATGGGCTGGCTAGATTAGATCCTCCCTCTGAAGGCTGCAGCCCGTGACCATGGACGTCCGCCCTCGTTTTCGCTTGTCGTTTCCATGTTATCGTTCACGCTTTTCGCATTTGTTTTATGCTTGTTTTTTTTTCCCCTTGCTTTTCTCGTGTCATTGCTCTATACTAACTTAGTGCTTCTGTTTGTGTTTTTTCCACCCGTTTCCAGCAAAGGAAGATCGCGTGGAGGCAGATCTGCACCGAAGCTACCAAGGATCCATTGAAGGAAGTCATTAAGTCGTCTACCAATGCACCGTTGAAGCACCTGGTAAGCTTTTCACTGTCTCAGTCCTTCCACTATTTACCGTTGCAATTGGTGTATGCCTGGTTTTCTCATGATTCGTATTCTGAGAATCGGAGAATCTGGTAACAAGATTACTAATATGTGTGTCGTTTTCTCTTAAACAGGACCAGCCAACAAGGAGATTACGAACGGAGGAGGTGACGAATGGAGCTGTTAATGAAGCAGTGAAGTCTTAAGAAGAAGATCGCGTGGAGGCAGACCTGCACCGAAGCTACCAAGGATCCGTTGAAGGATCATGGAGGATCATGTCGAGCATAGAGGCAGATCTGCAACTGGCCTCAACCAAGCAGTTAGAAGCAGCTAGAAGCTTCAAGCTTCAAGCTTTCAAGGTAAGTTTCTAAACCAATCTACTTGAGCTGGCTGCAAATTGTTTCTTAAAGATTTTCATAGATGCTAATTAGTGTTTCGTTTTGTCTTAAACAGGAATGGGCGAAGCCAACGAAGCAGCCAACGAAGCCAATGAAGAAACACCTGACGGAGCAGCCTACTATCAAGGAGCCTTCGTAGCAAATAGAAGCAGCCCACGAAGCCACCATTGAAGCTTCAAGCTTTGAAGGTAAGTTTCTGTTCTTGATCCTTGCTATCTACCGTTTTCTACTTCAGCTTGGTTCAAATCGTTTCTTAAGGATTTTGATACATACTAATTTGTGCCTCGTCTTGTCTTAAACAGGACTAACCAACGAAGCATTCGAAGAAGCTAATGGAGAAGTAGCTGACGGGGGGGAGTCTACTACCAAGCATATGAAGCAGATAGAAGCAGCCCACAAAGCCGACATTGAAGCTTCAAGCTTGCAAGGTAACTTTCTGACTCCTAGTTCTTGATCCTTGCCGTTCCGTTTTCTACTTGAGCTTGCTGCAAATCGATTCTTGAGGATTTTGATACATACTAATCTGTGCCTCGTTTTGTCTTAAACAGGACTAACCAACGAAGCATTCAAATGGAGAAGTTGCTGACGGAGCAGCCTACTACCAAGCCGCATACGAAGCAGATAGAAGCAGCCCACAAAGCCGTCATTGAAGCTTCAAGCTTTCAAGGTAAGTTTCAAGCTTTCAAGGTAAGTTTCTGAGTCCTCGTTCTTGATCCTTGGTGTTAACCGTTTTCCTTGAGCTTGCTGCAAATCGATTCTTGAGGTTTTCTAATCCGTGCCTTGTTTTGTCTAAAACAGGACTAGCCAATGAAGCATTCAAAGAAGCTAGAAGTGGCTGACGGGGCAGTCTACTACCAAGCAGCGTATGAAGCAGATAGAAGCAGCCCACGAAGCCGTCATTGAAGCTTCAAGCTTTCAAGGTAAGTTTCTGATTCTTCGTTTTTTATCCTTGCTGTTAACCGGTTTCTACTTGAGCTTGCTGCAAATCGATTCTTAAGGATTTTGATAAATACTAATTTGTGCCTCGTTTTGTCTTAAACAGGAGTAATCAACGAAGCATTCAAATGGAGAAGTTGCTGACGGAGCAGCCTACTACCAAGCAGCGTGTGAAGCAGATAGAAGCAGCCCACAAAGCCGCCATTGAAGCTTCAAGCTTTCAAGGTAAGTCATAGTTCTTGATCCTTGCTGATAACCGTTTTCTACTTGAGCTTGCTGCAAATCCCTTAAGGATTTTGATACATACTAATCTGTGCCTCGTTTTTTCTTAAACAGGACTTACCAACGAAGCACTCAAATGGAGAAGTTGCTGACGGAGCAGCCTACTACCAAGCCGCCTACGAAGCAGATAGAAGCAGCCCAAGCCGTCATTGAAGCTTCAAGCTTTCAAGGTAAGTTTCTGAGTCCTCGTTCTTGATCCTTGCTGTTAACCGTTTTCCTTGAGCTTGCTGCAAATCGATTCTTGAGGTTTTTTATACATACTAATTTGTGCCTCGTTTTGTCTTAAACAGGACTAACCAATGAAGCATTCAAAGAAGCTAGATTTGGCTGACGGGGCAGCCTACTACCAAGCAGCGTATGAAGCAGATAGAAGCAGCCCACAGAGCCGCCATTTGAAACTTCAAGCTTTAAAGGTAAGTTTCTGATTCCTCGTTTTTTATCCTTGCTGTTAACCGGTTTCTACTTGAGCTTGCTGCAAATCGATTCTTAAGGATTTTGATACATACTAATTTGTGCCTCGTTTTGTCTTAAACAGGAGTAACCAACGAAGCATTCAAATGGAGAAGTTGCTGACGGAGCAGCCTACTACCAAGCCGCCTACGAAGCAGATAGAAGCAGCCCACAAAGCCGCCATTGAAGCTTCAAGCTTTCAAGGTAAGTTTCTGAGTCCTCGTTCTTGATCCTTGGTGATAACCGTTCTCTACTAGCTGGGTGCAAATCGTTTTTTATTTTATTTTTATAGATGCTAATTTGTTTTTCGTTTTGTCTTGAACAGGAATAACCTACAAAGCAGCCAACGAAGCCGGTGGAGAAGTAGCTGACGGAGCAGCCTGCCATCAAGCATCCCACGAAGCAGTTAGAAGCAGGCCACAAGGCCGCCATTGAAGCTTCAAGCTTTCAAGGTAAGTTTCTGAACCTCTCGTTGATCCTTGTTCAACGTTTTCTACTTGAGCTGGCTGCAAATCCTTTCTTGAAAATTTTTCTATATACTGATTTGTGTTAACTATTTGTCTTAAACAGGATTAACGAAAGCAGCCAACGAAATCAGAGGCTGGGCTAAATCTGCGGCGGAAGCAGGGGCTGGGCTAAATGGGCTGCAAGGAGTGGCGGAAGCGGTTGCTGGGCTGCAAAGGGCGGCGGAAGCGGTTTCTGGACTGCAAGGAGCGGCGGAAGCGGTTGATGTGCTGCAAGGCGGCGGAAACGGTTGATATGCTGCAAGGAGCGGCGGAAGCACTTGCTGGGCTGCAAGGAGCGGCGGAAGCACTTGATGTGCTGCAAGGAGCGGCGGAAGCGGTTGATGTGCAGCAAGGAGGGGCGGAAGCACTTGATGTGCTGCAAGGAGCGGCGGAAGCACTTGATGTGCTGCAAGGAGCGGCGGAAGCACTTGATGTGCCGCAAGGAGCGGCGGAAGCGGTTGATGTGCTGCAAGGAGCGGCGGAAGCACTTGATGTGCTGCAAGGAGTGGCGGAAGCGGTTGATGTGCTGCAAGAGCGGCGGAAGCACTTGATGTGCTGCAAGGAGCGGCGGAAGCGGTTGATGTGCTGCAAGGAGCGGCGGAAGCGGTTGATGTGCTGCAAGGCGGCGGAAGCGGTTGATGTGCTGCAAGGAGGCGGAAACGGTTGATGTGCTGCAAGGAGCGGCGGAAGCACTTGCTGGGCTGCAAGGAGTGGCGGAAGCACTTGATGTGCTGTAAGGAGCGGCGGAAGCACTTGCTGGGCTGCAAGGAGTGGAGGAAGCACTTGCTGGGCTGCAAGGAGTGGAGGAAGCAGTTTCTGTGCTGCAAGGAGCGGCGGAAGCGGTTTCTCGGCTGCGAGGAGCGGCGGAAGCGGTTTCTGGGCTGCGAGGAGCAGCGAAAGCAATTGCTGGGCTGCGGAAGAGTTGGCTGGGCTGCGGAAGAGTTGGCTTGGCTGCGTAAGAGTTGGCTTGGCTGCGGTAGCGTAGGCTGGGCTGCAAAAGCTGTTGCTGGGCTGCGGAAGCGGAGGCTTGGCTGCGGGAAGCGGATGCTGGGCTGCGGAAGGCGGAGGATGGACTGCAGGAGCGGATGTTTGGCTGCGGAAGCGGAAGCTGGGCTGCGGAAGCGGATGCTGGGCTGCAGGAGCAGATGCTGGGCTGCGGAAGAGTTGGCTGGGCTGCGGAAGAGTTGGCTGGGCCGCGGAAGAGTTGGCTGGGCTGCGGAAGAGTTGGCTGGGCTGCGGAAGCTGTTGCTGGGCTGCGGAAGCGGAGGCTTGGCTGCGGAAGCGGATGCTGGGCTGCGGAAGGCGGAGGATGGACTGCAGGAGCGGATGCTTGACTGCGGAAGCGGATGCTGGGCTGCGGGAGCAGATGCTGGGCTGCGGAAGCTGAGGCTGGGTTACTGAGTGGCGAAGCGGCGTACAAGGGAGCGGTGAAGCAGTCTACAGGGAAGCACCGTAGCAGTCTACAGGGAACTAGCTTAGCAGTCTACAGGGAGCAGCGTAGCAGCCTTCAGGGAAACTGCGAAGCAGCCTACAGGGAAGCAGCGTAGCAGCCTACAGAGAATCAGCGTAGCAGCCTACAGAGAAGCTAGTAGCCTGCAGCGAAGCAGCGTAGACGGAGGCTGGGCTTCAAGGAGTAGACGGAGGAGGAGGCTGCGGAAGCGGTTGCTGCGGAAGCGGATGCTGGGCGGGAGGGATGTGGCGAAGCAGTGGGGGGGTGTGGCGAAGGGTTACGCGGACGGTGGCTGGATGGGAACTCAAGGGTGGCCTAAGAGGTGGCTGAGTGTAGCGAGCTCAGCCGGTCCTAAGGCGAGTGGCGCGGTGTGGGTGTGATCTCAGCAGTGACGTGATGGAGTAAGGGCCGGCGCTTGATTCTGGCAGTGCAAAGTCGCCCGGGAGGCTTTGCACTGCCTGGGCCCAGAATCAAGCACATCCGGGCACCTGACACTCCAGGTAGCGTCACTGTTGGGGTTGCATTTGCACCACAAAGTCAGCACCGTACCGGGGTGGGTACGGGGGACTTGATGTCACTCTTAAGAGAAGGGAGACCGCACTGGCGTGGGTGCGGAGAGCTTCTCTTACCTCTGAACGATGAGTCCACACTGGCGTGGGTGTGGAAATACTCGTTCTAGGTCACCTGAGGGTTCCTGTTTGGGAGGCTGCGGTTTTACTTAAAGCCTCGGAGCTTTCTCACACTGGGGAGGGTGTGGGGGGTTCTTCACTTGATGCGTCAGCCTGGAGCCACAGGGAGAGAGGGATGGAGCAGTGGAGGGTGCAGCCGCCGCATGATGCAGCAGCCGCTGGATGCAGTTGAGGGGAGAAGCTGCCTGCAGACAAGGGGAGAAGCCGCCTGCAGACAAGGGGAGAAGCCGCCTGCAGACAAGGGGAGAAGCCGCCTGCAGACAAGGAAGATCCCCTAAACCCTGAAGGGAGAAGCCGCCTGGAGAAGTTAAGGGGAGAAGGAGCTGCCTGGTCTAGAGAATGGGAGGTAGAAACCCCTAATCCTTGAAGCAGGGAATCAGCAGCTTGGTGCAGAGAAAGGGGAGCAGCCGCCTGGTGGAGAGGAGAAGGGGAGAAGCCGCCTCAGTTAAGGGGAGAAGCCGCCTCAGTTAAGGGGAGAAGCCGCCTCAGTTAAGGGGAGAAGCCGCCTCAGTTAAGGGGAGAAGCCGCCTCAGTTAAGGGGAGAAGCCGCCTCAGTTAAGGGGAGAAGCCGCCTCAGTTTAGGGGAGAAGCCGCCTCAGTTAAGTGGAGAAGCCGCCTCAGTTAAGTGGAGAAGCCGCCTCAGTTAAGGGGAGAAGCCTCAGTTAAGGGGAGAAGCCGCCTCAGTTAAGGGAGAAGCTGCCTCAGTTAAGGGGAGAAGTTGCCTCAGTTAAGGGGAGAGGCCCTTGGTGCAGAGAAGGGGAGCAGCCGCCTGGTGCAGAGGAGAAGGGGAGCAGCAGCCACCTCTATACCTTGAAGGGAAGAAGCAGCTTGGTGCAGAGAAAGGGGTCCCGCCTGGTGTTTAAGGGAGAAGCCGCCTGCAGACAAGGGGAGAAGAATCCCTGGAGCCGCCTGGTCTAGAGAAGGGGGGGAGGAACTCCTAAACTTTGAAGCGGGGAAGCAGCAGCTTGGTACAGAGAAAGGGGTGCAGCCGCCTGGTGCAGAGAAGAAGCAGCAGTGAAGGGGAAGCAGCAGTGAAGGGGAAGCAGCAGTGAAGGGGAAGCAGCAGTGAAGGGGAAGCAGCAGTGAAGGTGAAGCAGCAGTGAAGGGGATTCAGCAGAGCAGTGAAGGGAAGCAGCCGTGAAGGGGATTCAGCAGTGAAGGGGAAGCAGCAGTGAAGGGGTAGCAGCAGTGAAGGGGTAGCAGCAGTGAAGGGGAAGCAGCAGTGAGGGGGAAGAAGCAGTGAGGGGGAAGAAGCAGTGAAGGGGAAGCAGCAGTGAAGGGGATTCAGCAGAGCAGTGAAGGGGATTCAGCAGTGAAGGGGATTCAGCAGTCAAGGAGAAGGTGAAGGGGATTCAGCAGAGCAGTGAAGGGGATTCAGCGTTGCAGAGGAGACGGTGTGAAGCAGCCTGGTGCAGAGGAGGTGTGAAGCAGCCTGGTGCAGAGGAGCAGCAGTTGGTGGGCAGCAAAACAGCGGTGCATTAAGAGCGGCCATGGAGGTTTTTTAGCCATGGAGTGTACGGCACACCCCTCGTCCTGAGGAAGTCAGCCCGTCGGCATCCAAGGGGATGCGGCGGGACGGATTTTTTGATCCATGGCTTGCGCACCTGCTGAACCAAAAAAAAAAAAAACTTAGGAGATAGAAGCAGTGGTTTAGGGGAGTTCAGCTGACATAGCTGAGGTAGATTTGGTAGGCTCTCTCAGTGGTGTATAGCATGTACCAATATCTTTGGAAATCCAGTGCTCGCATGTCCTTGTGAGCAAGCATGATCCCTTCTACAAGAAGTGCAACAACTCATTCAATTAGTGACCAATACCGGACCCCAATTTTCCTACTGGCATCCAACCACATTGAACCAGGCACCCAATAAAACCTCAACATTAAGTGTATTCGTTCAAATGCAGAGTCTTTTGATGAGGTTAAAGGTTAAATTTGTTTTTCTGGTCGTAACCAGTTTATAAGGGGTATCCACTCCTAGATGAGCACGTGCTAACCCCTACTTGGGGCTGGCAGAACACGCCTGCACGGGGGTGGGTTCGATCCCAGGACCTCATCTATCGGAAGTGCCTCTTTCTACTGACTAGGCCACTTCGGGATCAGAGTCTTTTGATGAGGAACGAATACTTCGGGATCAGAGTCTTTTGATGAGGAACGAATTATCAGCTAGTGTAACACCACTGTTGGAGGCTGAGGGGACCGCTTCGTTATAGCATCCAAGGCGGGGTTCAGGGGACAAGCAGGAACACCGCGCGAATTCTCCAAACCTTGGGGATCTCCCCACAAGCACGCACGCGGCTTCATTTGCCATCCCGTTTCACCCCACCGATTCCCAGACTTCACCGCAAGTTCCTTCCCAGTTCCAGCTTTTGAGATTCATTGTCGAGAAGCCGCTTGCGAGTCCGCTTGCCTCGCTTTCTTTCCGTCTCCAGTTTCGTGCCGCCGTGTCGGGCTGGCACTCTTTGCTTCGGACGACAGTTGAAAGCTGCCTACAGAAAGCCGAACGCCTTCGTTGCTTGTCGTTGCGAAAATCCATCACATCCGTCTTGAATCACAAAACCAAAACGGTTTTTTCCTCTTCGTTACTCGCTAGGATTCGTTCTCACAGAAGCTAACCACCATCTGTCACCATGGCTGCGATCGCTCCGCATTTCCTGTCGCTCAAGTCCAGTGCAGGATCGCTTCGTCGCGCTGCGAAACCCCTCCAGCCAGCGCAAAAGCTTTCGCAGGCGTCGCAACAACCGACGCGACGTCGCCTGGCACTCGCACGAGTCGCCGCGCCGGAACCCGAACCGCCCAGATCCCGAACCGTCGCGCAAAGCTCCACTCCGTCGACCAGCACCGTCGCGGCGGCGATATCTCCATCTCCGGCGCTGCGCGAACCTCCCGTTGAGAAGCGGCTGTTCGAGCACGTGATCGAGGCGCAGCAGTTCAACCGCGATCTGCTGTCGGAGATCTTCGAGGTGGCGGACGAGATGCAGCAGATCCTCGAGGCGCGCGGCGGCGCGGGGTGCTCGAACATGCTGCGCGGGTACCTCATGGCGACGCTGTTCTACGAGCCGTCGACGCGCACGCGTCTGTCATTCGAATCCGCCATGAAGCGGCTCGGCGGCGAGGTGCTCACCACGGAGAACGCGCGCGAATTCTCGTCCGCTGCAAAGGGGGAGAGCCTTGCGGGTGAGTTGAGGGGAATTGGATGGCAATGGGAGATAAGTGGGAGGATAGGGGGGGAGAGGAGCAAGGTAGGTTAGGAGGATGTTGCGTTGGAAGGAGAATAAGGAACGGAGAGCGAATTCACTGGCCGTCGACACGCACGCGGCTGTCGTTCGAATCCGCCATGAAGCGGCTCGGCGGCGAGGTGCTGACGACGGAAAATGCGCGCGAACTCTCGTCGGCCGCGAGGTGGAGAGCCTTGCGGGTGAGCTGGGGGGGAAGTGAGGGGGAAACCGGGGAAAAGGAGGAGGGGAAGGGGGGAAAGGTAGAAGAAATTCAGTCGAAAGGGAAATGGAGAGCCTGGGAATGAATAACACCCTAAGTTACGGAAAGCCTGAGAATGAATAAAAGAGATTGAGTAACAGACTGAATATATATATGAATTCAGCAAGTTTTTCAAAGAATCCGAGGAGTCGTGGTGTCCTTGCTGGCTTCCGTTTATCTCCCCCTCCTATCCGTTTGTTGTGTTCACATTCTTGCTACCAACTCCCTCTCCTATCCCCCTCCCTCGCCCCCTTCCCATTCCTCCCTCCTCCTCCTCGTCCTCCCCTCTCCCCCTCGTCTCGCGGCTTGCAGACTCCATTGGAGCTGTGGAGGTGTACGCTGATGTCATTGTGCTGCGGCACTGCGAGGAGTTTAGTGTTGAGGCGCCTCAAAGCTAGCCCCCTCCCCCCTTCTCCCCCTTCCCCCACGCGCGGCAGACTCCATCCGCACGGTGGAAGCATACGCGGGCGTGATCGTGCTGCGGCACTACGAGGGTGACCCCTCCTCACAACCATCCTCTCCTACTCCAAGCCCCCTCACCTTCCTCTCCCCCTCGTCTCACCGCCTGCAGACTCCATCCGCACGGTGGAGGCGTACGCGGATGTGATTGTGCTGCGGCACTGCGAGGAGTCAAGTGTTGAGGCGCCTCAAAGCTTTCCCCCTCCCCCCTTCTCCCCCTCCCCCTTACACACCGCCCCTCTCCCCGCAGACTCCATCCGCACGGTGGAGGCGTACGCGGACGTGATTGTGCTGCGGCACTACGAGGAGGGCGCGGCGAAGCTGGCGGCGCAAGTGGCGTCCGTGCCCATCGTCAACGCGGGCGATGGACCCGGCCAGCACCCCACGCAGGTGAGGGGCTCAGGGGAGCACACATGTGGGTGGGGGGTTTATGCCAGCACGGCTCAATGCCGGTGAGGGCGGCGGAGGATCAGAGTAGCATGGGGGGGAAGCATGGGAGGAAAAACCAGATGAACAATGCAGTGGGTGATGCACACGACAGCACGACCTCCATTGGAGTCATAGCATGCATAACAGGCCTCATCGCAACCCTCTTTCCCTATCTCAACCCCTCCTCCCCCTCCCCTCTCCCTTCCCCTCCCCCCACCCATCCACCTTCCTGGGCTGTTGGACAGGTACGCGCGTCTGTGGGAGGTGGGGCAGCATGAGCCTTTAATTGCAGTCACAGGATGCATTGTATTGCTCACTTCCCCCCTCTTTCTATATCTTATGTGCACGACCCTCTCTCCCTGCACCCTTTCCCACCCCTCCCTCTTCCCCCATCAGTCCCTATTCGACATGTACTCGATTCAGCGCGAGGTGGGGCGGCTGGACAACATCCGAGTGGTGCTGGTGGACGGTCTGACCTTCCCTCTCCCTGCCCCTCTTTCCCCCTCACCGCCAACCCCCCCCCACCCCCAAACCCCCCCAACCCCTCCTCTTCCCCATCAGTCCCTGCTCGACATGTACACGATACAGCGCGAGGTGGGGCGACATGAGCACAGGACGCATAGTGAATATACTTTACCCCTCTTCCCCTTGACATCCACCTCCTGTCCCCACCCATTATCAGTCGCTGCTGGACATGTACACGATACAGCGCGAGGTGGGGCGGCTGGACAACATCCGAGTGGGGCTGGTGGGCGACCTGGCCAACGGCAGGACGGCACGCTCCCTCGCCTACCTGCTCTCCAAGTTCCAAAACAACAAGATCATCTTTGTGGCACCGCCCGTCGTTCGAATGAAGGTGCGTAGGCAGTCTGCTTGTTGCATAGTCCCATCCCTCACACCCCGTCCCGCTTGTCACTGTTTCCTGGTCCAGTGGCAGTGTCGCTTGATCAATGCATTTACCCTTCAAGCAGACGCCAAGCCTGCACTCTCTGCTTGTCATGATATCCTCTTGTCGCCCCACCCCACTGCTGCACCGGGCAGGACGACATCAAGGAGTATCTGACAGCGCGGGGACTTAAACCCTGCACGTACTGCGTGTCTGGATCCCTTGTTGCCACCCCACCCCACTGCTGCACCGGGCAGGACGACATAAAGGAGTATCTGACAGCGCGGGGCGTGGAGTGGGAAGAATCAGCAGACCCCTTCATGTACTCCTCAAGCCTGCACTCCCGCCTTGTCGTGATCCACCCCACCCCACTGCTGCCCCACCCCACTGCGGCCCCACCACACCGCCGCACTGGGCAGGACGACATAAAGGAGTATCTGACAGCGCGGGGCGTGGAGTGGGAGGAGTCAGCAGACCTGATGGACGTGGCGGCGCAGTGCGATGTGGTGTACCAGACGCGCATCCAGAGGGAGCGCTTCGGCGGGCGCATGGACGAGTACGAGGCGGCGCGCGGCAAGTACATTGTGGACCGCCGCGTGATGAACGCGCTGGGGAAGGATGCCATCGTCATGCATCCTCTGCCCCGTCTCGATGAGGTGAGAGGGTGGGTGGACTAACTGGTTCTCTGTGCGTGCGTGCGTGCGCGCGCACTCGCGCGTGCGAGTTTGAGTGAGCGTTTTTCCTGTTGACAATGCAATTGTTGTGTGAGGAGCCTTAACCGTGTCTGGATGAATCTGTCGCTGGGTGTCCTGCAGATTATGACTGACGTGGATTCAGATCCGAGGGCATCTTATTTCCGCCAAGCTAAGAATGGCGTGTACATTCGTATGGCGTTGTTGAAGCTCTTACTGATTGGCCGTTAGTGGGAAGTAATGGTTTTCTTGGTCTCTATCAGAGCCTAACCACAATGGTGGAATTGTCAGCTTCACTTGTTTGAATGAAATGCTTTGGTGTACTTCCAATACGCGATAAGGTCAGCCTAGTGTACAGAGGAGTCCATTCAGTCGATCTGCCAGTGCTCTGCTCCTCTTGCTCGCCAGAAGGTCCAACCAGGGAGCCGTGTTTGAATTGAAGATTGAGGGGCTGCCACAGTGCCACATCGATTGGATCTTGCAAGTGCATAGTGTTGAACCTTTTTTGGATTCTGAATGGCAGGTTAGGTCCCATGTTCAAAGCTACAGTGCTTGTCTACACGCAATGTGTACCTTTTGATATTACCCTTCAGGACTGGAGGGTGCGATGAAAGGGCTTCATGAGATTCGGACGGTCTGGTTGTGGAACTCAGGGGTCAGATCTGAACAATCTTGAGCCATATCGCTAGAGGTGGTAAGGAGGTAGTTAATACTTTATCTGTCCGCCACCCCAGTTTTCAAGCTACCGAAAAATAGAGAACTAGCCATTCATGCCTTCCGTGTTTCGAGTTAACACTGTACACACGCACTACAGAGATTCGACGTCTCAACGCTGTTCATAGATTGAGGGGAAAGACGAAGCCTACGAGCTGTTGCTTTCGTGGGTAGCTGCCAGCGACGAACGACCTTTTGGCGACAAGTTGGTTTGGTGGTGGGCTGGGCGGGGTTTGAGGCAGCAGCGTGCCCTCTTTCAAGACGGCGGGCCAAGCCTGACTTTCCCAGGGTTGCTTATGGTTTAGCCCTTGTATTCGTTCACATCACACATATGGCGCTGTTCTTCTGGGGTTCTTGGTGGGCCAGAAGAACAGCGCCAATGTGTTTCCAACAGAGCAACTATGACTTGGCAGAGTTGAAGATAACTGACCTCTAGGGAATAGTCTCCAGACGAACTTGTTCCTTGTTTCGTCGTTAGGGTTGCGCGCCTCAAAGCCAGAATCAGTCGACTGGTGCTGAGGAGATCCAGCAATTTGGAAAACGTACTTGTACGTAGTGACCCAGTCATTTCCGACAGAGTATTATTTCATGCCGAAGACTGGTACACGTAAATTTCAATCAGCAGTTCGTCTCCCTCTTCTCAAGTTTCACCTTTCTCCGTTTCGTGTTGAGCCAGTAAGATTAGTCGCCTGCTGTTGCTTCAGCGAGAAATGCGCAGCCTGCATCACGCGTGGTCATTGATTTGTTGTCAAGCAGCACTTTTTTTTATCCTTGGGGGGAACTAAAGGTGTGTCAAGCAATCCTAACGGACTGGTAGCAGATTTTTTGCCGACATCGCTCGGTGTTGCTAATAACCATTTTGTTCTGCCAGATCCAGCAATAGCTCCCCCTTAGCATTCCCCATGGACTCACATTGTCGCTGCGGTTGCCGCAGCTGGCGCTTCTCATTTAGGTTGAACGGTCCGACAGAAGCTAGGCTGGTCTTACCCTAGTATTCGACTGTGGACCCACCTTAGGCAATCACTTTCGTTGCTACCCAAAGCACCGTCTCGCATACAACTGTTACAACCGTTCCACTTTTTGAGAAACGACTGTTACGGAAAGCTTGTCTCGCCTACCACTTGCGAACTGGGTCATATGTTAGCTCGTTGGCCGCGATGCGCGATTAGGAAGCCTTACTAAGTTAAAATGGCAGGCCGCGTCAACTGTCCGCTCGAAGCAGCTGTCGCCGGATGGATGGAAGAGAATGAGGACGCTGCGCGTTTCAGGGACTTAGACATTTCCGATTACGCGAACGCGAACGATTTCGGCGACGACGCCAGACCTAATTTCGGGAATGCGGGCTTAGATAGCTTCCACAACGCCACCGTCGGTTCCTTCGGCATTCCCGATGTCGTCTCCGCGAATTTCGGCACTGACCTGGCCGTGGGTGACTCGGACGGATCGCTGGTCCCGTGGGATCCCGACGTGGATGACGTGGATCAGACGTTCTATCCGTTCGTCATCGAGCCGCGAAGACCGCCTCCCGGCGTGCCTTTCGACCCCGCTGTGAGTCGCAGTCACTTCTTGGGCTCGTAGGGAGGCTCAGCTTCCCTCCTTGATTTGCTGGCTGTCGGTATTCCGATCCCCCTCCAGGACTCCATTTCCCCGCTGCATCACCGTTTCACTGTGCTCACGCTTTGCTTGTCAATGCTCTTCCGGCGATCTCCAGGTCATGCGTGTAACGTAGGCAAAGCCACCCTTAGGTCTCAGCATCTCTCTTCTCTACTCGTGCATGGCCCCTGCCTGCCCGGCTCACAGGGAGCGCCCAGGCCCAGCAACGAGGAGTTCCGCTTGCAAGTGCTCCGCCGCTTCGCCATCCTCGACACCGTACGTCGTCACCTCACAATCTAACCCGCCTCACACTCTCACCCCCCTTACACTCTCACCCCCCTCACACTCTCACCCACACCCTCATCCCCTTCACACTCTCACCCCCCTCGCACACTGTATACCCTTCACACTTACAGCCTCGATTCATTCACTCCCTCCCCATCTCCTTCTCATCTCCACCCCTTCTACAGTTCGCTTCCTTCCTGCCTTCCCTACCTTAATCCGTTTTCTTTCCTCAATTCCCAACACCCTCTTCCCATCTCTCTTCTCATTTCTGCTACTCCCTTCCCCACAAACTGTTCCCCACCGCTTCTCTCCCCCTCCCGCCCCCCACTTCCTCTACCCACCCCCCTGTGTCATTATATTTGTTCGTTGTTGCCACTCCCACAGGAGCCAAATTCCCGCTTCGACAGAATCACAGCACTAGCAGCACAGATATTTAAGGTCAGTATTCCCCCCACCCCACTCCCCCCAGTGCCACTCGCACCGCGTAATTTAAGTGACGCGTGAGGCATGCGCTTTTCTTTCTGGACGATTGTTTTTCCTCGCCTTGTCTCCCTAATCCCGTCTCGCTATCCCCCTCTCCTTATCCCCCCTCACTATTGTTCTCTCACTATCCCCCACTCACCATCTTCCCCTCACTATCCCCCACTCCCTATCTCACTTCCCCTCTCATCTGCACTGCAACGTGCTTCTTCCAGACTCTCCTTCAGCCTTCACTTCTCTTTGCCCCCATCTTCGCCCCTCTGCACCCATCTGCACCTCGTCGCCCTGCTGCAGTGCCCAATCTCACTGGTAGCTTTTGTTGAAGACGAGCGGCAGTGGTTCAAGGTAGGACCCTCCTGGGGCCCAGGTACAAGGAAAGGCCGTGCTGTCTGCTTGCAATCTTTCCAACTCGTGCGCTGCTGCCTTGTGTTTCCTTGCTCGCTCTGCCTTTTGCTTAAGCCTCTCTTCCCCCCTGCCTTACCCACCTCCTCTCGTTGTGCATCCCTCCCCTCCCACGGAGCAGTCCACGTTTGGGCTGCCAGGCGTGTGTGAGACGGACAGGGAGTCGTCCTTCTGCGCCTACATGCTGTTGCCCAAGTAAGACCCCTTCTTTTACAGCAAAATCATTGTCACAGCGTGTCTTCAGCGCATTGAGATTAGAGAAATGACACCCCCTTGTTCCGCTTCCTCACTTCTTCACTCCCCTCCTCCCAACTCCCCTCCACCACACTTAATTCCTCGCTTTTTCCATTTCTTCCATGCTTTCCCGAACCCCCTCTCCCTCCCCTCCTTTCCCCTCGACTCCGCAACTTGCCACCTCGTCCTCCCGCCCCCCCCCCGCCCACACAGTCGCAATCCATGTCTGGTGGTGAAGGACGCCTTGGAGGACAGTCGCTTCGTGCACAACAAGCTCGTGAGTCCCTCCCCCGCCTCCTCACCTCCTTCCCTCTTCACCTCCCTCGCCACCTCCTCCCTGACTCCCTCTTGAAATTTCTCAAAGCCGTTTCGTCCACATCAAGCTCTTGAGAGTCATCTGCCCCCTCTCCCTCTCCCCCCTCTCCCCCCATTCCCCTTTTCCCCCCTGCGTTCCTCCCCCTCCACGGCAGGTGGTGGGGCCGCCATACATCCGCTTCTATGCGGGGGCGCCAGTCACCACCAGTGGGGGCTTTGTCATCGGCTCGCTGTATGCGGCTCTCTTCCCCCCACCCTACCCTGTCTTTCTATGCTCTTGCCTAGGGATGAGCAGAGAACTGAACAGGTTTAGATTTTTAGCTTAAATCGTTCGCCGAACACTGTTCGATGTTCGGCCGAACATGTTCGTGTTCGTGGCGCTGCTGCAGAATGCCCGTGTCGAACACGCCTTCACAGGCGAACGCCGAACACCCTTTTTTGGGGAAATCGTTCGGCGAACCGAACAAGGGCGAACGCGAACATGTTCGAGTTCGCCCTTTGCTCATCCCTACTCTTGCCACCCCCTGCTGTCTCCCCTGCCCGCCCCCGCTGGCCTGCTTCCGCCTCCTGCTGCTCGTCCCGTCCGCCCTCTCTCCCTCCCTCTTTCCATGCCTTTCTGCAATTCCAGTTCACCACCCATTCGTTATCCCATGTCGTTTGTGCGACCTGCTACACCCTTTCCTTTGCCTTCCTTACTCTGCGGTTCCGCCTTGCTGCCTCACACCCCTCCCTGTCTTCTCGCCTGCCACCAACACCTTCCCTGTAAACAACGTGCCAACATGCCACCGTGCCGCCAGTTTACCACGCCACCATTCCACCATGCTGGCACGTCCAGCTCTCATGGCAGCTGTGCCTCCTGCTACCTCCTGCTGTGTGGGCAACCCTGTGCCTGCCTTCACTCACTCACACCCCGCCTCCCTCTCCCTCCTCCACCCCCCCCATGTCCCGCACTCGTCAGGTGTGTGATTGACACGGTACCACATCCAGAGTTCTCTCCCGAGCAAGAGAGCCTCCTCGTCGCCCTCGCCTCCCTCGTCACTCTCGTGAGGCATCCCTCCCTCCCTCCCTCCCTCCTTCCCCCCTTCTCTCCTCTTCTTTGCTCCCTGCCCTATCCCCCCTCTCTTCCTCCCGAGGTCACCCTCATGGGCCTCTGCATCCCTCCTCTTCCCTATCTACTCTCCCTCACTACCTTTGCGTGGCCATCAGTTTGTCTGTTGCTCCAGACACTGCATCTTCAAACCGTCCCTCTCATCAACCTCTCTGCTTTCCCTCCCATCCACGGCTTTCCCTTCCCGCGCTGTTCCCCCCTGCCCTGGGCGTGGGCAGGAGACGGACAAGCACAGCCAGGAGATAGAGGTGCAGCGCCTGTAGTCAGACGGTCACAGTGTGATCTGCATACCATATTAAACTCGCTCTCTCCATTTCCTACCCGCTCTTCTTTGACTTCCCTCCCTGTTCCCCCCTGCCCTGGGCGTGGGCAGGAGATGGACAAGCACAGCCAGGAGATAGAGGTGCAGCGCCTGTAGTCAGACGGTCACAGTGTGATCTGCATACCATATTAAACTCGCTCTCTCCATTTCCTACCCGCTCTTCTTTGACTTCCCTCCCTGTTCCCCCCTGCCCTGGGCGTGGGCAGGAGATGGACAAGCACAGCCAGGAGATAGAGGTGCAGCGGCTGCAGGCGGACAAGTTTGAGGAGGACAAGCGGGGCCTGCTGCTCGCCATCGACGCCTTCAGCGAGGGGCTCGTGCTCGTGGACGTGTCGCAGCCACGGCAGCCAGTGGTGTTTGTCAACGAGGGGTGGGAGGAGATCACGGGGTACTCCATCGAGCACGTGGTGGGGCTGCACTGCGGGTCCATCCTGCAGGGCCCTGGCTCCAACATGACGGCTGTTGAGACCATGAGGAAGGCCGTTGAGACGGGCGGGTCTGCGTCTGTGGAGCTGATGAACTACAAGAGAGATGGCACGCCGTTTTGGAATTGGTTGCGTATTCATCCCGTGCCGCCCGGGTCGTCTTTCCTGCCGACAGATAAGAACCAGAGGTGAGACTTCCCTCTCAGTAAAAAGCTGCTGTGGTCGCTGTGTGTGTATTCTCCCATGTATTCGTTTTCCCCATGTATTCCCCCCACCATGTGCGCACCCCCCAATGTGTCCACTGACCACGTGTGTGCCATGGCTGGCAGGTACTACTTTGGCATTCTCTCTGACTGCACGGCACGCAAGGAGAACGAGTGGCAGCTCGAGAGCATGCGCGTGAGTGCTGCTGCTGCCCATGGGGACAAAGGGGAGGCGGGAGGTTGGGGTGGGGGATGAGAGCGGGAGGTTGGGGGGGGGAGGGGGAGGGGGGAGGGGGGAGGGGGGAGGGGGGGGGAGAGTGGGGGAGAGCAGTTCTGCTGGGGTAGTGGGCAAGGCACAGGTTGGCGATTAGTGGGGATTGGCGGGCTATGACTCAGTGCTGCGTGGGTGGGTTGGCCTACAGCGTCTTCTGCTTTCGTACGCCTCTCCTCTTCGCTCTTCCTCCCTCTCGCTCATCTCTCCTCCATTCCCCCCCTCCTCGCGGGCCCTCTATTCGCCTGCTGCATCCATTTGTGTGCGACGGCACTCACACAGATGGCGGAGGTGGAGAGGGAGGCGAGCATGCGAGCTAAGAGGCAGTTCGTGGCGAACATAAGCCACGAAATCCGCACGCCCATGAACGCCGTGCTGGCGTGCGCGCAGCTGCTGCAGGACGCACCCAACCTCACGCAGGACCAGGTGGAGCTCGTGCACATGATCTCAGGCGCGGGCCAGCAGCTTCTTTCACTGATCACCGACATCCTTGACTTCTCAAAGGTACGTACCTCACTTGCTCTCGCTGGGCTGAGCACAGGCAGGCAGGACGCGCCCAACCTGACGCAAGACCAGGTGGATATGATGTTTTTTTAGAATTCTTAAAAAAGCACATGATGTTACGGGCGGGCCAGCAGCTGCTCTCACTCATCACCGACATTCTCGACTTTTCCAAGGTAGGTGTCGCTCGTAAACTGGGTTGGTGGGTCTGGTAGTTCCAGTAGCACGAGTGCACGCGCATCCAGGAGGCTCAGCTGGTGCAGATCGCATCTGTTTACCCTTTTCCCCCCTCTCTCCGCCTCTTCCCCCCTGTGCCAGCTGGACGCAGGGAAGATGGAGATGCATGAGAGGGAGGTGAGCCTGTGTGATGACCTCCCCCATTCCTCCCTTCATCCCCTTCCTTCCCCCCTTCCCCCCCCCCTCTCTCACCCTTCCCCCTCCCCACCCCCTTGTGGCAGTTGGACGCGGGGAAGATGGAGATGCACGAGAGGGAGGTGAGCCTGTGGGCGTGTCTTGACTTCTGCATGGAGCTGCTCGTGCTCAAGTCGCAGCGCAAGGGCCTCGACCTCTCCTACAACGTCGACCCCTCTGTACCGCAGTGAGTGACCCACCACCCCTCCGTACCGCAGTGAGTGTCCCTCCCAACCATTTGTACTGCGGTGAGTGCAGCGACCATGTTGCCTGCCACCGAGCGCATTAGCTTGCAGTGTGTCGTTCTGCTGTGCTGTTGTGTTAGCATGCCACAAGTAGTCTGGAATGACGCCGACCAGTCTGTGCGATTGCTTGTCTGGTACTGCCGACACTGTGCTTCTGACAACAGATTGGGACAGTGAATATTCTCTCAGATTGATCATGCTGTGCTGTGCTGTGCTGCTTTGCTGTGTGCTGTGTGCTGCTATGCTGCGTGCTACTGTGCTGCTATGCCGTATGCTGTGTGGTGGGTGGTGCATGGTGGTGGTGCATGGTGGTGGGTGGTGGTGCATGGGGGTGCATGGTGGATGGCAGGTGGATATGGGCGGACGAGGTGCGGCTGAGGCAGATCCTCACCAACCTGTTGTCCAACGCAGCCAAGTTCACGGACGAGGGCGGCCAGGTCGAGGTCTCCGTCTCCGCCACTCTGCTCCCCGACCCCGGTCAGTCTCTCCTCTCTGTGCTCACGTGCAGTTGTGTGTGGTGATGTGTTGTCTGCAGTGCCATGTGGTCAGTCTCTCTGAAGAGCATCGATGTTCTGAGGTGCTTTAAGCTCATTCCATCCCATGCCGTCTCATCCATAATGTGTGTTTTCGGTTCCTACCATGCGGCGACCCGTGGTTCCTGCTCACAGAGGGGGAGGAGGGAGAGCAGCAGCAGGGGGAAGAGGAGCCATGGCGCGTGCTGCCATGGCTTGAGATCCAGTTTTCAGTGCTTGAGTTTTGAGACGTCTCAAAAACTCGATGTCATGCCATTCAAAATGTGTTTTCCCCTGTCCCACCATGCATGCCCCACGCTGTGTGCTCACAGAGCGGGAGGAGGGGGAGCAGCAGCAGGGCGAGGAGGAGCCATGGCGTGTGCTGCCGTGGTTTGAGATCCAGTTCTCAGTGCGTGACACCGGCATCGGCATGCCGCCTGAGTTCGCCTCCGTCATCTTTGAGGTAAGCCCCTCTCGTCTGTCCTCCTGCACCATCCCCCCTTTCTTCCTCCCCCAACTGATCCTTCTACCCCAGTCCCCCCACCTGCGCCCTGCTTCGCTTCCCTGCCCCTGTGCCCGTGGTGCTCTCGGTTGTTCATGCAGTGTATCACCTCCACCCCCACCCTGCTTCCCTTGCTTTTCCTGTTCTCCCTTGCCCCTGCCCCTCCACCCTGCCCGGCCTTGGCCCCCCAGGCGTTCACGCAGTGTGACAATTCACGAACGCGGCGGTACGAGGGCACGGGGCTGGGCATGGCGATAGCCAAGGACCTATCGGAGCGCATGGGGGGGCGCATCTGGGTGGACACGGAGCTGGGCAAGGGCTCCACGTTCCACTTCACCATCCACGCCCACGGCTCCATGGTCGAGGCCTCCAACATGCTGCCCTCGCTGCTCGCTAATCAGGCCTCTGCGGGCCTTACTGCCCCCAGCAGCGGCAGCGCTGGTGGTGGTGCTGGCGGGGAGGGAAGGGATGCTGCTGCTGCGGCTGCGGCGGCGGCGGCTGCTGTGGCGGGTGCTACTGGTGCTCCCACGAGCCACAGAGGGAAGCTGCTGCTGCCCTCCTCGGCCTCCACCCCCTCGTCAGCCTCGCCAGCCTCTGCCGCCACCTCAATCCCCCCAACCTCTCTCTCTGCCGCCGTCCCTCCTCGCTCCCCCCCACCCCGCTCGCCCCGCCAATTCCCTCGGGCTAAGACCGTCCCGGCTGGTACCACCGCTGTTGCCGCTGCTACTGACTCGTCCGCTGCAGCACAGGGCAGCGGGGATCAGCCTGGCTCACCCAACGCTGATACTGCACCACCCGCCACCCTACCCAGATCCGAGAGCGATAAACCCTCCCACACACCCTTCTCCCTCCCTCCTGACTCCGCCCCGACCCCATCGCCCTTACACAAGCTCTTCCTCACGCCTCCCATCACCCCTCTCACGGGAAAGCGTGCGCTGCTAGTGGGAGTGCCGCAGACATTCCACCGCATGCTAGGGTCCATGTTAGCCGCGTGGGGCGTGTCGTGCACTGCTGTGCGCACAGTGGACGCATTCTGGGACCAGTGGACGGGTGAGGAGGGCGGGCTGGGGCGTGCAGCAGGGTGCAGTGAAAAGGAGCAGCAGAAGAGCCTGCTCAAGGTGTACCGATCGGGTAGTTGGAGCGATTTACCCTTGTTTGGGTGGGCGGATGGGGAGGGTGAGGGGGAAGGCGAGGGAGGAAAGAGTGGGGCGGTGGGGAGAGTGAGAGGGGAGGAGAGGGGGAAGGGGTATCCCAGGGCTATGAGCACGCCCAGAGGGGTGTTTTCAGGGAGGGCGGACGGAGCAGGGTCGTCTGAACAAGAACCTACTGAGGATGATGATGAGGAGGAGGGGGATGGTGAGGGTGAGGGTGATGGTGGGGATGGTGATGATGGTGGGAATGAGGGGGAGGAAGGAGTGGGGGATGGGAAGCAGGAAAGGGAGGACGATGAAAGCACGAGAAAGGAGGGGAAGGAGCGGAAGAAGCGGGGAGGAGAGGAGCTGTCGTTCCTGGCGCGGGTGCAGGCGCGGCAAGGGCAGCGCTTCGACGTGGTCCTTGTAGACGGACCTGCAGTGACGAGCAGTAGAGGGTGTGGCGGGCAAGGGAGGTACGGAGGGGCGTTGGCATCAGCGCTGGCAGCGCAGCACGAGCAGGAGCGGGCGCTGCTGATGATGCACCTGGGGTGTGCGTGTGCGGGCACAGTGCCCACCTTCCTCTTCCTCTCCAAACACTCCAAGCGCCAGCTGCCCTTCGACCCCGCGCTGCTGGTGAGCCCTTCGCCCCAGCACTACTGGTGAGCCTTGCTGCCTGCGCTGCTGGTGCTGCTGCCTTCCATTCCAGAAAGAGTAACTTCCCGTTCTTTTGTTTTCTCCTTTTTTTGGGGGGGAAATATCGTCTCCCACTCTCCATTCATTGCTCTCATCTCCTCCTTTCACTGCTCGTTGCTGACACTCGCCGCTCTCTCGTCAATTGCCGTCTCTTCTCTTCCCGTTCCCCTTTCCCGTGCCGGCAGCGCAAGGTGGCGATGCTATCTCGCCCAGTGCGTGTGAACCAGCTGTGCAAGCACACACCTCGTCCACTCTCTCCTCTTCCTCTCGCTCTTCCCTTTGCTGTCCCTCCCTTCCCCTCTACTCCCCTTCCATCTTCCCCCCACCCTTCGTCCCTTACCTTACCACCAGCGCAAGGTGGCGGTGCTATCACGCCCAGTGCGTGTCAACCAGCTATACAAGCACCTCATAGAGTACCTCGCCCCCTCTGCCCTCGCCACCGTCCCTGCTGTCCCCGACTCCCCCCGCTATGAGACCCCCGCCTTCTTCGACGTGAGTAACCAGTCGCTCCCCTCTCTCTCTCGCTCGCACCGTGCTGCATTTCGTGTCTTCGTCCGACTTTACCAATGACACCGTAATGCCTCGTGCTGCCTCCATCCTCTCCTTTTCCCCTCCCCCCCTTTTTCCCCTCTCGCCCACTCTCCCTCTCAACCCCCCTCATCCCTCATCCCTTCTTTCCCCCTGCCCGTCCCTCCTTTCCCCCTCCCCGTCCCTCCTGTCCCCCTCCCCGTCCCTCCTGTCCCCCTCCCCGTCCCTCCTGTCCCCCTGCCCGTCCCTCCTTTCCCCCTCCCCGTCCCTCGTGTCCCCCCCCCCGGCCCCATGCAGGAGCCATTGGACCTGCGACCAGCGCCATCAGCAGTGTCGCCCTCACCGGCACCAGCAGGGCTGTCGGGCATCTCAGTGCCCTCCTCCTTCGCTGGCTGCTCCTCCGCGCCCCTCGCCTCCATCCCCACCTCCGTCTCCACTGCAGGTGCGCCCTCCTTCACCCCCACTGCAGGTGCGCCCACCTTCACCCCCACTGCAGGTGCAGTCGGGTGTACCCTGCACACCCTGCACACCCTGCACACCCTGCACACCCTGCAGCCCCGCTGCACTACAGAGCATGCACACTGAGCCGCTCAGCTATGCTAAGCTCGCATGGCAGGCACCGCCACCACCTGCTCTGCAGCCTTTCTTACCATCTGCACTCCCACATCACCCGCACATCCCCGCCCCACCATTTCCCTCGCCCCTCACACCCCCCGCACTATCCCATCCGGTTCACCACCCCAGGTCCAGCGGCAGGGTCGGACCCAGAGGAGGTGGCGAAGGCGGTGGCGAGGGACGTGGCGGCGCTGCGCGTGGCGGTGGTGAAGGAGCCCATGCCGCTGGGCGTGGTGAGGGCGGAGCGCTCCAGCCCGCGCCCAGGGGACCTGCAGGTTCTCATCGCCGAGGACAACATCGTCAACCAGCGCGTGCGTGCCTGTACCGGGTCGTTGGAGAAGGGAATCGAACCACAGCAAGCTCAACACTTGGTGCTATGGGGCTGATGGGTAGCTAAAGCAAGAGAGTGGTGCCCATCGCGGAGAACAACATCGTCAACCAGCGCATGCGTGCTTGTTACCAGTGCTGTCACTCTGAGCTCTATCTGCCGGCTGTGTGCTTGTTGTTCGCTGTTGTGTGACTGATAGTCTGGTTGACACCCTTGTGTGTGCATGTGTGCTGGTGCTTACACCCTTATGTATGGGGGGGTGCAGGTGCTGCTGAAGCTGCTGAATGGCATTGGGGTGAGGTCGTGCTACACTGCAATCAACGGGCTCGAGGTACTGCCCTGCCCCTCCACGCTCTCCCTCTGCCTTGCCGCCTCTTCCCTGCATACTTCATTCCCCGCCAGCTAGTTTGCACCGCGATTTACAACTTTTTCAGAGGCATAGGCCCATTCACTGTTCTCCCTATGCTGCTACCCACCCTTTTCTCTGCACTGCACATGGCTTACTTTCTCCTCCGCTGCTGTCTGATCCCTCTCTCCCCTCGCCCAACCTGGCGGTGCCACTGTGTGTGCATGGCGGCACCAGGTGATGCAGCGGCTGCGGCAGGTGACGGTGGATCTGGTGCTCATGGACGTGCAGATGCCCGAGATGGATGGTCTCACTGCCACTGCCTGCCTCAGAGTAATGCACACATAACCCCTCGCGGCCGCTCTCAACCGTTCCTCACCATTTTCCACTCAAGTTTAAACATACATGAACATTCCAGCCTTTCTCTGTGCCTCTTCATGTGACACGTTGACCGTATCATTGCTACTATTTTCCCTCCCTTGTAACGCACTTCTTCCAGAGGGAACTACCGCCAGAGCAGCAGCCGGTGGTCGCAGCACTGACGGCAGATGTGGGATCGGGAATAGAGTCTGAGTGCAAGGCTGCTGGCATGAACTCTTACCTTAGCAAGCCTGTCAGCAAACCGGCACTTCAAAATTTCATTTCCAAATGCTTATCGTGGAAGCAGAAAGGGGCCATAGACCCTCTGAAGTGGATGGATTGAGCGAGTCTGAGAGCAACAGGAATAGGATTAGGGGGTTTCAGGTCCAGTAGTCACAGTAGGTATATATTAAGGTGTTCAGTAGATGGCAGTGTGTTGATTAAGTTAGGCATCTTAAATATGGGTGACGACCAGCTATCTTGCTTTAATCGTGAGAAATGAATGTTGCTGAATAGATTGATATAGCTTACAATACGAGATTTGTTTGTTGTATGTTTGTTTGGTGCTGCTAGTCCCATCTCGGCATTATCGAGATTGGCGTTCCTTCTCTCCATTGCCCTACCCCCCCTTCTTGTCCATCCTGGCCTTCGAGTTCTGTGTCCTATTGCTGTTCCTGACAGGAGTCTCTTGTTGCTGTGATCACGAGACATTCCAGCATTGCTCGCTTTATACGGAAGAAGCCCTTGCTCTTCCATTCGTGGTCACTGTCATTAGATCCGGTGTCATGGAGGGTTCCTCGTCTCGGGAGGGAGGCATTCAGCTCCTTTTAGCTGCAGAGCAAGAAGCGCAGAAGGTCGTAGCTGCAGCTCGTGCGGGTGGGTCGCTTCGCTAGCTTCTGCAGTTTGGATCTTTTCACTCGCCGATGCAACGAATAGACAATAGTCTTCCTGTCAATATGATCCTCACCTGGTCATTCTCCTTCGGTTCCCGCACTACCATTTTGTTGACTATTTGATTTCCAGCCAAAACTGCTAGGTTGAGGCAAGCGAAGGAGGAAGCGGAGAGGGAAGCCGCTGCTTACCGCGCTCAACGCGAGGAGGAGTATAGGAAGAAAAAGGCCGGGGTAAGTGTTAGTTCAACATAGCGGCGGAGACATGACATTTGTTGAAATATTTGAAACTGTAAGGATCCATTGCGCCTCCCTACAATGGCCGGTTGATGTGTACAAGCGCCATCGCATTATTGTTTCGCGCGTCTCTGATACACTTTTGTCTCTGTCTGTACGATTTGACAGACGTCAGGCGACTCGGAAGCGACCGTGAAGCGGCTGGAAGTGCAAACAAGGCAGAAGATTGATCAGCTGACTAAGGAAGCGGGCAACGTGTCCAAAGATGTAAGTCTCCTTGTTTCCTTAGGTGATGTGATGTGTCATTCATCCGTCTCCCTTCCTATCCTTGCATCTTTGTTCCTGCTGAATTTATCATGTGAACCTGTTTTATTGCGCTGATGTGCAGGTTACTGCAATGCTCCTTGATCTTGTGACAACAGTGAAGCATTAAGATCGTTACCTTCTCGCCATGGCCACTTCATAAGGTCTAGAATGCATCTTCTGTCACTAGGAATTTTTAGTCAAGATACTACATATGATCATTGTTGTATGCAGGCTGTTCATATGATGGTTCATGGAGGTTCAGGTTCAGAGTCCAGCTGTGTGTCAGGCTTGCTGTTCCTTGATGCTGACCACAATGGTTTGATATTCACATATACCGTAGTTGCTGTTTGGCTTGAAGCATGGCACTGAAAAACGTTTCCTTGCAGCTTGACTTGTGCACTCAGAAGTCCAAGAGCAGCTTTGGTAGAATCCTCTCTAAATGAGGTCCTTCAATCTCAGTGGACCCTTCCACCTCTGCCTGCTCTGTTGCACGGCCTACTGCTTCTGCATACCAAAGATTACAATTCAGGGATTATCATGAGCTTCATAGTGTTCTACTTCGTTCTGAATGGAATGGGAAGTGCATGCATGCACCCCTGGGTAAAGAACATGCAACTCACCTTGAACGAATAGCCGAAGAATGCCACAACAAAGGCGTTGAGCTGGTTTGGTTACTGCCATGACGGTTAGGGCACGGCATTGCAGAGAAGAGGCAAGTTACCGGTACCATGTATGTGTACCATCATCCCACCTCATGCCATGCTTCTTGTTTCACCTAACACAAGCACAGCATTGCAGGCATATGGAAGTGATGCCTACCAGGGAGGTCTCCTGCTCTCATGCCCACAGTGGACTGTCTCTTGCGTTTCTTCCGTTGTCCTGGTGCTTCACCGCCAACCTCGGCGACATCCGTTGGCCCATCACTCCCTTCAGCAGGCGCAGCAGGCGGATCCGCGTTGTCCATATCATCCTCCCCTCCAGGATGTCTTGCTGCGTCTGATTCTCCTGCGCTTCTGACGAGTCCTTGAGGCGAATCAATCGGAGCAGCTACACGATCAAGGCTGGTTCCATCCTCGCCCCCTTGCTCTGAGGTCGAACCTGGAGGCTGGGCCTGCCATACGGCGGTGTACCCTGACGTCAAATACTGGCATCAAATCCCGGAAAGCGGAATCGGCTACACGATCACGAAATAAGGCCAGAAACGAACCTGCGAGTGCGCATCCGCTGCGTAGACATGTCTGAAGAACTCCGTGAGGACTTCCTGCCAATAGAAAGCCCGAAATCAGTCAACGCGGACCTGGGTCCCTGCTCACAGGGGAGCAGTCTACTGCGAGTCGGCTGTACGAGCGTAAGGGGAAGGAACAAATCTCACTGGCAGAAATTGGCCATGCTCTTCGTCCATCTCGCAGGTGCCTCAGAAAGAGGACGTACGAGCTACAACTGGTCCTTGGTGGTGTGAGGTGGCGGCGTTCAAAGGTGAGGTTTGCCGATGGACGAATGTGTGATGCTGCTTACTTCTGAGCCAGTGGTTGCCAAAATCAGAGACAATCATACAGAAGTTGATGGGCGTGCCATTTGGGTAAAGACTCTTGGAAATTGCTGGTGAGACCCCTGATATACCTTATCCATGCCTCCTTTGCATCTACCAGCTCTATTTGAAACGTGCTCAGTCTACATTGGCAGTATGGTTTACATTTGCCACAGTTGTGACGATCCCGCTCTTCTGTCATTGGATAACTCAGCCATCTGTGGAAAGCTGCAACCTGCACATTTCCAGCAAGAACAAAGGGAGGAAAACGAGGCATTGCCGAACTATTGGAGTCATTCTCATTCAATCAAACCCAATTTCCAGCCGCCACCTACACCACCCCTCCCTTCCCCATTCCCCAGTACCTCCATGTCAAATCTTGCCCTCCCATAGCCTCTTCAAATGCACACACACGCAACCCCGCTTTCAAAATTAGAATACCTGTAACGCATGCAGAATATTGTAGAACACAACCGATGTCATCAACACGCTTGCTTTTTCTCCAACAGAGTCCCCTCGCGCTCCTCCACCTCTCTCCTCAGGTCCGCCCTGGCCGTCACTTCCATCCATGGACTCTTCACACATTTCAGCTGCATGTCCCTGCCTCTCCTTCCCCTCTGCCACGTCCTTCTCCATCTCTCCTGCCATTTTTCTACCTTTTCCAGATTCTAAAACCGGGCATGGAAGGCAGGGGCTTGTCCCGTCTCTTCTTGAACTGGGACTTGAAGTAGGAACTAACACCACCCACTCAGACTCCGTCTGCACGACCCCTGCATCATCACTTCCAGGTGGTGGCTGCATCGTGGCATTGCAGTTGGTTTGCAAGAATGGGACATCCTTCCATCCCATACTGGCTAGCTCCTGTATCCGTATATCAACCACTCCCTCTCCCTGCTCCTCTATTTCTGCCTCGCTCCCTCCCTGCTGCTCCCCTCCCTCCACTTCACTATTCCCCCCCTCTTCCGGTCCCCTGTGTCCTTCCTTCTGCACAAGATACAGAGAATCAGACGCCACAAGTGGTATGGGCACCAGCATTGCCTCAGTCCCGTCCTCCCTGTCAACATGCACACACGTCACGCCCTCACTGCCACAGGGTGAACGCGTCGATCTGAACACACGCCTCCTCTTTGACCTTTCCATCCCTCCATCCTCCCCGCTCCCCTTGTTCTCATTCCCTTCTGACAGTCCCCCGCTTGGTTCCCTCAAACATGTCTGGTTGGTTCCGCATACCACTTCCCTAACGCCCCTGCTCTCAGATATAGCCCCCACCTTAGCATTCTTGGCAGCTTCGTTAATTCCTCCAGGTCCCACCTCCCTCGTAGGAGAGGAATTGAGGGTAGTGCGAGGAAAGGGAGAGCGGAGGGAGAGGGGGATGCGAGATAGGAGGGTGAGGAGGGAGGAATCTTCGCTGTGTGACGGGTCGAGTGTGAACCAGAGAGTGAGGGTTAGGCGTTGACCTTGAATCACCTGCTAAGAAGAAAAAAACGTCAAGGGTGAGTATGGGTCTGACTATGATACGCTATATCCAGAACAGGTTAAGTGTTTTGCGCATAACCTGTTCCTCTCCTTGTACCTCCCTCCTCCCATCTACCACCAGCATCTCCATCATACTTCTTACAGGATCGACGCAATGCTCATTCTCCTCTGAAGCTGAGTATGCCACCAGTCGCTGCAGTCATATGAGAGACACGGCAGCGGATGAAAATAGCAGAGATTGTATGCATGTCCGCAGCCAAATAACATGGAAAGATTGCATGACCGCATGTGGAATATGCATGGGCAAGCAGAGGGTGACCCGATCACCACAAATGTTCAACTTGCAACATACTCACCCCGGGCTTGGGAGTGACGGTGTGAGGATGGCCCTGTCGAAACCTGAAAAGACCTCCATCGAAGTCCTTGCCATACTCGTTCAGATAACACACTGCCTGCGATACATGAGAACGAAAATGTGGACTCTGATGCACAAACAGGAGGCACACACAAGTACCATCACAGTTGAGCAGTAGCAGTGCAGACCCGAAGTGAGCATAGAGACTGCGTGACAAATAGCCCATCCCAACAAGCACAGTAGCAGACGCAACATAGCAGAACCTAAAAACAGGACGCGAGAAGCGGTGGTGATGAGCACAATGGGCGTGTTACAGCGAATGCGCGCTGCTTGAGGTAGGGCCTGTTGTCGTCAGCATGCCAGCCAATGGTGGCTCCAGGCAGCCAGCTGATGAGCCCCGTGAACTCCACCAACAGCCCCAGCTGCATGCCAAATGCCTCCTCCACCCTGTCTCGGATGCGATCTGCCATGCATGCACGGATGACTGACCAACTCGTGTCAGGTACATCCTTATTACTCTTGAACGCAGTGCAGGCATACGTGGCCTAGATTCTGGTTACGGTCGGTAACACAGCACATCATGCTCGGCCAACATTGCGCCACACAGCACAACGTGTAGAGCATTTGAGATATAAACAGGCAAGAAACGATGAGGCGATCATGGGAGGCCGATGCAAAGCACCTGGCTCTGCAGTGACTGATACAAGGGTACCTCGAATGGGGAGGATGGGGAGCATGAGCGGAGCGCAGTTGGAGGCAATAAGATGGGCGAGCGTGGTGGAGCGCACATGCGGTCGGTACCCCACCGTGCTGCTGCTCGCGTGAATGAACGCCAGTTCCTGGATTGGAAGACAAGGGGGAAGCACAGTCAGGAGCGTCTGACGTGATTCCCAACACTACATGCGGTGAATACCAAGTCCTATGCTGGCGTTGAGGAACGGCAGCTCGTGGATTGTGAGGGGCGGTGACGTGTGCGGGTAAGAAACGCGTGGCTTGCTCGCGATGAGGAACGAGATGGAATATGACGGGAAGTCTTGTTACGACGGGACCAGAGGGAAGTCGTAAGTGCGAGTGCGAGTCGGGTAAGCGCATCCCACCCACCTCGCACTCACGCCGGCTGAGCACGTCGTCGATCACAATCCTACGTGGCGCGAAGGAAGCGTCAACGGCACTCGGTTGCTCAGCTGCACATGGATTCATGGCGACGGCGCATATGCTCAGAATCGGCTCTTCCTGCTTATACTGCCAAAAGTTCTAAGCGCTTATGTCAGGTCTCCGGCTCACTTTAGTTAATCATACTACGACCGCATGAGGTAAACAGCGATCGAGTGAACAGCGTCATAGAAATTCCTGACGTGGCTCGAAGTGGCTAGTCCCACGAAGCAATAAGGGACGCAGTCCCGAATTTGCAAATAACTATCTGGGTGACAATAACGACGACATAAAAGGGCCGACTGGCGTACTTGCCACACGAGGTGTAATTATAACTCGTGCCGTATGGATATCAAGACATATGGGCGGCATAATTTTTGCAACAAAACGGGCTGGCAGCAAACTGCTGGCCCCACACCACAATTTAACCAGGAGGATGTATATTACACTTCTGTAAGTGCGTTAATAACGACTAGTACATACCTAATCATAACTATTATGAACACAAAAAATTGACCATATGAAATTGGTAAAACCAATAACACCAAACATTATGTTCTCAAGAATTCCACAAGAACCAACTGCCCCTTTTGCCAACACTGCCTTGTGAAGACACTAAGCAAGGGAAGGCAGAGGGCATGGCAGTGGTGCAGGGCGCCCAGAGAAGCAAGCCCAAACCATCCCAACCAATTCAGGTATGGCAATGGAAGGGTTGCTCTCCTTCAGCCGCTGGGCACAGTACCAGCGGCCCAAGCCACGTGCCATGACGCATCAAGCATCTTCGCGGCCCTGCCTTCCCAACACACGCTCAATCAACCAGAACAAACACAAACACAAGGCAGGACGCTCGGAGGAGCCACAAGCCCCTCCCAAAATGAGAACAGGAAACTCCAGAGAAGTGAAAAGTACAGGATAGCTTAATGCCCAGGACAACCATAACTTTTAAAGTTCAAAGAATGGGGACAGAAAGACGAGCAAGAAAGCCAATGGAGAGCACACAACGCGTCACAAACGAGAAGGCACAGTGCGTACCTCCACACAAGCCCCATGCCCGCAGCAGCAGCAACCTCTCTACGCCTTGGTGCGGCCGTAAAACTTGGCCTTCTCGTCGGACGTCTGGAAGCGACCGTGGCCGAACTTGGAGGAGGTGTCGATGAACTTGAGCTTCACCTCCTCCAGCGCGTTGCGCGACGTCTGCTTCAGCAGCGACCGACGCAGCGTCAGCACGCGCTTGCGCACGCCAGGGCAGCACCCCTTGATCATGATGTAGTCCTCGTTCACGATACCGTACTGCGCGAAGCCTCCCATGGGGGTGATTTCCTTGTCGGTGCGGTCGTACTCCGTGCTGGCCTTGTGGCTCTCGTCGCCCTTCTTGCCGATCTTGTAAATCTTCTTGTTCAGCTCCGTGCGGTGATGGTAGCCGTTCTGACCGGCGCGCGCCACGGTGTACGGCACGCGAGCCGGATGCCACGCGCCGATACAAGCGACCTTGCGAAGACCGCGATGGGTCTTGCGAGGCAGGCGGGTAACACCCCAACGGTGCACCACACCCTCGTTACCGTGACCCTTGGTGATGGCGATCACATCAATCATCTCGTCCTTGCGGAACACGGCATCGACCGGCACGGCCTTCTCGAACAGCTTGTATCCCCAGTCGACCTTCTCCTCGATCGTACCGCCGTTGATCTGGATCTCCATCAGATGCGACTTCTTCTGCTTAATTCCCTTGAGCTTGTGCACCTCGGTGTGCGCCATAACGCGGATGATCGACGCGTGCTTCTTCATGCGCTCGAGCTCCTCCTCGATCTCCTTCTTGCCCTCATCCGTGCTGAACTTCTTAGCGTACTTGGTGAACGCCTTCTTCTTCGACTTGTGCCAGTTCTTGTACCACCGCCGCCGGACGTTGTCGCTCAGATGCCCGGCGTACACGTGCGTCAGCGTGCGCGGGCCGTGCGCGGTCTTGACGTACGCGACGAGACCGCAGACGATCATGGGGGGGGTCTCGACGATCGTGACGGCCTCCGCAGCCTCCTTCTTGTGCAGCCCTGTTGATAAGCGACGTCCAGAGCATCACATGGAGGGATTAAACTGCGTGCACGTCGAGCATGGAAGTATCAGCTAAGGAGAGAATGTGGGAACACACGATTTTGGGACCGTCGAGGGGAGGTGCGGATTCAACCCAAAAGAGTGAGTAACATTGCGACGAACGAAATGGGAAGCGAAGCAAGGCGACATACTGGATCCGGGCTTCTCGACCTCGCGGACGATGTGCGTCATGCCCGCCTTGTAGCCCAGGAACGCCGTCAGGTGGGGAGCCTTGGTGGGGTCATCCTTGGGGAACGCCTTCACTGCCAAGATGCAACACGGATAACGGCACGCACGCACACAGCGGATCACACGACGGCTTCAGTAGACGAAATCAGCGCCCCATCGGTGACTCTGCACCGGTACGTGAGGCCTAGTCTATCCTTTCCGAGGGACCAACTGAACATGAAACTTTGATGTGGGAACTGTAAACGCTAATTGACTTGATGGGCCATCGGTCAGGAAACTACCTTTCCCGCGTGAGCGCTTGCACCGCTTCCGGGGCAAGAAGCCGAGAGAACCATGGCGCGGATGCTCGAACTTCCTGTGACTCATCCTGGCAGGACGTCCCTAGCCAAGAGAAATTAGGGAAAAGGGTCTAGACAGTTAGAAGGTAGAACACAAATAGGCAGTGAAATGGGGAAAATCGCCAAGCGCCAGGGAGAACGCGAGGTAAGGATGGGAAGTTGTGGAGATGTGGTACGGTATGCAGGTGCATAGAGGTCGGGTGAGGCTGGCTTCGGAAGGATTTTTGGGCATCGCGGAAACAAGTCCAGACAGAACTTCTAGAAGCAGGCTCATGAATAATGTTTCTACAATAATATGCTTATATCTATTCAGAGCTACTCAAGTTCACTAGAACCTGACACGTTCCTCTAAGTCAGATCACTGCATGATTCAGTACTTTATTGACTTACCCTCACATCACCACGGCTAGAAAGGACTGTTGATTCAACTCAAACTCCTTCAAATACACACGTTGCGTTGTGGCATTCTTTGGTACAACCCGCATATGGAACATATCATACAGACACAATATCAATTTGCAAAGTGAATGTCATCGTCACAAGCCAGTATGGTTATTGCTTCAGGACCCGACCAATTTTTTTGGCTGTTGCACCTGCTCCACACTATCTTGGTGCTGGAACAGATGTGACGCGACTCCTATATTTCAGTTCAATGGCAGAGCCTGCAAAACCAACTCATCCATACAACATTTGTGTGCTTCTTCAAACCAGCGATCAGATGCAGCTAGCTCTGGGGCTGACTGGTGGAGTTTCCAGCTTGTCCCGGCTTGTTCCAGCGAACGGGCGGTGTGGATCGCAGCATCTCCAGCAGCTTCTCCTCCTGCGCTGCCTTGGCCGGCGACAGCAGCACCCGGCTGCTCTGCAGCACCCCACTTCCTCCTTCCTGCTCCTTTCCCCTCTCTGCCTGCACCCCTCTGTCACTCCCCCCATACGGAGACATTGCATAATCACTGGAAGAGGAGTCTTGGGATTGGGAAGCAAGAGAGAGTCTGTGCGCTTCGGGCAGGTGGGAGAAGGCAAAGTTTTCGTTGGTCAGGCCCCGTGGACTGATCCCCCCACTGCCGCTCGCACTCACACTCATGCTGCCACTCATGACGCCACTCGCACTGCCAACCACAGAAGCCCCACCTGCCCGCCCCATATAGCCACCCAACGCCGGTCCCACCCCACTCACAGTAGCACTCCGAGCCACTAGACCACCCCCACACAAGCCACCGCCACTAGAGTTAACAATGGAGCCGCTCAATGGCGAGGATAATGGCATCCCGCCCCACCCACTGCTCACGCTGCTGAGAATCTCCTGCAGTCGCTCATGCCCGCTCTTTCCCCCGCGCGCCCCTCCCCTCGCCCCTCCCCCACCGCTGCTAGGAGCCTTCTCTGACCGGCTTTTTGTGAGCCTTGGCCCCCCCACCCGCCTGGACCCTGAAGCGCCACCATCGATCCTACGGCCACTAGATGGGCTCGAGCGCCCTCTTTCCGGCTCCTCCTCCTCGCCCTCCTCCTCCTCTTCCGCTACCCGCTGCTGCAGCTGCTGCTGCGACTGCGTCCAGCGATGGCTGGAGCTTCTCGAGCTTCGGCTTCTGAAGAGAAGCGCGCCGATTTTGCCCTTGGACGAACCGCTCGGTTTCGCACTCGTTTGCTTCTCTACCGGTGCTTTCAGAGCCACGTCAGCGTGCGAATCTGGAGATTCGACCGTGCCTTGCAGCAGCGGACCGGAGTGGCGTTCTGCAGATGCTGGGAGCGGCCCCTGCGGCGCGTGCTGCTGCTGATTCTCGGTGATCGCAGGGAACGCCGCATTGTCGCCTCCAATTCCACTTGCTGACGCTCCGCCCCCCTTTACCCCTCCATTGCTTGCGTCGCGTCCTCCGTTTCCCCCGTTTCCTCCTCCGCGCACTCCGCCATTTCCCGCATTTCCCCCGTTCCCCGCGCCGGGCCCCATCACGGGCGTGTCAGCCGGCCCCTCCCCCTCGTGTTCCCCCAGGGGCCCTACTCTCCCCGCATTCCTTGCGCGCATTAACACAGGGCTGAACCCGCACGCGTCTAGGAAACCCCCTCCGCCTCCGCCGCCGTTTCCGATGCTGTTCCCGCCTCCCCCAGCGCTGTCCACCCCCGACGCGGCAGACGGCCGCTCGCGCACGGAAAATGCGCGGGTGAACATTTTCCGCGTCGCCGAGCCGCCCGCGCCCGAACCTGCGCCAGAGCCATTACTACCAGGGGTGGCCAGACCTGTCGAGGCGAAGATGGGTGAGACTTCCGAGCCTAGAGGCTTGGCGACGCCGCTGTCGTCCGGCGACCGAAACAGCGACCCTGATGACGTCACGTTCATAGATTTCGACCGCATGCGGTTCGCAAGGGCGGCTTTCGACGGCTGCAGCGACGGCGCGCTATCGGCCCCTGGCGACTCGCTGCTAACTTTATTCGCCGGCGACGACCCATTGCTGCCGTCCGTCAGCTTCCCCCCGGCCGCATTGCCGCTCCCGCCGCTCCCGGCGCCCCCGCTACTAGTAATGCTGTTGCTCCTGCTGTGCGAACCGCCATGCCCCACCCCCCCGCCTGCTCCCCCCGCAAGCAGCGGGTCGTCGAATCCGGGAAGCTTCTGAATCCATTTACGAAAGACGGATGGATTCTCCGCCGACAAACGCTTCCCGATCTCCTTTTGGAGCCCCGTCGCGGTCGTCTGCACGGCTTGGAGGAAGATTCCCAGCTGCTTCTGGGCCAGCTCTGCCTCAGATACGACCTCCCCCAGGTCGCGATGAAAGCGGCGGAGGTCCGCGGGGGCGGCCCCCGCCTGCCAGACGTCGTTCCGCGTGGGCGCGCGGGGGATTTGCGCCAGAAGGTGGTTGAGTTGCGCCAATGCGGGAATCTTGTAGCAGTGCGGGATGTACCAGTCGGCTTTCCAGACCTCCCCCACCGCCTCTGGCGCACCGGTGAAGCCGGTGGGCATGGCGAGGTGTATTACTGGGTAAGAATGGGAAAAAAACTCTTATCGGGGAGGTATTGGGAGCAAACGGTGCGGTACCTTTCAGTAACTAGAACTTCTTACGTGGCGATTTCAATAGTAGCGAAGACAATCACTGGCGGGGGGACTTCGGAGACACGTTCGAGGGAGCGCAGCGCAGAGTGATTCCTGAGGCAGCGATCGTCCATGGCCGACGAGGAAACAGGCTTCGAGAGTGCATTCCCCGACAGTCACGACATCGACCAGGCCATCTCATCGCGGAAAGTCTAGGGTTCCGGCTGAAGCTGGGTTCTATGGCGTGGCGGCGAGTCTAGTTCGCTCTGCCAGTGGCTCTGATCAATGGCGTCTGTGAGTGAACCTAGCTTGGCTGATTGAATGAAAACCTCCCTCCGCCACACGTCCCTGTTGCCCACCATTGTCCATCCAAAACAGCGGCTCCACATCCGAACCAAAAAGATTTTGATCCCAGAACCGAACCAGCAACAACAAATGGCATGGCCCTGGAATCCGTGTTATTCGTACGGGATATCGAGTTTTGCAGGTTTCCCGAACGATTGGTTTCGGTTTCCAGGCACAACGTTTCTCCACAGCAGAGTCAAAGACATTGGTGCGCAATTTGAGTGCATGAATGGGGGCGAGGTCAGGTAGTACATTTCTCATGCGCTTACGGTTCTTGTATCGTGGTTCAAAACACGGTGAAAAGCGGTCTTCGAAATTTACCGCTCTGCACCGTGTTGGACCAAGTAACCGCGGTAGGCGTACAAAAAGTTGCACAACCTGACCTCTCTCTAAACCAGTCCGACCATGCCAGCCCCAAAATTCAGCAATCTGTACAGTACAGGCTGCAGCGGAGGACACGACAAGGCCCTTGCGATCCTTGCGAAAGCATCGAACCTATGACGTTCGTCGCCCGACTCACTCTAATCGCCTAGTCGGCTCGAGCCGGAGCGTGGTCCCAAGTGCACATCCACAGTTCCATTACAGTTTCCCAAATGGCTAGCCTTGACAACCCGAACCTCCAAACCATGCCAGCCTGGAGACAGGCTGTAAAGGTGAGACTTGTCTTGTCAGAGTTGAGCTGTGGATTCCGGGCCTAAGATATCATCCATTCCTGTCGAAGCTCAAGCCGAGGCTAGGGCAGTTTTTCGACTGGCGACAAATCTTTACCCACTGTGCGCACCACCCCCGCCGATAAGCTTACTGTGCGTTTGCCGCGCAAGTGTTTTGGGGTGTCTTTTTGCGAAGCCGAGGGGGCTTGTTTGAACCACCACCACCACCAGCACGGCTTGGATTTCATAACAGAATCCTCATTTCCATGGTGCAGATGACACTTCTGTATCCCTGTTAATGTCATCCCCGGCAGACTCCTTGAAGTGATGCAAAACATCCGTGTAGCTCCTTCATGTTATAGCAGTGGAAGTGAGGTAGTCGAACTATGTGAATGTGTGATAGTTCCTTCGGTGCAGGTCTCCCACAGCCTCCCGTGTTTGGGCAGCCTTTATCGAGTCTTTCATTCTCAATGATGTCCGCAATTCCGTGCGGAGCCTCACATCAGCGTAGCAGCAATGGCCTCTCCTTGTAAGAATCTCGATGTTGACGCAACAATTACAAGCGATCATGTCGACGACGGACGCAATGACCGCATGAGCGACATGTCAGCCGAGATATACCAAAACAGCGGCGCCATACTACGAATGCCCTTTACCGGCAGCACCAGAAGCAGTCTCGGCTGCAGCGGCAACGAATTCAGCATTTCCGATTCTCGTTCGTTAGACGAGCTTCCCTCTGACGTACTCCTTATAGTCTTCTCCTTCTTTTCCCGCGAAACCCTCGCGACCGCCGCTCTTGTTAGCCGGAAATGGCGCCACTTGGCAAGCACTGATTCGCTGTCGGAGGACCTGCTGCGGTCTGAAGATCCCGAGGGATGGCCGATGGTGGTGTTCGCTGAAACACAGCTGAGGCTCGGCCGAGGCAGCAGGTGAGGCTCGGGCGAGGAAGCAGTTGGGGCTCGGGCCAGGGAGCAGTTGAGGCTCGGGCGAGGTAGCAGGTGAGGTGGCATTTCCAATAGTCGTCGAATTGGGGTGTTATACTAGGTGTCTTGATATCTGTTTTTTAGCGGCAAAGCAGGTGAGGTGAAACAGGAGCGGTGTGAAGTGTCAGCCTAGGCAGCAAAATGCCAAACGCACCAACCCCACGGAACACCCTACACCTGCTCTGTTGCTCCTCGTGTGCCATTGCCCCTCCCGTCCCCACACTCCTCCGTGCACCCAGCAGGCCAAATGGCGGCGAAACCCTGGGCAGAGCCTCGGGAAAGATGAGGTGCCAGGAGCGGCAGCAGATGGTGCAGAGGCAGTGCGGCGGCAGCAGGAGTGCTAACGGCCTGCCGTGGAGTGCCATCTACCGCCTGCGCGCCCAGCTGCCGCCTGCTGTCGTTGTCGACGGTGCGCTGCCCACGCTGCCGCATTCCCCATGCTCTGCTTCCTTGCACATTTGCAACTCTCCACGCCACTCCACGGCTCTCCAAGCCCCGCTACACCTCTCGTAGCTCCTGATATCTCGTACAACATGTGTGTGTGTGAGTGCAGGGGGGTCGGGGTACTGCAAGTTCGGAATGAGCAGCGAGGCAGCGCCATCAGGACGCATCGCCACCTTTCTGGTCAGTCATTAGAAACTTCGAAGGCACTTCCGCCTTTCGTCCTGGGAGCTACTTTCCGTTCTCTAGTTCACTCTTCTTTCCTTTCCTGCCAGTGACACTGTTCCTCTCACACTGATCGCTCTCCCACCCTGCTCTGGATGCTGCCAACCCCACCAGGAGTTTGGAAACATCGAGGCACCTTCCCTTGGCCGCCTGCGAGCCCTCTTTTCCTCCATCTATGCCAGGTGACGTCAGCACATGCTGGATGATGCCACAACTTCAATCTCACACTTTTTTCCCTTCCATTCTACTCTCTTCCCTTTATTCCCATTTTTACCGGTTTCCTCGCTTCCCTCCTTTTCCCTGTTTTCCTTCTCCTCTACTTCCCTTCATCCCTCCTGTTCCTAATTCTGCGGTCATGCGTCCCTCCTTTTCCCTCTCTCTGTCGTCCACGCTTCATCTTTCACCATCCTCCCTTGCAGCATGCGAGCCATTCCCGCCAACCACCCTGTAGTCGTCTCCGAACCTCTCGCCTTCCTGCCAGGTGACTCTCTCTTGCCACCTGCCAGCCGCTAATTGTTGTTTCCTCCCAAGTGTGTTCTCTGTTGCTACGGGGCAGCACTGTTGCTACAGGGCAGCACTGTTGCTAATCTGCAATTCATCATTCCAAATGTGGCATCCTGCTCGCACCCTGCTCGTCGTCCCGCCCTCCCTGTGCTTAGAGACGCATCAACCCTGTGCTCATCACCCCTCCGCACGCACAGAGACGCATGAGGCGCAGGAGGGCAGGCGGAACCTGAGGGAGGCGACATGTGCCGTGCTCTTCAGTGCCCTGCGCGTGCCCTCCATCTGCCTCGTTGACCAGGTAACCCCATTCCACCAAGTCACCACACTGTTACCAGATGTATCCTCTTCAACCCGCTACTCCTTTCAATGTCCTCTCTGTCGTCATCCCTACTCCCCCCCCACCAACTCGGCTTCCTTCCCCGCCTCATCGGTATTATCATCATGGTCATCGCTCCCCCTCTCCCCTGAGCCAACCCCCCAGGCCACCCTGGCCCTGTTTGCAGCGGGGGCAGCATCAGGCGTGGTGGTGAACATTGGTTTCCGCAGCACCACGATACTGCCCATCATGCGCGGCCGCACTGCATGCGACCTGCTGCCCTTCTACTGCCTGCCGCTGGGCGCCATGCGAGTCACGGGCCACCTCAGCCAGTTACTGCACGAGGCGGGGATTGTGTGTCAGTCCATGTTCACTGTGCGCACCATCAAGGAGGTCAGTGTTGTATCAATCGCCTTGTATCAATCACCTTTTGCTGCCTGCCGCTGGGTGCCATGTTTACCGTGCGTGTGCACCATCAAAGAGGTGCGTGGCCTGGGTATGTTACTAAAGGCGCCTATCTAGGTATGTTACTAAAGGCGCCTACCTAGGTATGTTACTAAAGGCGCCTACCTAGGTATGTTACTAAAGGCGCCTACCTAGGTATGTTACTAAAGGCGCCTACCTAAGTATGTTACTAAAGGCGCCTACCTAGGTATGTTACTAAAGGCGCCTACCTAAGTATGTTACTAAAGGCGCCTACCTAGGTGTGTTACTAAAGGCGCCTACCTAGGTATGTTACTAAAGGCGCCTACCTAGGTATGTTACTAGAGGCGCCTAGGTATGTTACTAAAGGCTCCACGAGTGCGCTCCTTGGTCCACGAGTGCGCTCCTTCGTCCACGAGTGCGCTCCTTGGTCCACGAGTACGCGCCTTGGTCCACGAGTGCGCGCCTTGGTCCACGAGTGCGCGCCTTGGTCCACGAGTGCGCTCCTTGGTCCACGAGTGCGCTCCTTGGTCCACGAGTGCGCTCCTTGGTCCACGAGTGCGCTCCTTGGTCCACGAGTGCGCTCCTTGGTCCACGAGTGCGCGCCTTGGTCCACGAGTGCGCTCCTTGGTCCACGAGTGCGCTCCTTGGCCCACGAGTGCGCTCCTTGGTCCACGAGTGCGCTCCTTGGTCCACGAGTGCGCTCCTTGGTCCACGAGTGCGCGCCTTGGTCCACGAGTGCGCGCCTTGGTCCACGAGTGCGCGCCTTGGTCCACGAGTGCCCGCCTTGGTCCACGAGTGCGTGCCTTGGTCCACGAGTGCGCGCCTTGGTCCACGAGTGCGCCTTGGTCCACGAGTGCGCTCCTTGGTCCACGAGTGCGCTCCTTGGTCCACGAGTGCGCTCCTTGGTCCACGAGTGCGCTCCTTGGTCCACGAGTGCGCTCCTTGGTCCACGAGTGCGCGCCTTGGTCCACGAGTGCGCGCCTTGGTCCACGAGTGCGCTCCTCGGTCCACGAGTGCGCTCCTCGGTCCACGAGTGCGCTCCTGGGTCCACGAGTGCGCTCCTCGGTCCACGAGTGCGCTCCTCGGTCCACGAGTGCGCTCCTCGGTCCACGAGTGCGCTCCTGGTCCACGAGTGCGCTCCTTGGTCCACGAGTGCGCGCCTTGGTCCACGAGTGTGCGCCTTGGTCCACGAGTGCGCGCCTTGGTCCACGAGTGCGCGCCTTGGTCCACGAGTGCCCGCCTTGGTCCACGAGTGCGCTCCTTGGTCCACGAGTGCGCTCCTTGGTCCACGAGTGCGCGCCTTGGTCCACGAGTGCGCTCCTTGGTCCACGAGTGCGCTCCTTGGTCCACGAGTGCGCTCCTTGGTCCACGAGTGCGCTCCTTGGTCCACGAGTGCGCTCCTTGGTCCACGAGTGCGCTCCTTGGTCCACGAGTGCGCGCCTTGGTCCACGAGTGCGCGCCTTGGTCCACGAGTGCGCGCCTTGGTCCACGAGTGCGCGCCTTGGTCCACGAGTGCGCGCCTTGGTCCACGAGTGCGCGCCTTGGTCCACGAGTGCGCGCCTTGGTCCACGAGTGCGCGCCTTGGTCCACGAGTGCGCGCCTTGGTCCACGAGTGCGCGCCTTGGTCCACGAGTGCGCTCCTTGGTCCACGAGTGCGCTCCTTGGTCCACGAGTGCGCTCCTCGGTCCACGAGTGCGCTCCTCGGTCCACGAGTGCGCGCCTTGGTCCACGAGTGCGCTCCTTGGTCCACGAGTGCGCTCCTTGGTCCACGAGTGCGCTCCTTGGTCCACGAGTGCGCTCCTTGGTCCACGAGTGCGCTCCTTGGTCCACGAGTGCGCGCCTTGGTCCACGAGTGCGCGCCTTGGTCCACGAGTGCGCTCCTTGGTCCACGAGTGCGCTCCTTGGTCCACGAGTGCGCTCCTTGGTCCACGAGTGCGCGCCTTGGTCCACGAGTGCGCGCCTTGGTCCACGAGTGCGCGCCTTGGTCCACGAGTGCGCTCCTTGGTCCACGAGTGCGCTCCTTGGTCCACGAGTGCGCGCCTTGGTCCACGAGTGCGCACCTTGGTCCACGAGTGCGCTCCTTGGTCCACGAGTGCGCTCCTTGGTCCACGAGTGCGCTCCTTGGTCCACGAGTGCGCTCCTTGGTCCACGAGTGCGCGCCTTGGTCCACGAGTGCGCGCCTTGGTCCACGAGTGCGCTCCTTGGTCCACGAGTGCGCTCCTTGGTCCACGAGTGCGCGCCTTGGTCCACGAGTGCGCGCCTTGGTCCACGAGTGCGCGCCTTGGTCCACGAGTGCGCGCCTTGGTCCACGAGTGCGCTCCTTGGTCCACGAGTGCGCTCCTTGGTCCACGAGTGCGCTCCTTGGTCCACGAGTGCGCGCCTTGGTCCACGAGTGCGCCCTTGGTCCACGAGTGCGCTCCTTGGTCCACGAGTGCGCGCCTTGGTCCACGAGTGCGCGCCTTGGTCCACGAGTGCGCTCCTTGGTCCACGAGTGCGCTCCTTGGTCCACGAGTGCGCTCCTTGGTCCACGAGTGCGCGCCTTGGTCCACGAGTGCGCGCCTTGGTCCACGAGTGCGCTCCTTGGTCCACGAGTGCCCTCCTTGGTCCACGAGTGCGCTCCTTGGTCCACGAGTGCGCTCCTTGGTCCACGAGTGCGCTCCTTGGTCCACGAGTGCCCTCCTTGGTCCACGAGTGCGCGCCTTGGTCCACGAGTGCCCGCCTTGGTCCACGAGTGCCCTCCTTGGTCCGCGAGTGCGCTCCTTGGTCCACGAGTGCGCTCCTTGGTCCACGAGTGCGCTCCTTGGTCCACGAGTGCCCGCCTTGGTCCACGAGTGCGCTCCTTGGTCCGCGAGTGCGCTCCTTGGTCCACGAGTGCGCTCCTTGGTCCACGAGTGCGCTCCTTGGTCCACGAGTGCGCTCCTTGGTCCACGAGTGCGCTCCTTGGTCCACGAGTGCGCTCCTTGGTCCACGAGCGCGCTCCTTGGTCCACGAGTGCGCTCCTTGGTCCACGAGCGCGCGCCTTGGTCCACGAGTGCGCTCCTTGGTCCACGAGTGCGCTCCTTGGTCCACGAGCGCGCTCCTTGGTCCACGAGTGCGCTCCTTGGTCCACGAGCGCGCGCCTTGGTCCAAGAGTGCGCTCCTTGGTCCACGAGTGCGCTCCTTGGTCCACGAGTGCGCTCCTTGGTCCACGAGTGCGCTCCTTGGTCCACGAGTGCGCGCCTTGGTCCACGAGTGCGCTCCTTGGTCCACGAGTGCGCTCCTTGGTCCACGAGTGCGCTCCTTGGTCCACGAGTGCGCTCCTTGGTCCACGAGTGCGCTCCTTGGTCCACGAGTGCGCTCCTTGGTCCACGAGTGCGCTCCTTGGTCCACGAGTGCGCGCCTTGGTCCACGAGTGCGCTCCTTGGTCCACGAGTGCGCTCCTTGGCCCACGAGTGCGCTCCTTGGCCCACGAGTGCGCTCCTTGGTCCACGAGTGCGCGCCTTGGTCCAGGAGTGCGCGCCTTGGTCCACGAGTGCGCGCCTTGGTCCACGAGTGCCCGCCTTGGTCCACGAGTGCGCTCCTTGGTCCACGAGTGCGCTCCTTGGTCCACGAGTGCGCGCCTTGGTCCACGAGTGCGCGCCTTGGTCCACGAGTGCGCGCCTTGGTCCACGAGTGCCCGCCTTGGTCCACGAGTGCGTGCCTTGGTCCACGAGTGCGCGCCTTGGTCCACGAGTGCCCGCCTTGGTCCACGAGTGCGCTCCTTGGTCCACGAGTGCGCTCCTTGGTCCACGAGTGCGCGCCTTGGTCCACGAGTGCGCGCCTTGGTCCACGAGTGCGCGCCTTGGTCCACGAGTGCGCTCCTTGGTCCACGAGTGCGCTCCTTGGTCCACGAGTGCGCTCCTTGGTCCACGAGTGCGCTCCTTGGTCCACGAGTGCGCTCCTTGGTCCACGAGTGCGCGCCTTGGTCCACGAGTGCGCTCCTTGGTCCACGAGTGCGCTCCTTGGCCCACGAGTGCGCTCCTTGGCCCACGAGTGCGCTCCTTGGTCCACGAGTGCGCGCCTTGGTCCAGGAGTGCGCGCCTTGGTCCACGAGTGCGCGCCTTGGTCCACGAGTGCCCGCCTTGGTCCACGAGTGCGTGCCTTGGTCCACGAGTGCGCGCCTTGGTCCACGAGTGCCCGCCTTGGTCCACGAGTGCGCTCCTTGGTCCACGAGTGCGCTCCTTGGTCCACGAGTGCGCTCCTTGGTCCACGAGTGCGCTCCTTGGTCCACGAGTGCGCTCCTTGGTCCACGAGTGCGCGCCTTGGTCCACGAGTGCGCGCCTTGGTCCACGAGTGCGCTCCTCGGTCCACGAGTGCGCTCCTCGGTCCACGAGTGCGCTCCTGGGTCCACGAGTGCGCTCCTCGGTCCACGAGTGCGCTCCTCGGTCCACGAGTGCGCTCCTCGGTCCACGAGTGCGCTCCTCGGTCCACGAGTGCGCTCCTTGGTCCACGAGTGCGCGCCTTGGTCCACGAGTGTGCGCCTTGGTCCACGAGTGCGCGCCTTGGTCCACGAGTGCGCGCGTTGGTCCACGAGTGCCCGCCTTGGTCCACGAGTGCGCTCCTTGGTCCACGAGTGTGCTCCTTGGTCCACGAGTGCGCGCCTTGGTCCACGAGTGCGCTCCTTGGTCCACGAGTGCGCTCCTTGGTCCACGAGTGCGCGCCTTGGTCCACGAGTGCGCTCCTTGGTCCACGAGTGCGCTCCTTGGTCCACGAGTGCGCTCCTTGGTCCACGAGTGCGCTCCTTGGTCCACGAGTGCGCGCCTTGGTCCACGAGTGCGCGCCTTGGTCCACGAGTGCGCTCCTTGGTCCACGAGTGCCCTCCTTGGTCCACGAGTGCGCTCCTTGGTCCACGAGTGCGCTCCTTGGTCCACGAGTGCGCTCCTTGGTCCACGAGTGCCCTCCTTGGTCCACGAGTGCGCGCCTTGGTCCACGAGTGCCCGCCTTGGTCCACGAGTGCCCTCCTTGGTCCGCGAGTGCGCTCCTTGGTCCACGAGTGCGCTCCTTGGTCCACGAGTGCGCTCCTTGGTCCACGAGTGCCCGCCTTGGTCCACGAGTGCGCGCCTTGGTCCACGAGTGCGCTCCTTGGTCCACGAGTGCGCTCCTTGGTCCACGAGTGCGCGCCTTGGTCCACGAGTGCGCGCCTTGGTCCACGAGTGCGCTCCTTGGTCCACGAGTGCGCGCCTTGGTCCACGAGTGCGCGCCTTGGTCCACGAGTGCGCTCCTTGGTCCACGAGTGCGCTCCTTGGTCCACGAGTGCGCTCCTTGGTCCACGAGTGCGCTCCTTGGTCCACGAGTGCGCGCCTTGGTCCACGAGTGCGCGCCTTGGTCCACGAGTGCGCTCCTTGGTCCACGAGTGCGCTCCTTGGTCCACGAGTGCGCGCCTTGGTCCACGAGTGCGCGCCTTGGTCCACGAGTGCGCGCCTTGGTCCACGAGTGCGCGCCTTGGTCCACGAGTGCGCTCCTTGGTCCACGAGTGCGCTCCTTGGTCCACGAGTGCGCTCCTTGGTCCACGAGTGCGCGCCTTGGTCCACGAGTGCGCTCCTTGGTCCACGAGTGCGCTCCTTGGTCCACGAGTGCGCGCCTTGGTCCACGAGTGCGCGCCTTGGTCCACGAGTGCGCGCCTTGGTCCACGAGTGCGCGCCTTGGTCCACGAGTGCGCTCCTTGGTCCACGAGTGCGCTCCTTGGTCCACGAGTGCGCTCCTCGGTCCACGAGTGCGCTCCTCGGTCCACGAGTGCGCGCCTCGGTCCACGAGTGCGCTCCTTGGTCCACGAGTGCGCTCCTTGGTCCACGAGTGCGCTCCTTGGTCCACGAGTGCGCTCCTTGGTCCACGAGTGCGCGCCTTGGTCCACGAGTGCGCGCCTTGGTCCACGAGTGCGCTCCTTGGTCCACGAGTGCGCGCCTTGGTCCACGAGTGCGCGCCTTGGTCCACGAGTGCGCTCCTTGGTCCACGAGTGCGCTCCTTGGTCCACGAGTGCGCTCCTTGGTCCACGAGTGCGCGCCTTGGTCCACGAGTGCGCGCCTTGGTCCACGAGTGCGCTCCTTGGTCCACGAGTGCCCTCCTTGGTCCACGAGTGCGCTCCTTGGTCCACGAGTGCGCTCCTTGGTCCACGAGTGCGCTCCTTGGTCCACGAGTGCCCTCCTTGGTCCACGAGTGCGCGCCTTGGTCCACGAGTGCCCGCCTTGGTCCACGAGTGCCCTCCTTGGTCCGCGAGTGCGCTCCTTGGTCCACGAGTGCGCTCCTTGGTCCACGAGTGCGCTCCTTGGTCCACGAGTGCCCGCCTTGGTCCACGAGTGCGCTCCTTGGTCCGCGAGTGCGCTCCTTGGTCCACGAGTGCGCTCCTTGGTCCACGAGTGCGCTCCTTGGTCCACGAGTGCGCTCCTTGGTCCACGAGTGCGCTCCTTGGTCCACGAGCGCGCTCCTTGGTCCACGAGTGCGCTCCTTGGTCCACGAGCGCGCGCCTTGGTCCACGAGTGCGCTCCTTGGTCCACGAGTGCGCTCCTTGGTCCACGAGCGCGCTCCTTGGTCCACGAGTGCGCTCCTTGGTCCACGAGCGCGCGCCTTGGTCCACGAGTGCGCTCCTTGGTCCACGAGTGCGCTCCTTGGTCCACGAGTGCGCTCCTTGGTCCACGAGTGCGCTCCTTGGTCCACGAGTGCGCGCCTTGGTCCACGAGTGCGCTCCTTGGTCCACGAGTGCGCTCCTTGGTCCACGAGTGCGCTCCTTGGTCCACGAGTGCGCTCCTTGGTCCACGAGTGCGCTCCTTGGTCCACGAGTGCGCTCCTTGGTCCACCAGTGCGCTCCTTGGTCCAGGAGCGCGCTCCTTGGTCCACGAGTGCGCTCCTTGGTCCACGAGTGCGCTCCTTGGTCCACGAGTGCGCTTCTTGGTCCACGAGTGCGCTCCTTGGTCCACGAGTGCGCTCCTTGGTCCACGAGTGCGCTCCTTGGTCCACGAGTGCGCGCCTTGATCCACGAGTGCGCGCCTTGGTCCACGAGTGCGCGCCTTGGTCCACGAGTGAGCTCCTTGGTCCACGAGTGCGCGCCTTGGTCCACGAGTGCGCGCCTTGGTCCACGAGTGCGCTCCTTGGTCCACGAGTGCGCTCCTTGGTCCACGAGTGCGCGCCTTGGTCCACGAGTGCGCGCCTTGGTCCACGAGTGCGCTCCTTGGTCCACGAGTGCGCTCCTTGGTCCACGAGTGCGCTCCTTGGTCCACGAGTGCGCTCCTTGGTCCACGAGTGCGCTCCTTGGTCCACGAGTGCGCGCCTTGGTCCACGAGTGCGCGCCTTGGTCCACGAGTGCGCGCTTTGGTCCACGAGTGCGCGCCTTGGTCCACGAGTGCGCTCCTTGGTCCACGAGTGCGCTCCTTGGTCCACGAGTGCGCGCCTTGGTCCACGAGTGCGCTCCTTGGTCCACGAGTGCGCTCCTTGGTCCACGAGTGCGCGCCTTGGTCCACGAGTGCGCGCCTTGGTCCACGAGTGCGCTCCTTGGTCCACGAGTGCGCTCCTTGGTCCACGAGTGCGCTCCTTGGTCCACGAGTGCGCGCCTTGGTCCACGAGTGCGCGCCTTGGTCCACGAGTGCGCGCCTTGGTCCACGAGTGCGCTCCTTGGTCCACGAGTGCGCTCCTTGGTCCACGAGTGCGCGCCTTGGTCCACGAGTGCGCACCTTGGTCCACGAGTGCGCTCCTTGGTCCACGAGTGCGCTCCTTGGTCCACGAGTGCGCTCCTTGGTCCACGAGTGCGCTCCTTGGTCCACGAGTGCGCGCCTTGGTCCACGAGTGCGCGCCTTGGTCCACGAGTGCGCTCCTTGGTCCACGAGTGCGCTCCTTGGTCCACGAGTGCGCGCCTTGGTCCACGAGTGCGCGCCTTGGTCCACGAGTGCGCGCCTTGGTCCACGAGTGCGCGCCTTGGTCCACGAGTGCGCTCCTTGGTCCACGAGTGCGCTCCTTGGTCCACGAGTGCGCTCCTTGGTCCACGAGTGCGCGCCTTGGTCCACGAGTGCGCGCCTTGGTCCACGAGTGCGCTCCTTGGTCCACGAGTGCGCGCCTTGGTCCACGAGTGCGCGCCTTGGTCCACGAGTGCGCTCCTTGGTCCACGAGTGCGCTCCTTGGTCCACGAGTGCGCTCCTTGGTCCACGAGTGCGCGCCTTGGTCCACGAGTGCGCGCCTTGGTCCACGAGTGCGCTCCTTGGTCCACGAGTGCCCTCCTTGGTCCACGAGTGCGCTCCTTGGTCCACGAGTGCGCTCCTTGGTCCACGAGTGCGCTCCTTGGTCCACGAGTGCCCTCCTTGGTCCACGAGTGCGCGCCTTGGTCCACGAGTGCCCGCCTTGGTCCACGAGTGCCCTCCTTGGTCCGCGAGTGCGCTCCTTGGTCCACGAGTGCGCTCCTTGGTCCACGAGTGCGCTCCTTGGTCCACGAGTGCCCGCCTTGGTCCACGAGTGCGCTCCTTGGTCCGCGAGTGCGCTCCTTGGTCCACGAGTGCGCTCCTTGGTCCACGAGTGCGCTCCTTGGTCCACGAGTGCGCTCCTTGGTCCACGAGTGCGCTCCTTGGTCCACGAGTGCGCTCCTTGGTCCACGAGCGCGCTCCTTGGTCCACGAGTGCGCTCCTTGGTCCACGAGCGCGCGCCTTGGTCCACGAGTGCGCTCCTTGGTCCACGAGTGCGCTCCTTGGTCCACGAGCGCGCTCCTTGGTCCACGAGTGCGCTCCTTGGTCCACGAGCGCGCGCCTTGGTCCACGAGTGCGCTCCTTGGTCCACGAGTGCGCTCCTTGGTCCACGAGTGCGCTCCTTGGTCCACGAGTGCGCTCCTTGGTCCACGAGTGCGCGCCTTGGTCCACGAGTGTGCTCCTTGGTCCACGAGTGCGCTCCTTGGTCCACGAGTGCGCTCCTTGGTCCACGAGTGCGCTCCTTGGTCCACGAGTGCGCTCCTTGGTCCACCAGTGCGCTCCTTGGTCCACCAGTGCGCTCCTTGGTCCAGGAGCGCGCTCCTTGGTCCACGAGTGCGCTCCTTGGTCCACGAGTGCGCTCCTTGGTCCACGAGTGCGCTTCTTGGTCCACGAGTGCGCTCCTTGGTCCACGAGTGCGCTCCTTGGTCCACGAGTGCGCTCCTTGGTCCACGAGTGCGCTCCTTGGTCCACGAGTGCGCGCCTTGGTCCACGAGTGCGCGCCTTGGTCCACGAGTGCGCGCCTTGGTCCACGAGTGCGCTCCTTGGTCCACGAGTGCGCTCCTTGGTCCACGAGTGCGCGCCTTGGTCCACGAGTGCGCACCTTGGTCCACGAGTGCGCTCCTTGGTCCACGAGTGCGCTCCTTGGTCCACGAGTGCGCTCCTTGGTCCACGAGTGCGCTCCTTGGTCCACGAGTGCGCGCCTTGGTCCACGAGTGCGCGCCTTGGTCCACGAGTGCGCTCCTTGGTCCACGAGTGCGCTCCTTGGTCCACGAGTGCGCTCCTTGGTCCACGAGTGCGCGCCTTGGTCCACGAGTGCGCGCCTTGGTCCACGAGTGCGCTCCTTGGTCCACGAGTGCCCTCCTTGGTCCACGAGTGCGCTCCTTGGTCCACGAGTGCGCTCCTTGGTCCACGAGTGCGCTCCTTGGTCCACGAGTGCCCTCCTTGGTCCACGAGTGCGCGCCTTGGTCCACGAGTGCCCGCCTTGGTCCACGAGTGCCCTCCTTGGTCCGCGAGTGCGCTCCTTGGTCCGCGAGTGCGCTCCTTGGTCCACGAGTGCGCTCCTTGGTCCACGAGTGCCCGCCTTGGTCCACGAGTGCGCTCCTTGGTCCGCGAGTGCGCTCCTTGGTCCACGAGTGCGCTCCTTGGTCCACGAGTGCGCTCCTTGGTCCACGAGTGCGCTCCTTGGTCCACGAGTGCGCTCCTTGGTCCACGAGTGCGCTCCTTGGTCCACGAGCACGCTCCTTGGTCCACGAGTGCGCTCCTTGGTCCACGAGCGCGCGCCTTGGTCCACGAGTGCGCTCCTTGGTCCACGAGTGCGCTCCTTGGTCCACGAGCGCGCTCCTTGGTCCACGAGTGCGCTCCTTGGTCCACGAGCGCGCGCCTTGGTCCACGAGTGCGCTCCTTGGTCCACGAGTGCGCTCCTTGGTCCACGAGTGCGCTCCTTGGTCCACGAGTGCGCTCCTTGGTCCACGAGTGCGCGCCTTGGTCCACGAGTGCGCTCCTTGGTCCACGAGTGCGCTCCTTGGTCCACGAGTGCGCTCCTTGGTCCACGAGTGCGCTCCTTGGTCCACGAGTGCGCTCCTTGGTCCACCAGTGCGCTCCTTGGTCCACCAGTGCGCTCCTTGGTCCAGGAGCGCGCTCCTTGGTCCACGAGTGCGCTCCTTGGTCCACGAGTGCGCTCCTTGGTCCACGAGTGCGCTTCTTGGTCCACGAGTGCGCTCCTTGGTCCACGAGTGCGCTCCTTGGTCCACGAGTGCGCTCCTTGGTCCACGAGTGCGCTCCTTGGTCCACGAGTGCGCTCCTTGGTCCACGAGTGCGCTCCTTGGTCCACGAGTGCGCTTCTTGGTCCACGAGTGCGCTCCTTGGTCCACGAGTGCGCTCCTTGGTCCACGAGTGCGCTCCTTGGTCCACGAGTGCGCTCCTTGGTCCACGAGTGCGCTCCTTGGTCCACGAGTGCGCTCCTTGGTCCACCAGTGCGCTCCTTGGTCTACCAGTGCGCTCCTTGGTCCACCAGTGCGCTCCTTGGTCCAGGAGCGCGCTCCTTGGTCCACGAGCGCGCTCCTTGGTCCACGAGCGCGCTCCTTGGTCCACGAGTGCGCTCCTTGGTCCACCGGTGCGCTCCTTGGTCCACGAGTGCGCTCCTTGGTCCACGAGCGCGCTCCTTGGTCCACGAGCGCGCTCCTTGGTCCACGAGCGCGCTCCTTGGTCCACGAGCGCGCTCCTTGGTCCACGAGCGCGCTCCTTGGTCCACGAGTGCGCTCCTTGGTCCACGAGCGCGCTCCTTGGTCCACGAGCGCGCTCCTTGGTCCACGAGTGCGCTCCTTGGTCCACGAGTGCGCTCCTTGGTCCACGAGTGCGCTCCTTGGTCCACGAGTGCGCGCCTTGGTCCACGAGTGCGCTCCTTGGTCCACGAGTGCGCTCCTTGGTCCACGAGTGCGCTCCTTGGTCCACGAGTGCGCTCCTTGGTCCACGAGTGCGCTCCTTGGTCCACGAGCGCGCCTTGGTCCACGAGCGCGCTCCATGGTCCACGAGTGCGCTCCTTGGTCCACGAGCGCGCTCCTTGGTCCACGAGCGCGCTCCTTGGTCCACGAGTGCGCTCCTTGGTCCACGAGTGCGCGCCTTGGTCCACGAGTGCGCTCCTTGGTCCACGAGTGCGCTCCTTGGTCCACGAGTGCGCTCCTTGGTCCACGAGTGCGCTCCATGGTCCACGAGTGCGCTCCTTGGTCCACGAGTGCGCTCCTTGGTCCACGAGTGCGCGCCTTGGTCCACGAGCGTGCGCCTTGGTCCACGAGTGCGCTCCTTGGTCCACGAGTGCGCGCCTTGGTCCACGAGTGCGCTCCTTGGTCCACGAGTGCGCTCCTTGGTCCACGAGTGCGCTCCTTGGTCCACGAGTGCGCTCCTTGGTCCACGAGTGCGCTCCTTGGTCCACGAGTGCGCTCCTTGGTCCACGAGTGCGCTCCTTGGTCCACCAGTGCGCTCCTTGGTCCACGAGTGCGCGCCTTGGTCCACCAGTGCGCTCCTTGGTCCACGAGTGCGCTCCTTGGTCCACGAGTGCGCTCCTTGGTCCACGAGTGCGCTCCTTGGTCCACGAGCGCGCCTTGGTCCACGAGCGCGCGCCTTGGTCCACGAGTGCGCTCCTTGGTCCACGAGTGCGCTCCTTGGTCCACGAGTGCGCTCCTTGGTCCACGAGTGCGCGCCTTGGTCCAAGAGCGCGCGCCTTGGTCCACGAGAGCGCGCCTTGGTCCACGAGAGCGCGCCTTGGTCCACGAGAGCGCGCCTTGGTCCACGAGAGCGCGCCTTGGTCCACGAGCGCGCTCCTTGGTCCACGAGTGCGCTCCTTGGTCCACGAGTGCGCGCCTTGGTCCACGAGTGCGCTCCTTGGTCCACGAGTGCGCTCCTTGGTCCACGAGTGCGCTCCTTGGTCCACGAGTGCGCTCCTTGGTCCACGAGTGCGCTCCTTGGTCCACGAGCGCGCCTTGGTCCACGAGCGCGCTCCTTGGTCCACGAGTGCGCTCCTTGGTCCACCAGTGCGCTCCTTGGTCCACGAGTGCGCGCCCTGGTCCACCAGTGCGCTCCTTGGTCCACGAGTGCGCCTACCTAGGTGTGTTACTAAAGGCGCCTACCTAGGTATGTTACTAGAGGCGCCTACCTAGGTGGCTTATTGGAGTCGCCTGCTTAGGTGTGTTACATGCTCTTCTTCTTATAATTGCTCGCGTCCTGCCCTCAGTTTCTCATGGCTCACAGGCTCTGGCAGTAACCTTCAGCAGCCAACTGCATCATGCGTTTAACTCCAACCCCCTCCCCTCCCGCAGTCGCTGTGCTTTGTGGCGCGGGACTTTGAGGCGGCCATGGGGGGCGAGGAGAGGGGGGTGCGGGGCACGTGTGAGGTGCCGGGGGAGGGCGCCTTCACGCTCGCCAGGGAGCGCTTCCTCGCCCCTGAAGTGCTCTTCCAGCCATCACTCTGCGGCCTGTATGTTCAGTGCTGTGAATGCTGTCCGTGTGGCCAATGGTGGGTCAATGCGGTCAATGAAGGGCCATAGCGGTGCCGGGGGAGGGCGCCTTCACGCTCGCCAGGGAGAGGTTCCTCGCCCCTGAAGTGCTCTTCTGACTCCAGCTCTGCTGCCTGTGCATTTACTTTCCTCATTGTGGTCGATGGGGTCAATGGGGTCAATGGGGTCGATCGGGTCTATAAGCTGTTTCATCATGTGCTCGCATTAGTGCTCTTCTCTCCTTACTGCTGCGTGTGACAACCGCAATGTCGCTTGTTGTCTTGCCCATTGATCTCCCCTCGCTCGTTTGGTCACCCTCCCCACTCACGTGTGCTTTTCTCCCTCTCCCTCCTCTCCCCCCCCCACCAGCGGCGGCAGGGGCATACAGCAGGCAGTGGCGCAGTGCATAGTGGAGTGTGCCGCGCGGGTGAAGGCGTTTCAGGCGCAGCAGGACTGGAAGGCCAAGCACAGCCACACGGGAGAAGCCGAGGCTGCAGAGAAGGAGAAGGAGAAGGAGGAGGGGGAGGAGGAGGGGGAGCGAGTGCCTGGGGAGGGGCGTGGGGATGAAGGTGCCATGAGACGCATGGGAAGTGGGGACGGGGCAGCAGGGGCGGGAGGGGGGGTGTGGGGGCGAGTGCCTGCACCGTTGTCAAGTGAGGATGTGGCGGAGGCAATTAGCACTGTGGTGGTGGCTGGAGGCACGTCTGCCCTGCCAGGGATAGCAGGTGGGCCCTGCCTGCGTTCCTCCATGGTGAATATTTGTGAAATGCCTTCCTGTGTCTGTTCTGCTAACCTGGTGTTTCTTTGCTGTCCTCTTCTGCGCCTCATCTGCTCCCATTGATTCACCCCCGTTGGTCCCATGTGACAGAGCGGCTGCATGTGGAGTTGCAGCGTCTGCTTCCCCCGCCCCTCGCTGACAGACTCTCTGTGAAGGCGGTGGGGCCGTATGGCGCATGGATGGGCGGCAGGACCCTGGCCACTGTGAGTGCTCAATGATTATTACTCTGTTGCTTCTTTACGACCACATGTGTGTCGGAAAAGTAAATGTCTGCTCAGTTTTGTTTTCCATGCTTTTTGGAGCGCAGACGAGCTCCTTTTTATCATCATGGGTGCTAAGCAGGGAGGAATATATGGAGAAAGGGCCGTCTTCTGTTCACGCCCTTGCCATGGATACACACAACATGAACAGCCAGGCTCTCCCTGTTGTAAGAATATTTCCCAAGCCTTGATGGAGAGTGTATCATACCGGTAACATTATACATATGGTGAAGTGTGATATTGCTACAACGTTTTCATGAAATAGTAGCCATTATATATGCGCTGGTTGTCTTCATAATAATTTAGTGGGAACGGTTTTCTGCATGAAGCAAAGCAGTCATATGTTAGTTCCTACAGGGATAATCAAATTCCTTCGGCACTACGCACTAACATTGGTCATAGATTCTATCTCACAGCTTATAGAATCCACCGCTCGGTTCCCATCATTGCAGTCCTTATCGAGCCACTTGTTCCCAACAATGTCCGTCGTTCAAAGCTGAAGCTCGCCGCCGCGCGCACGGAGGCTTCACATCAGCGGAGCAGTAATGGCCGCTGCCAGCGACAATATCGATGTCGACGCGATAAATACTCGCAGACACGATGACCTTGCGAGCAACTTATCGAACCAAATTGACCTAAACAGCAGCGTCATTCCAAGTATTCCTTTTGCCACCAGCAACCCAATCCATTCATCCGATTCTCGTTCACTAGACGAGCTTCCATCCGACGTACTCGCTATTGTCTTCTCCTTCCTTTCCGGAAAAGCCCTCGCCTCCGCCGCTGCTGTTAGCCGGAATTGGCGCCACTTAGCGAGCTCTGATTCGCTGTGGGAGGACCTGCTGCGATCCGAAGATCCCGAGGGATGGCCGATGGTCTTGTTCGCTGAAACGCAGCTCAGGCTCGGGCGGGGAAGCAGGTGAGGCTCGGGCGAGGGAGCAGGTGGGATGCTATACTATGTGTCTTGATATCCGTACTGAGTGGCGAAGCTGGTGAGGCGAAACAGGAGCGGTGTGCAGTGTGAGCCCAGGCAGTGTGAGCCCAGGCAGTGTGAGCCCAGGCAGCACGAATGCCAGACGCACCAGCCCTGCGGAACAGTGCGCTGCTGCTCCTAGTGCCATTGCCTGTCCCATCCGACACTCCCCTGGTGCACCCAGCAGGCCAAATGACGGCGAAACTCTCGCCGGCCTGCCGTGGAGTGGCATCTACCGCCTGCGCGCCCAGCTGCCGCCCGCTCTCGTTGTTGACGGTGCGCTGCCCACGCCGCATTCCCCATGCTCTGCTTCCTCGCACGTTCGCAGCCTCTCCATACCTCTCCACACTTCTCCACCCCTTTTCACGCCTCTCTATGAAGTCTGCTACCCCGACGTCATGTGTGTGTGTGTGTGTGGGGGGGGGGAGGGGGGAGTGCAGTGGGGTCGGGGTACTGCAAGTTCGGCATGAGCAGTGGAGCAGCGCCGTCACGACGCATTGCCACCTTTCGGGTCAGTCAGTGGCGTTCGCTTCTTCAAATTTGCTCGTCTTTTAATTTCCTGCCGGTAAGGTCATTCCGCTCACATGTGTTGCTCTACCACCCACCCGCCCTGCTGTGGGTGCTGCCATGCCATGCCACCGCCACCGCCCTCCCCACCAGGAGTCTGGAAACATCGAGGCACCTTCTCTCGCCCGCCGGCGAGCCCTCTTCGCCTCCATCTATGACAGGTGACGTCAGCGTGTATGCTAGATGATGACAACACGCCTTTCAAGTGGTGTGGACTTGTGCGCAAAGCATGGGGCCACACATGGTGTGCCTTGTGCCCTCATGCGGTGTGCTCCTTTCTTGCCTTGATCCCTTTGTCACCCCTTCCTTTCTTCCCTCCTCACACTTTTTTTCTAAATCTCCCCTTCGGTTCGTCCCTTGTTTTTCTCTTCCGCCCTTGCTTTTCCCCCAATCCTTTATCCTTCTACTTCCCCATTCCGCTCTTACCTCCTGTCTGGCGTTCGTGCATTCCTCCTTTCCCGTTTCTGTCGTCCATGGATCATCCGCACCCGTCACCGTCCCCCCTCGCAGCATGAGAGTCATTCCGTCAAACCACCCTGTTGTCGTCTCCGAACCTCTCGCCTTTCTGCCAGGTGACTCTCTGCTGCCACCTGCCAGGAGATTGTCTGTTGGTTCCTGCCTGCCAGGTGGTGAGATGTTGCTCCCTGTCAGGCGATTTTTTGTTGCATACAAACATCCTCCCACACAACAGTATTCTTGCTGGTTTGCACGTCACTATGCTATTACTCTCAATATAAAATCCTTCCCTCACGCGGCTCGCTCTCCCTCCTTCGCCTGTGCTCATGTCCCCTCCGAACGCACAGAGACGCGCGAGGCACAGGAGAGGAGGCGGCGTGTGAGGGAGATGACATGTGCCGTGCTCTTCAAAGCCTTTCGTGTGCCGTCCATCTGCCTTGTCGACCAGGTAACCCCATGCAACCAGGAAGCCCCATTCCACCAGGTGAATAAACCCGCTACTACCAGACATGCCTACCTCAACCAGGTAACCCCACTGTTACCAGACATGCCTACCTCAACCAGGTAACCCCACTGTTACCAGACATGCCTACCTCAACCAGGTAACCCTAAAACTCTTCATTCTATTATCAATTCTTTCCTCGCCCGGACTCCTCCTCCCCCATCCCTCTCCCTTCCCCGCGGCCACCCCCCCAGGCCACTCTGGCCCTGTTGGCAGCGGGGGCAGCGGCAGGCGTGGTGGTGAGCATTGGTTTCTGCAGCCCCACTGTGCTGCCCATCGTGCGCGGCCGCACCGCCTGCAACCAGCTGCCCTTCTTTAAGTCTCCTCAATAGCCCTTCCCCGTCCCCATTTGCCTGGCCGTCCGCCCAGGCCACCCTGGCTCTGTTTGCAGCGGGGGCAGCATCAGGCGTGGTGGTGAACATTGGCTTCAACAACACCACGATACTTCCCATCATGCGCGGCCGCACCGCCTGCAGCCTGCTGCCCTTCTACTGCCTGCCGCTGGGCGCCATGCGCGTCACGGGGCACCTCACCCAACTGCTGCATGAGCGGGGGATGGCGTGCAAGTCCATGTCCACTGTGCACACCATCAAAGAGGTCACTCCCACAAAATCACTGGCCTTGCACTTTGTTTTTTCCTTCTTTTGTTTTTTGTTTGGTAATAATTCTTCCCCTTGCCCCCCTCAGTCCCTCGTGGCTCGCAGACTCTTGCAATAACTTTCTGCACGTCTTTATTCGGCACCCATTCCTGTTAGTGTTAGCCCTCAATCTCACACTTTGTATTTTATTCTTTATATATCCTAGCATAGTGTAGATTACACTTTGTGTTTGGTTGGGTGTACACCTACATCCCAACCAAACCCAAATGTAATCTCCAAGCAATCTCCAACCCACCAATTGGAGATTGCCTTGGGATTACCCCCAATCCCTAGAGATTGCCCCCGATTTCCCTTCCCCATCCATTGCTTGCCCATCTTGGATGTACTTAAAGAGCTTCTAGCTCATCACTAATGCATCGGTTCTAAGCTTAAGTTGTGACAACTCCTTCCTGCTTATCACCGCACCCCCCCCCCTCCTCCCCCTCTCTTGCAGTCGCTGTGCTTTGTGGCGCGGGACTTTGAGGCGGCCATGGGCGAGGAGAGGGGGGTGAGGGGCACGTGTGAGGTGCCGGGGGAGGGCGCCTTCACGCTCGCCAGGGAGCGCTTCCTCGCCCCTGAAGTGCTCTTCCGACCCTCTCTCTGCCGCCTGTGCGTCCTCCCTGGTCAACGGGGTCAGTGTGGTCAATGTGGTCAACTGGGTCAACTGGGTCAACGTGGTCAACGTGGTCAATGGCGCCAATGTCGCATTCTTGCTCCTCTCCTGGCTGCCGTGAATGCTCCCCCTGTTACAACGGAATTGTCACTTGTCGCCATTCCAGTTGATTTCCCTCGTTTTCCTGTCTCCCTCCCCACTCATGCGTCCTTCCTGCCCTCTCAAACTCCCCGGACCCCTGCCTTTCTCCCAACCAGCGGCTGCAAAGGCATACAATATGAAGTGGCGCGGTGCATATTGGAGTGCGTAATGAGCCTCAAGGCGTTTTTGAAGGCCAGGCACAGCCACGCGGGAGGGGCAGCGGCTGCAGTGGTGGACAAGAGGGCGGAGGAGGGGGGAGGAGCGCCAGGGGAGGGGCGTGGGGATGAAGGTGCCTCTAGGCGGATGGGAAGTGCGGACGGGGCAGCAGCGGCGGGTGGGGGAGAGAGGGAGCGGGCACCTGTGACGCTGAGGAGTAAGGATGTGGGGGAGGCCATCAGCAACGTGGTGCTGGCGGGGGGCACGTCTGCGCTGCCAGGGATAGCAGGTGCGTGCTGTGTGAGGCGCCCCTTGAGCCTCCAAGCTGGACCTTAGCACTAGATATATTTTTACACATCCACGCTTATCCCTGTTTTGCTAACCTAATATCCATTCCTCTGTCCTCTTCTGCTCATCGGCTCCTTATTTTCGCTCCCCCTCCACCCCTTCCGTTGGTCGCGTTGACAGAGCGGCTTCATCTGGAGCTGAAGCGGCTGCTCCCCCCGCGTCTCACAGACCATCTCTCTGTGAAGGCGGTGGGGCCGTATGGCACGTGGATGGGCGGCAGGACCCTGGCCACTGTGAGTGCTACTGGCCGTTATTGTATCACTTTGTTACGACCATGCTTGTGCTGCAGCACACAGATAGTGTGGCCCACAGGCAGTGCTTGTGCTGCAGCACACAGATAGTGTGGCCCACAGGCAGTGCTTGTGCTGCAGCACACAGATAGTGTGGCCCACAGGCAGTGCTTGTGCTGCAGCACACAGATAGTGTGGCCCTCAGGCTCTGTGAAGGCGGTGGGGCTGTATGGCGCGTGGATGTGCGGCAGGACAGTAGCCACTGTAATTGCTATGGCTGTTATGGTATCACTTTGTCACGACGACCATATGTATGCCCGATGCAGATTATAATTTTCCCCCTTTTTTCTTTCGTGTGCCTTTTGGGTGCAGTCGAGCTCATTCTTATCAGCATGGGCGCTAAGCAGGGAGGAATATATGGAGAAAGGTCCGTCTTCTGTTCACGCTCATGCCATGGATGCGCATAATACTGCATGAACAGCCAGGCTCTTCCTGTTCTGAGAACACTCCCCAAGCTTTGGTGCAGAAATAAAGCTACCTTCATACCGTATGATGAATTGTGACACTGCTAAGTGGTAGATTCATGGGCGGCTGCGGCCATTATGGGTGGGTCACCTTATTATGTGTATGCAGGCACTAACTCTTGTGGTGTATCAACTCACATCTAGACATCACGGTGTGATGAAATTGGTGCTGGAAATGGTGTTGTATGGTGGTCATCCCTGTTGTCGGATGATTTGGAATTGTCTTATTACTGGTACATAAATGAAAGGCTGTGCAACAGACGTAGCAGCACCTGATGTGACAAGCATGCAACGCAACACATGCAGCAGAGCAGAGCACTATGCAACAAGCATGGAATAGATGACATCAGACCAGGCATCAGGCACACCAGGCAGGCACCAGTGGCTGCAGTCCTTCCTCCTGCCGCTCATCCCTCGATTCAAATGCCCATCTGGTCGCAGCATGCTCATGTACGTTATCTCCACCAGCCGCATCCGGGACCTTGCCAGCAGCTTCCTCTGCTCTTTTAACGACTCCATGGCTCGGATATCACCCACTTGAATGGCTGTTGTGATGTTGTTCAAAGGGGTGCCTGCTGCTTTGCACTGGGTGCGGTCGTGTGCCGGAGAGAAGGACACAAATAGGGGGACGCCGGGGTAGTTGGTGCACTCGATATAGTCACGCACCGCCTTGAGGGACTTGCGCAGCTTCAGCACCGGGGACATGAAGTTCTGTGAGGGGTGGTCAATGGGTTGAGAGCGATGCGGTAGAGTGGAGGGGAGGGGGCGGAAGGGAGGAGATTGTTGGGGTCACGCCAGTGAGAAGAAACGATCTTTTCTGTTAAGCTAAGACTATAGCCGGGGACAGAGGTTGGCATGAAAGTCATGAGGCATGGGCGCTTGAGAATTCTAAAGGTCTGGGACAGGACAGGGCATGGCATGGATGGCATGAGGCACAGTGAGACCTGGTGGAAGAACCAGTGGCCCGCTGTGAAGACCATGGCTGCTGTCCGTGGCAGCAGGGCCGCCCACTGCCCATCCACCCGCACCCTCGCTGAACTCTGCTCGCAATGAGTGGGGGAGGGAGAGGGGAAATAGACGGGCAATGGGAATTGGGCAAGGGACAACATGGGGGGAGGAGAGCAGAGGCTTGGAAGGATGACATGGGTGGACGGTTGCAAAGGGAAGAACTAGTGAGGTAGGGTGATGCTGGGGTGCCGAATAGAGGCACAGAGGGGGGAGGGATGGGTGAGTGGGCCGGCACTGGGAAGCATACCGTGTTGACGAGGCGGGTGAGCTTGCCACTGGCGATGGTGACGAGGGTGAGATTGTATGCCGGCAGCACCACTGCCTTGCGGTACCGCCTCCCCCCCACCCTCAACCGCATGTGCTGCCAGTGCAGGGGAGCAGAGGGGTGATGAGGGGGAATAGAGGGGGGGGGGGGAGAGAGGAGCTGGGAGAAGGGAGGGGGGAATGAGGAATGGGACGGTGCGTGGTGGGGAGGGAATGGTTTGCTGGAACGACCAGCAGTTAGGTGCGTCAACTGATGAGCAGCAGCTGCGTTCGACACGCTGACCCGTGCATGGGCAGTGGCAGGGGGGATGCACCTGGAAGGGCAGGGCACACCTGAAAGGGCAGGGCGCACCTGGAAGGGCAGGGCGCACCTGAAAGGGCAGGGCGCACCTGAAAGGGCAGGGCGCACCTGGAAGGGTGTGACAGCAGCGAGGGTGCATTTAAAGGAGTCCACGAGATTGTCGTTCAATGAGTCGCCCACGAATGCAATCACACTGTTGCGGTACCTCTCCAGCAGCACACGTGGCTGCATTCTATTGGGCAGGGTGGTGAGGGAGAAAGGAGGCGTGGAAGTGGAGACGTGAGCAGGGGTGCGCAAAGAGATGGCGTGTTGGGGAAGCAAGGATGCGCGGAGAGCAGGAATGCGGGGCCGTACCGCCAGAGCTGGTAGGAGCAGGGCGGGAAGGGCTGCCACACGAAACTAGCGGGGTTCTTGCGCCCGTCTGCCGCGCCATCACAGCTGAACTGCGAGCAGCTGGCGCTGTAGGGCGGGCTGTAGCCGGGTATGGTTGACGTGTCCACCCAGCTGCGGTCAAACAGAGTCAACGGGAGTCAACAAGGAGGCGAACAGGATCAGTGAGAATGAACTAGGATCACCAGGGCCACGAGTGCATTGAAAGGTGCACCAACGCAGTGTATTGGATGTATTTAGGGAAGACAGAACATTACAAATGACAATGTGGGGTTCCTAACAAGGTTGCTCTACCACAAGTGCCTTCTCTTTTTAAGGTGATTCGACTCTTCTCTTTTTACGAGGCAAAGCCTGTCTGGTAGTACCTTCCCTTGAGGTAGTTACATCCGCGATGCGACCGCGAGCGCGTGACGAGCCGCGAGTGGCGCTGAATAGCTGCGAGGCCCAGCGGGCTCACCGCGACGGCCGCCGGGATGGGCTGAACGACGGAGAACGCGACGACGAGAGCGACGCATAGCGACTGCGCTGCGAGTTTTCGATGAACCATCCCTCCGACAGGCTTCGAAAAGGCGAGCCTTGGCTACGTTACTAGTCTGCCATGTCGTTTTAGTCACTATGGCCCTTATTCGTTACAAGGTCGGCTCAAACGCCAATCTGAATGAAAGCACAACGAACAGCAAACCAGGCTTGCGGAGGTGGAACGAAAACACACAGCGACGCGTGATGAGATGACGGCGGCGGTTCGTCTTGACTTCCGCCGCAACGAAATGCTTTTTGGTCATCGTAGCGGAACGCAAAAGCACCAAAATGTCAAAACAGCTGTATACGGGGTAACGAAGACATTCCAAGTGCTGTTTTCGTGGGGCCAATGGCTTTCTCCCAGATTTTCCACGGTGGCTCCTCCACGCCACGCCGCTCGGCACGGCACCTGTGGCACCTGCACCCACACCTGTGATTCAGGCGTTATTGACAGGAGATTCGGTTTCACCTGCCAAGCCGCTGCTGAGGGGCATTTCGTACCGAACCTGCGCTCCAAACCTTTTTCCCTACTTCCAGGCTCTGTCACAGCACCTCAGCCGAAACCTGACCAGATTGACCAGGCCAACTGAAGCCAAACCTGTTCATCCAATGAGGCCCGTACCAAGGGCCCAGGTAAGGGATGCTTATGATTGGTGGTTGAGGTCGTTTGAGGGAAAAGCACATCATTGGCCCAGCTGGTTAGGTTCCCGTGACATGTGGAAACCAAGGAACAGCGGCAGCCATGGCCACAGATTCGAATTTCTTCAAATTTCCTACTCATTCCGCATTTCAGACCCATCACCTGCAAGATCGTTACAGTAGTTTTTTGCTGTGCATTCCTAGTCCGCCCAGCATCCATCAAAGATCACTCGTTGCATCCATTCAGAAAACTGCGTCTGGCCCTCAACTATTCGATTCTCTCAACATCTGGACCTGGAATTTAGTTTCCTTGATTTTTACTCGATCAATCGGAGCCATTAATCCGGCTCGGCAGCATGAAGCCGAAGCGGCGAGCGCCGCAGAGAGTGCAGCGGAAGCCGAGCACGGTGGCGAGCGTGGGCGGCGGCAGCTGCATGCGCTTCATGCTGCTCTTCCTCGCCGCCGCCGTCCTCTTCTGGGTCCTCTCCTCGCGCTCCGAGGCCATTGCGTCGTCGTTAAACGCCCTTAGTCGACGCGCGAAAATGGCCGGCGGCGGGGACAAACCCCTCGTTAGAGACCTCCTCGGTACGGGAGCCGCGGGCGCGACATCTATAGGCGTATTTGCGAGCGATTCGCTGGCGAACGAGGAGCCGGTGCCGCAAATATCGCTATCAGGAACGGACGGGCAGGGGGAGGAAGTGGATCTTGCGGGGACGGTAGATTCGGAGGACTTGGGAGCGGTGACCGCGGCGCAGAACACGCAAGAAACCACCAGCGAGCAGGGCAAGGCGGCGGCCGACGCGGTAGAAGACGCGACGAGGAATGAGGCGGGGAGTGCGGCGCGTAGAACAGCAGAGGATGCACCACTTGTCAAATCTGCGGGTTTGCGGGGCGATGGGTTGTCAACGGGAGATAAGAAGTCAGATGCGATCAGCGAGAAGTCGCGACCGGCTGCTAATGTGATCGCCACCGTGACGCAACCCGCTGTTGTAACGAAACCCGCAACGACGAAACGGAAAAAGCGACGAGTGAAAGCGCCTTCAGCGCGGTGGGCGCCGCTCAACGGCAAGTTCCCGGATCTGACAGTTGGGAAGCCGAAGCGCAAAGTGCTAAAGGTTAACATCGATAAGAAGAACCTGCAGCGCGTGTACTTAGACGCCACGCGGTTCCAGGAGAACAATCCGGGGAAGGTAGATCCGCCTTTCGAGGCGAGCCGCGGTCCGGAGTGTCCGACGTTCGAGTACGGTTACGAAGGCTTCCCGGGCATCGCGTCGTGCTGGCGAAGCCCGATCGAAGACGTGTTACGCTCGCCAGCGTCGCTACCGGCGAATTGTGCGAATGCGACGGACGCGGGGTGCATGCAGGAAGCCGACAAGCAGCCCCACGAGCCGTGGTCCGCGCAGGTGCGTTCCGGGTAAAGGATCGGGGGGTGGGGAAGAGAGCGGGGGGGGGGGGGGAATTTCTCTGAAGACTGGACGTGAAGGGAGGGAAAGAGGCGTTTGAAGGGTGAGGGGGAAAGGGACAACAAGGATGGATGAACGACAAGAGCTGTCAATGCTAATGAACAAGTCACGCACTCAATGTGCACTCAACCCCCTACACAAAACATGTGCTGCGTAGTAATTACGCGGGCTGGTGATGTTTCGACTCAACTGGAGGTACAAGCAGAGAGGTGAGTGGCAGAGAAACCTTGCTTCAGGGTACAGGGTTCAGGGCGGGCTTGGCGAGGGTCTAGGAGTCAGTGCGGTATTAGAATCACTTGAGGGATCAATGTTACAGAAATGAATCTCCCCCCAACCCAAGCCCCAACCCCTTCTCCCCCTCCTTGCCCTCTCTATCTGTCGCTCCCACACTTACCCTTGTCCCGCTCCCCAACCTCCCTCTTTTCCCCTTATTTCAACCCGCATCTCAATTTGCTTCCCAACGTGCTGGGAGGAGCCAGGGCCACGCTATGTGTGAGTCAACGGGCAGGCAGGCCAGGGGGCAAGTGCACTCACCTCCCTCGCTATCACCCGCACCCTCCCTTCACCCGCCACTCCTCCCTCCCATCCACCTGCGCAATTCGGATGCCCCTTCCATGCAACGTGTATGTCTGTACGCCCCCCCCTCCCTCCCCATCATGGGCGCCTGGCCGCTCAACCGCACATACCTGTAGCTCATATCCCTCCCTGGCCTCTGCCCTTCCCTCCGTCCCAACCCCAACACTCCGAGTCCCCACTTCCCCACGCGTATCAGGTGCTGCTCCTGCACAACGCGGATGTGAACATGGCGGGCCAGGCGTTCAACACCACACAACTGCACCTAACCCCTGTGTCTTCTCATCTCCCGTCTCTCCCCTTTCACTCCGGCACACCCAGTATGTGTTGCTCTTGCACCAAGTGTACATCAACGTGGCAGGGCTGGTGTTCAACGCCACACACTTGCAGCTGATCCATCCTCTTCCTCTTCCCCCCAATCCGCTTACCCCCCTGGCACCCTCACCAGGTGCTGCTGCTACACAACGTGTACATCAACGTGGCAGGCCAGGTGTTCAACGCCACACACTTGCAGCTGATCCATCCTCTTCCTCTTCCCCCCAATCCGCTTACCCCCCTGGCACCCTCACCAGGTGCTGCTGCTACACAACGTGTACATCAACGTGGCAGGCCAGGTGTTCAACGCCACACACTTGCAGCTGATCCATCCTCTTCCTCTTCCCCCCAATCCGCTTACCCCCCTGGCACCCTCACCAGGTGCTGCTGCTACACAACGTGTATATCAACGTGGCGGGTCAAGTCTTCAACGCCACACACCTCTTCGACCACAACGCCTGTGCCGCAGACTCACCCTTCCACTACACGCCCAACAACACCCCCGTCTCCTCCTTCCCCTCCCTCATCTCCCTCATCGACTGGTTCGGGTGGTCCGCCCGAGCCTACATGCTAGACCTGGTGCCATCCATAGTGACTCTGGACGCGGTGCTGCCGCTGCTCAAGGGGGAGGGCGTGCCGGTGGCGCTGGGGTTGCGCGACCGGCACGTGAAGAACCAGATGGAGCAGGCCACGGGGCTGGGCCACTGGGAGCTCGTGGGGGTGCGCCTGGAGAGAATGAACCCGCACATTCTCAAGGAGGGCGAGCTGTTCTTCGCTGAACGCCTCTTTCTCGTGAGTGCCATGGGGGTGCCCCAAAGTGGGCTGGGACACTGGGAGCTCGTGGGGGTGCGGCTAGAGCGGATGAACCCACGGATTCGGAATGTGGGAGAGCTGTTTTCCGCTGAACGCCTCGTTCTTGTGAGTGCTGCCCTGTAGAGCAGATTAGAGATCCTTAGAGCACCCCAGAAAACACCTTAGCACCCAATAGCACCCCATAGCACCCCAGAGCACCTCATACTCTCGACCCGTCACCCCTCTGCTCGCCTCATTTCCTCACCACTTCTGTGCTTCCCGTGCCCTTTTCTCTACCACCTGTGTGTGTGCAGCCGTTGAAGCAGCGGTGTGGGCGGCCCAGCAGGGCCATGTGGTCGTACCTGCGCCACCGCAACCTGCTGCCCAAGCCTGGCCTCCCCCTCTACCGCCACGGTATGTCCGCCCCTCTCTTGTTTACTGGGTTGCCAGTTGAGCTCCCACTGCTATGCCCACCCCTCACTTTCTCCCTGCGCCACCGCAACCTGCTGCCCAAACCCGGCCTCCCCCTCTACCGCCACGGTACGCCCGCCTCCTCCGTTTCTCTTGCTCCAACCCCCATGCACTTCCATGCCATCTGCTGCCATGCCATCTGCTGCCATGCCATCTGCTGCCATGCCATCTGCTGCCATGCCATCTGCTGCCATGCCATCTGCTGCCATGCCATCTGCTGCCATGCCATCTGCTGCCATGCCATCTGCTGCCATGCCATCTGCTGCCATGCCATCTGCTGCCATGCCATCTGCTGCCATGCCATCTGCTGTCATGCCGTCTGTTGCTATGCCTCCCCATCCGCCATCCTCAGTCCTCAGCCCCACATACTTTCATTTTCTTGATACCCACATCCCTTTCCCCCCATCCCCTTACCTCCCCCTACCTCCCTCTCTCGGCAGAGTTCAAGCCAACGTACCGCAGGCGCAAGGGCGAGGACCTATCAGCGGGCAGCGAGTGGGTGGTGGTGGTGGCGATGCGCGACGAGTGGAAGCCGCTGGTGCAGACGCTCAAGCTCACGCAGCAGCTGCTCAAGTGGCTGCCTCAGGACCGCATCGTCACATACCGTGATGGCTCTCTGCCCTTTGGCAAGCGCAAGGAGCTGTTCAATCGAGCCCGGCTGCTTGTGGCGGCGCATGACAACGTTCTTGCAGATATGGTCTTCATGCCTGCCGGTGAGTGCTTGCTAGGGGGGGGAGCAGCTGCTCAAGTGGCTGCCGCAGGACCGCATTGTTACGTACCGCGACGGCTCACTGCCCTTTTGCAAGCGCAAGGAGCTGTCAACAGAGCGAGACTGCTGGTGGCGGCACATGATAACGTGCTGGCTGACATGGTCTTCATGCCTGCCGGTGAGTGCTTGGGGGGAAGTGGCTGCCGCAGGACCGTGTGGTGACTTACCGCGTCGCTGCCCTTTGGCAAGCGCAAGGAGCTGTTCAACAGAGCGAGACTGCTGGTGGCGGCACATGATAACGTGCTCGCAGATATGTTCTTCATGCCCGCTGGTGAGTAAGTGGGTGGGAGAGGCAGGTGTTCCGTCATGTAAAGCCGCTGGCTGCCGGCTGCTTGTGGCTTTGCATGATGATGTGCTGGCTGGCATGGTCTTCATGCCTGCTGGTGCGTGCCAGGGGAGGGAAGCAGCTGATCTGTTGCGTACCGTGACTTGCTCTTGGCTGCAGGGTGTGGCGAATGCCATCTCTCATCCTCCCTCGTGCCACATCATCTGCATCCCTCCCCTCCCCTCCCACCCACCCCACCCCTCCCCTCCCACCCACCCCACCCCTCCCCTCCCACCCATCCCACCCATTTCCCCGGCTGTACGCGGGAGGGTCAGTGCAAGAAATCCGGCCAGAGGAGGAGGCAGACCCCACCTTCCACCACCTGGCGGACGCATACCAGCTGGACTACTACCTGCTGTTCTCTTCTCCGCTCTCTTGCCACATCTTATGCATGCTCAGTGCCCACACCCCCTCCTCTCCCCCTTCCCCACCCCTTCCCCTTCACCCACCATTCCCCTGGGTGTGAGCAGGAGGGGCGGTGTTGGAGATACGGCCAGAGGAGGAGGCGGACCCGACCTTTCACCACCTGGCAGACGCGTGCCAGCTGGACTACTACCTGCTCTTCTCGGACGGGCGCAAGGCGGACGGCAAGAAGGGCGGCAAGCCCAAGATCAAGGACCCCAAGGTGGTGCACAAACTGCTGGAGAAGATTGCCAGACGGATACGGAAAACGTAACGGTGTAGTGTAGATTTAGTGTCTAGTGATGCATGTGTCGAACGGTGACACACAGTTGAATCTTGTAATACATCAGCATTACATTCGGTTTTCGATGTGGCTGTTGTCTTGTAATGAATGCCCGAGCATTCAATCACCATAAGCCTGCAAAACTTAAAGATGATTAGAATGTACAGATCAGACTGCATAATGCCGTGGACACAAGGAGGGGTCTGGACTCCTGACTCAGGAGGATCTGACAATAGCATGCAACTGTACAGCCCAAGCTACAGTGATGCCCAGTGCACAGTACACAGAGGTGAGGAGCAGCGGAAGGAAAGGGAAGCGCGCATGCAGCCGTGGGTGGTGGTACAGCAGCTGGCACAGCATTTCCAAGGGTAAAACACCCAGAGCATGCGCCACTCGTAGCCTGTGCAACCACGATGGGGACTGCAACTCGGGGAGTTGTGGATTCGAAGAGTTTTGGAAAGGACGCGGTTGGTGTGTTGAGGAAGTGGGTTGGCCGTTGGGAGTGGGGGAGAAGATGCAGAGGGAGGAGAGGAGGAGGGCGAGGGAGAAGAGTGAGAGTAGGAGGATCTTGATGGGGTACTCGGGGAGTGTGAAGAGCAGGGGGAGGAGAGCGTAGTGTGATACTGGAGGTGTTGGGGGGAGGGAGAGCGGAGGGAGGGGAGGGAGTGAGGATGGCGCACAAGGACACAAAGCACAGAGATGGGTGAGCAGGCAGCGGCGAGGCAAGGCAAGGCCACGCCAGGCCAGGAAATGCAAGAGCGTGAAGGGGCGAGAGATGGCAAGAGGGCAGTGAGTTCGATGGAGATGAAGCATGTGGGGTTCAAAGTTGAGAGGGAGATAGAAGGGCCATCGGCATGCACTCACCGGTGGCGAGAATGAGGAACTCAGAGGCCCATGCGGGGGAGGAGGAGGCGAGGAGGGAGAGTGGCAGCAGGAAGTGCAGCACGGCCTTCTCATGCACGTGCCACCCCAGCAGGAACGCACTCAGAAACACGTGCGCCAGCGCCGCTGCTATGGCCTGCATACTCCACCGCCGCTGCTCCCCTGTGGGCGTGCCATGGGGTTCACTCCCCTTACCCTCTTTCCCACCCTTGTCAGCACCATCTCTCTCCCCACCATCCCTGTGAGCAGCATCAGAGTCATCACTACAGATGTAGGCGAAGGGTCTAAACCATATATGCAGCAGAACGGGCGCCATAGCAGCCAGCACCAGCAGCAGTGACGCCAGCGGCGTCACCTGCGGCACCACACTGAACCCCACTGCATCCCCCACCAACCCCCGGGTCCACCCGCCCTTCCCTCCCACTCCCGGACCTCCTACCGAGCCTGCTGCCGAAGCTGCAGCTGCAAGAAGCTTGTCAGCGAGGGTGTAGAGGGCCCAGAAGTTGGCCGCCCAGTAGGCGTGCATGAGACCACGACCGAAGGGGAACAGACGGGCGAGCAGGTTGGGGATCTGGTCTGTGACTATAAAGGGGGCGAATGAGATGGCCAGCACTGTGAGGACCACTGCGCCCAGTGTGACTATACGGGTGAGCGAGGCGAGGAGGGGGATGGAGCTGCCTAGTGCTGAAGCGGATTGCTTTGTTGTGCCAGCGGAAATGCGTCTGGACGGGTTGGTGGTGCTGCATGCGGTGGTGAGCGGTGCAGTGGTAGGGGGAGGTGGAGGGAAGCAGTGGTGGCGGAGGAGGAAGACGAGGAAGAAAGGACCAGCGACGGCAAAGAGGTGCTTGAAGCAGCACAGACACGCAAAGGTGAGAGAAGCCCACACGTGCCTCCCCTCCTGCCATAGCAAACAACACACCAAGCCATGAGTGCGAGAAAGATAATATGGCATTAAGCTCTTCAAGGAGTGAGCGACTGATTGAACGAAAGACACAGCAGCAAAAGCAACAGCGGCGCATGGCGCAGAGGCATCATGTGAGAGACTTACAGCGAGGAACGAGAGGGAGAGCAGCAGCATGGCGAGCAGCATGCCGTTGTACTGGAAGTGCATGTGATCCACCAGCAGCAGCCCTGCTGACAGCACCACCGCGCCCGCCGCCACGTTGCGGTGCGCCCGTGAGGGCAGGCCGCGTGTGCAGCGCCATGCAGCCACGGCGAGCAGGCAGTCCGTGGCCATCACTGATACACGCTGGGGGGAACAGGCGTTGGGGAAATGGATTCTCCCGCGGGTTGGACCTCGCACCGTGAGATGTATTGAATGCTCCAACTGACGTTTTGCGTCAACAATGATAACTTGTGACTTGTGATGGCACAAGGACCATCACTTCGCACCTGGAACAGCACGGTGGCGTAGCTGGCGTGCTGGAGGCCGTTAACGAGGTGGGTCATGAGCGGGTCGACGCGGCACGCGAGCAGCGCGAGGCAGCGCTCGAACAAGGCGAAGAGCGGCGGGTAGTCCAGCGTCCACTGGCTCGTCGCGTCCCTGTACCACTGCCATCGCCGCAGCACACGGAGGTACAAATGCAATGGATCGGAGGGGGGAGTAAGAGGCACGTGAGAGTCAAAGAAGGCGAAGAGCGGCGGGTAGTCCAGCGTCCACTGGCTCGTCGCGTCCCTGTACCACTGCCAACGCCGCAGCACACGGACGGACGTTCGCAAGGGAATTGAGGGAAAGAGAGGCCCGTGAGAATCGGGGAAAGTTGAAGGGAGGGATGTGGGTGCCCAAAGGGTGACCGGAGAACAAGGAGAAAGAGCTGTATAAGCTTCGGAGAGCGGTGCAACATCTGTATCGCAAAAATTGGTCGGAGGTGAGGTGCCTGCCTCCAGACGGCAGTGAAGTGGGGAGCTGGATACTAGGGTTGGCGAAACGGATGAATTCGGACGGGCACACCTGCGAGAGCGGCAGCGAGTGAGTGATGGCGAGCCAATTGCGGTGCACCTCGAAGTCCGTGCTGCGATACGCCGGCACCAGCAGCAGCTTCACGCACGTCGCCACGCCCGCCATCCACGCCACGTCAGCTAACGCTGACGACGCACTCGCCCGCTCTTTGCGCGCCATTGCTACTATGACGGCAGCAGTGGCGGAAGAACGGGGAAGGAGGCCTAATGGCGAGAGAATATGCGAGTCTCGTTTCGTATCAAGACTAGATTTGTATCAAGAATCGGAATTCAGCAGAGCTGCTTCTGTCGCTTGGGGATTGCAGATCGCAAGGACAGATCAACGGATTGCAACAATAGTTGCGAGAAATACAGGGAGTTTCGTGCAATTCCATACACTTATTTCTTTGTGCAAAACTCAATATTTATTGCTAACTCTAATGTCCTTGCAGCTATTGGCTACTGGACTTGTATCTCAGACATCTCCACAAACTCCCCAAAATCTTCACAACACAATCACCCCATGCAGGCTAGCTACATACTAATAATAATTCATCATCATGTTGTAAACCACATCAGCCCACGCATCTGGTACCCCTGGCAAGCACCAGTGGCTGCAGTCCTTTCTCTTTGCCCGTAAGTGCGCATCGGGGCGCATAGCACTCATGTAAGTGATCTGCGCAACCCGAATCTTCTTCGATCGCTTGAATATGGACACTTGCTTTCTCATAGCCGGCATGGTGTACCCATTGAGATGCGCAACGCCATCGGTCTCGTTGGCCAAGGGGGCATTGGCCGTGGCGCACTCATTCCCGGCATGAATGGGGGAAAAGGTCATGAATATAGGGAGGCCGCTGTAGGGTGTTTTCTCAAAGTAGTCATAGAGAACGCCCATGGCCTTGCGGTATGCCCCCATGGGCTGCCAATTGGGGTTGGAACCCAGCTTTGAGTTTGGCTGTGGAGCAGCAGGGTACGGAGGGGAACAGTGTGGGATGGACGGGATTGGTGAGTCATGATTGGAATGGAATGAATTCAACAATGGGATGGGATATAGTGGGGTGAGGTAGATGGGGATGAATGAGTGGAAAGAGATCAGACTGGGCTTACAAGCGTTACATTTTGAATGGGGGAAGCAGAGAGCACGGGGCATACCGAGTGGAAGAAGCAGAGAGCATGGGGCATACCGGGTGGAAGAACCAGAGAGCATGGGGCATACCGGGTGGAAGAACCAGAGAGCATGGGGCATACCGGGTGGAAGAACCAGTGGCCGGCGCTGAAGATGATGGCGTGCGTGTAGGGCAGGACGCCCGCCCACTTGGGATTCACCACGTATGGCTGCGTCTGGTCCTTGTACTGCCGCCCGGGGGGACGCGGCCAAGGGGGATTCGGCCAGGGCGGAAGCGGCCAGGGCGGAAGCGGCCAGGGGGGAAGCGGCCAGGGGGGAAGCGGCCAGGGGGGAAGCGGCCATTGGAGAAGCGGGCAGAGCGGAAGCAGCCAGGGAAAACAGGCACACGGTGAGCAGGAGGGGAAGAACAGGAAGGCGAAAGCAGCCAGGGGGGAAGCACGGAGGAAGAAAGCACGGGGGAGAAGAATGAGGGGAAACGCATAGGGGGCTCTGCACGTATGGCGGGCGACTCACGTATCGGGGGCTCTGCACGATGTAGCCGCTGTTGATGGAGAGCAGCGTGAAGTTGTACTGCGCCGCGAACAACGACCCCACCGGCCGCGCGCCGCCCAGCCACGACTTCTTGAACTGGTGGCGGGGGATGGGGGGGTGGCGGGAGTGAAGAGGGGTGGTGGGGGGCCACGAGGACGGGGGCGAGGGGCAAAAACAACGGTGTTATATTCCCAAGTCAGCCAACTGATGATGGATTTGTAATTGATTCGTTAGAAGTTGAGCCCTCGCGCGGAGGATTCTTGCTTTACAAGGGGGATTCACTTGCAGAGATTGCAAACGCGCACCTCGATTTTTGTGTACGCGGAGAGGATGCAATGGAACGACGCGTGCAGGTTGTCGCTTAGCGAATCACCCACAAACGCGACGACTTTGTTCCGCATGGTCTCGAGAAACGTCTTGGGATTGAATCTGGCGCACGGGAGAGGGCCGGGAAGCACGTCGAAGGGGTGTGCATCTCAACACAGGCAATCTCGTCAACGGGAGGACGGCGAAGGAGTGGGCGAGGAGGAAGCACGGGGGCGAGCTGTGCATTCTTCCTCCATGGATCGTACCTCCATTGGTCGTAGGAACAAGGCGGCGCGGGCACCCACACGTATCCGGCGGGGTTGCGCCCGTTAGTGTCACACGAAAAGCCCCCGGCGCAGCCGCTGGCGTAGGGCGGCTTGTAGTTGGGGATGGTGGACGTGGGCACCCAGCTGCGCGCGGAGAGCGGTTAAGGCGGGGCGGGCGGTGGGGCAGGTGAGGGTTGCGCGGGAGATTCGAGGGGGAAACGCACATTCGTGGATTGCGGAGAATTTGAAGGGGAAAGGAGTCAGGTACTCGGGAGGAAGCGAGGGGAGGAGATCGACGCGCGGTAGGAGGAAAGAAGGGATGCAAGGGGGGTAACTTAGGGTGGGTGGAACCAACGGGGTGAGAGGAGATAAAAACGGGGTGCGGGGAGGTGGGGAGAGAGGCTAGGAGGAGAGGAAGCACGACAACAGCATTCCGCGGATCTTACCTCCCTCTTCGGTAGTCGCAACCTGCTGATGCTCGACTCCCGACTAGCGAGCGACGTGCGATACCATCGTCAGAGCCGTTTGCTTGTCGCATGAGCCATCGCACAGCGGCATCTGCCCACTCGTCGCCACGGGACCGAAGGAATGCGCTGGACGATCGAGCCGGAAGGGGGAGTAAGGAGGAAGAGGCGACGAGGACAAAGATCGAGAACATGGTAGCGGGAAGATGAGACGGTCTCGGCGTTAAGCGACTCCGTGCACGCAGCGAATCCATTGCTGATACGAATCTCAAATGCTCTCTGCAGGCTACACGGGTGCCAGCTTCTAAATGCTGTACAGATACGGCGCCGGGCGGCGGTCAGAGAGGTGTAATCGACGCTGCATTCAAGGAGCACGAGCGTAGTATAAAGATTAGCCGCGCGGGAAAGCCTGCCTCGGTAGTCCACACGGATCGTCGCTGTGCAAAGCACAATTCCCAAAGCGCGGAGCTTCGAGGTTACAAGAGAACGATGGGCTTCAAGAGGCAGCACAGCTGACCCTAGATTCGAGCCCCAGATGTTTACAAAGATACAGTGCAGTGCGTTCCAGTTTGGTCGGTCGCTTGGTTGATGCTAGGAATGATGTCGCTCAGCTCTGCTTGATTGCAGCATTGGATTGGAAATGAGTCAAGGGTGGTGGATAGTTGTGGAGGGGCCGGTGGGGGGGACATTCGTGATGATGGTGGCGAGGCGAGCCGAGATCGGGGAGTTTTCAGTTGGCGCATTTCGCGTTTCCTCCTCGGGTCGTCTATTTCCGAATCGCGGTTTGTCGGCTCGTGGAGTCGCTTGGGACCTCAGTTCGCTGGGCAGATGGGAATTGTTATCCGCACTCAAATTTCCCCCTTTCTCGAATTGAGTGACACTCGATTCATTTTGCAAAAATAGTCAAGGCCTTGGGGATTGGTTCCGAAAATATACGGAAGAGAGCAAACCCCGGCATCACCGGATCGCTCTGGCCGTTTGGCGATCAGACACGACTAGTTATCCGTCGCCAAACAGCAGGAGCGGGGGAACGTGCGAACAGTCGCGCTTCGTTGTTGAAGTCATCCCGTTTCGCAAGGCTCACTACACGATGGGGTTGCATACGGTATAGTAGTGTGTGCAGATGGTAGCAAAAAATACCGCGCTGTAGCAGGTGCACCAGATGAATTAAATGCAAAATCACAGTGCTCTCCTCTCCACCATGTCATCCCTCGCCGTAGCATCTCCCACTGCGTTATCTCACCATACAAACAGCTGTAGCTTTTCTGTGAAATCTAGTGTGAAATTGCTGGTATGCATTAGCTGCACTTGCACGATACATGCATGTGGAATGCAGGAAAACAGAACGGCCGTTCAACCAAATCGTGCTGCGCGGAGATCCACCGTGACTGAGAGCAGATGCAGGCGGAAATCCTCAAACTTAACGCAACAATCAAAATCGACACACTATCGGAGCTCCTAGATACAACAAAGCCCATCTCGCTGATCTGGCCATTCAGAAAGGTAACCAGAAGGTACTACTATTCGCTTGGTAGTGGAACCGCGCAGTAAGCACATCAGTGATTGGAGGTCGTGGGTACCATGAAGCCTGCTTGTGATATGACAACTAAGGGCCCCACTGCGAAGAGGCATCTCATTTGTGGGAGGTCATGCGCCTGAAGGAGAGCAAATGATGCTTCCTGCGTATGCCCATTGAAGAGGGGTTGGGACGGGGGTTGGAAAAGAGGGAAAGGGGAGTTATGATGAGCCTTCAGCCAAAGAAACACTACAGCAAAGGGGACTGATTGAAAGAAGACAGCACTGACGAGGATCAAGCCCAGGAACCAAACCTGCACAAATGAGAATCAGCAAACAGTTGCCTCACCTGCCAGATGGTGTGGTGGGAGCCGCGGCAGCAGCAGGGGCAGCCGTAGACACAGCAGGAGCAGGAGTGGAAGGAGCCGATTGGGCAGGCAGGAGTGAGGGCGTTTCATTGCAGGGCACAGACTCGCCTGTGGTCGCTCGAGGCACGGGATCAGCTGCCTGAGAGGACGCACATCCCTCTTCTGCTGCCGCCCCCACTGTTGCTGAAGCCGTTCCTGCTGCTGCAACGGTGGCCGTTGAGGCAGCAGGCAGTGCAGCAGCACTGTTGGCGCTGCTGTGAGCTGGCCTGTCAGAGCGGTGGGAGAACCAGCGCACAAACTTGCTGCCCGCTGAGGCAGACGCAGGTGCACTGGCGGCGGTGGTGGAGTGGGGGGGCGTGCGGGGCGTGGTGGCAGTGGTGGAAAACGTGGTGCCTGATGCACTCGTGCCTGAAGCAGCTGAAGCAGCAGAGGCAGCTGAGGCAGCGCTGTCAGCTGCAGGGTCTGGTGGTGCAGCAGCAGTGGCAGCAGCATGCTGATCCAGGTCAACCACGAGCGAGAGCTTCTTTGAAACAGCCTTGCCCAGAGGCTTGGCAAGGCCTGCAGCAGGCACGAGAGGAGGGGCAGGCGAGGAGGCGGCAGAAGCGGTGGTGGTGGAAGTGGGGTTGGTGGTGGAGGCAGCAGCTTGCATGGCGGCGAACCTGGCCTTGTGCAGCTCGCCACGCACGCAGGCCGTCAGCCAGTGCAGGCGCGTCAACTCGTCCCTCTCCACCATGCCCCTCGCCTTCGTCTCCTCCACCTGCACCCACAGCAGGGAGGCACAGGTGATGGTGAGTGAGCGCGGGCATGGCCAGATACAGGAGGAGCTAGAGTCACTACAGGGTGCTGTGCGGGGAAAAGGGGATAGCCCGGTAAAAAGGCGAGGGGAGAGGAGCCCAGGGGAGGGATGGGGAGACTAGTGGGAGAGGAGGGAAGGGAGAGTAATGCATGAGAGGACTGGTGTGGGCGTCTCACCTGGTCGAGAATGTCCCACACTCGAGCAGGCACCTCCATCTTGAGCCCGTCAGAAGAAGCCACCTTCACACTCCCATCCCCCACTACCGCTTCCTCTGCTCTCCTGCTTGCCCTCCTCTCCCCACCGTCCCCCTCCCCTTGCAACAATGCATCTTTCATCACCCCTCTGGTGTGCCTCAGCAGCATCACCTCCTCCTCCAGCAACTCCTTTGCTGCCACTGCATCACGTGCCTGCCCAGTCAAGAGCACAAAACAGGGAAAGAGATGAGGACGATGAGACAGGATGGAGGAGGGGAAACCAGGGCGAAATACATACTCCATGTACAACAACAAGTTCAATCACCCCAGCCAGCGACCAGTCCCCACCTCGAATTCAGCAGCGCTCCGCCTTCGCTGCTCCTCAGCGAGTTCCTTCTCCAGCGCCAGCAGCCTTGCCATCATCTCGCCGCCCTTCACCTCCAGCTCGCCGTTGCGCTGCACCTGCTCCGCCAGCGTGCCCTGCAGCCCGCGCTGCCACTCCTCCGCGTCCTCGCGCGTCTCCTTGCTCCACACCAGCGTCTTCCTTAGCCCCATCGCCTCCTTCGTCGCCAGCTGCAGCTGCTCCAGCAACCCCATCTCCGCCGCCTGTGCCTTCTGCAGCTGCTGCCGCAGCAGCGCCGCGTCTGCTTCCTCTGCTGCTGCCCGCCTCTCTGCCACTGCTGCTGATCGCCTGAGGGAGGAGAGTTCTTTCTGGGCAGCTGAGAGCTCCTTGTCAAGATCTTTTCTCTGCTGTTTGACCTCCGCCAGCTCACGCCGCAGCGATGCTGACTCGCCCTTCTCCTGCGCCAGCATGGTTTCGATGTATTCCACGTCAGCAGTGAGGCTCTTCTCTCGTCTTTTCAGTCGCTCATTCTCAAGCCTCACCTTCCCCAGTTGCGCCTTCAACCGGCCAGGAGAGGAACTCCCTTCGCTGCTTCCTCCGTCCCCATCCTTCTTCACATCAGACGCACCGTTTTCGCCTGCTTCCCCTGCCTCGTCCGCTTCGTTTCCTCCCTGCCCTGTCCCTTCCGAGGGAACATACGACCAGTCCTCTACTTCCTGCTTTAACCGATTCAGCGCGATTTCCGCTTGCACCTTCTCTACACTCACACTCGCCAGCTCAACTCTCAGTCGGTTCAGCTCAGCACGGCGCCGTGCCAGCTCAGTTTCGTATCGCGCCACCTCAGTCTTCTTCTTTGACAGCTCAGCATCGACAACAGAGACAGAGGGACTGGACAACAGTTCCAGCGGGAACTCCCCGCTCAGTCCCGCAGAGCCCCTCGCTGCTCCACCACCCGCCATTCCCGCCGGCCTGTCTTCCATAGGCGAGGCGGTGCCGCCATTTGCCAGGCCATAGCGCCGATTCCCCGCGGTCGCGCCAGCAGCGGCGAGAGCCAGCGACGGTTCTGACGTGGACGCCGTCATTCGGGACGTTGAGAGTCTCCCAGGGTCCTTCCCGCTGCCGCTGAACCGCTCAATCGCGCCCGCGACGGCGTCCGCGCCCCCCGGCTCGCCTCTGCGCTTCTCCCTGCTCTTCTTTCCGCCTGACGACTTGCGCGATTTGCCTGGCGTTTTTTCTGGAGAGAGTGGCTGCGGTTGCTGCTTGTTCTTCTTGGGTAGCCCCTCGATGGATCGAATCAGGGAGCCCACCGAGCCTCCCTCCTTATAGTCACCCTCTTCGTCATCCCCAACAACCACTGCAACCTCTTCCCCGCCTCCTGTCCTCCCGCCTTCCGCATCCCCACCACCGCTCTCCTCTCCACCCGCGCGCCCGTCGCTGTACCCCACCTGCCACCATCCGCCCTCCCCGCCATCCCCCTCCTTGCGGTACTCCTCGCGCCCCTCCCCGCCCGCCACCTCGTAGCCCAGCGCTTCCATGCGCGCCGCGCGGGCTTGCGACTCCTCGAGCGCCATGATCTCGCAGAGCGCTTCCATCTCCTCCATGCTCATGCCGTCCAACCCCTCTTCCGCCAATTGCTCCTCCGTCAACTGCTCTCCGCCGCCGACGAGTTCCCCGCTTGGGTCGCTTCGCAAGGCGGAAGTTTCGACTGTTCTTGGGGAGGGGATTGGCTGTCGTCTGACGGGCTGCTGGGGATCGCCAGTTAGACCTGGACGGTCCGATTGGGATCGCTTGTACTGAATTTTGGCGGTGCTGTTGCCGGCGACACGGCGTGAGAGTGAGATTGCCGTGGACGGCGATGGCGGCTCGCATTCAAACATGGAGGCGATACGCTGCACCTTGGACACCTGCGGCTCGAATCGAGACGCGAGCTGCTTCACTCGGCTAGGACTCGGGTCGTCCATGGCTGCTTACTGTACTGTTGGTGTGCTATACTAGGTGCGAGACTGATATCCTACACTGACTGCAAGTACAGTTAGCTTCTGACTGATGGAGCTAACCTGATTTCTACTAGTTCTAAAACTTCAAATGACCAGCTCAATTTTCTACACAAACTGGATGGCGGGAAGCTCTCTAAGCTGCTACTTCGTCGTCCCGCCCGCAGACTTGAAGTGCTGCTAAGATGGGCGATTTTGAGTTTCCTAGACACACGCCATAAACGTGATGAAGTCCATCAAGCGATCCGATGACAGGCAGAACGCATCAACAAGAATTCAAACATCCATGATTCCTCCTGTCCTGGCAGTCCGAGCCTGACAACTGTGTCCAAAAGAAAGGCGAGGGAAGAGAAGGGGTGCGGCACTGAGCAGCTGTGGTTGGTCTGCTGCGCACAGCGCGACATTCTCGAGGGGGTGTCGTCGTGAGCCGAGCGCTGCCAGAAAGTGACTGGCACCGCCTGCGAGGCAAATTATTTCACGCCACGTGGCCGCTTTGTCCGTCACCACCATTTGAGGAGAAATCGGTTTCGATTCTGTTCCGATATCGCCAGGTCTATGACAAATCTACAAGTGCTGTTCATGCCTGAATTAGACTCTCACCTATAAAGAGATTGTGTACATTACTTCATAATCTCCTACAACCTTGGTTTCAAGCCTTTTAGTTGCACCAAAGCGCACTCAGCTGCGATGTGCTGACGTGCCACAGATTGCGTGAAAAACAATAAGAGACAGAAACGCATGTCACTGGCACCAAATAATACGACCACCCAACTATGCAACAGCACCTAGTGTTCCACCCCTTTGAAAAAAAGGCATAAACACAAAGGGGTGAATGCACTTTCAGAAAGTGGACGCTTACCCCTCGACCCTATTTGCAGCTAAACACTAAACATAGTTGACCTGAATGCGAGAGTGACGCCCATGTAGGTCCGCTGCTAACAGCTTCCGCAATGCCATGGTAACTGCCCCTGGAGAACCTGAATCACGGAAAAAGAATGAAATGAGTGTCAGCATAATCATAACGTCCCTGGAGCAACACAACTGCGTTGGAACCTTACCGCTTGCAATGACTTGGTCATCCCATCGAATCACAGGAGTTACCAACACCCCGCTGCCCACAAGCATCATTTCAGTGCACTGTCGTGCTTCAGCCTCTGAAACTGCCCGGTGGCATATCCTGCTTATTCTAGGAACTGCATCTTCTTTCAACAGTTCTTCTGCAAGTGCCAAAACTCGCTTCATTGTACACCCTGCCAATACCTGCAGCACACTGCAACGATTTAACACCCCCAACCACAAAGGTGAAGAGAAAATAGAAACTGAGGAGAATAAATTCGAACTCACCCGGCTGAACTCAGGAACCAGAAACTCGTTTTTGTCATTAACAAACTGCAAGCGGAACAGCAAATGAATGGACGTTAAAAGAATGCCATCAGCCACACGCAGTGTCCATCTCACTTAGAAAAACGTTGCCTCAACTTACAGCAACATTCATGCTGGGACCTTCTCCAATGTTGCCGTTCTCATCAATCCAAATGCCTTCAAACACACCCCTCTGCACAATCCCAGACACAGGCTCACTTAGCGTTCCCATCCACAATTTGGTGCAAAATATGCTGAAATGTTTGCCCATACCTCTTCAGCCTCCTTCTTCACCAGGGTATTGGGCATGTAATTTACATTTTTCATTGTTGAGAACATTGGAGCTTTCATTGGAACACTTGACGTAGCCTGCAAGTTACAAAACGAACACATTAACCTCAAACATCAATCGTCCACTGAAGGAAAGGGCAGTAAGAGGGAGGAAGAAAGAACTGACCACTGTAACCCCGTCAACTGGAGCCTCCAGCTTTGTAAACTTATCATCTGCAACGACCATGACATAAATGGTACTTCTTGGACACCTGCAAGTGTGAATGACGGTAATTAGCGACTATCCAGCAACCCATGGGATGTTACAAAAACACATGGACATGGACCTACTCTTTAGTGGATAATGTGAAACCACCAGGTCCGACTGAGAGCCAGTATCGAGTACTGCCGTCCCTAACTCCGCTGACTGCACAGGTATTGAATGGAATGGACATCAAATGCACCCTGACGCATCTCTGGATAAGGACTTGCGCCTACGATGCGTCAAGTGCACACGTGAGAGTGTCGTTACTGACCAGCGACAGTCTGGATGATAATAGCTTTAAGCTCTTCCCGAGAATATGGGTGTTCAATTCTTGCCGCACGAGCTGACCTAATAAAACGGTCAACATGCTCATCGAGCTCATATAAGTACCTGCACATGAAAAAGAATTGACCAGAATATGAAGCTTGAAGGCTGGCATAAGCATAAACAGCATCAGGTAACCCAACTTCATTCGCGCAACTTACCCTGAGCAAATAATGGCGGTGTCAAAAACAGCGTGGCCTCTGTGAGCCATGTGATCGTCGATAGGAATTACCATAGCTGCTGGATCCTTCGTGATTCCACCGATCACACTCGAGTAAAACGCGCGATAGTTTTGTTGATTAGGATGCTTGTGGTCAGCAAGCCTCTCCGCCACCTGATAAATGCTTTTGACTGTGAGAAAAGTCGCGAGAAGGGAAAATTTACATTGTGCTGACAAACACCTACCTCTGTTCGCGAAAGGACAGGAATTGAATCCACATTGCTCTTCGTAACTTCGCTCAGAATTGTGGCAGGCGCAGCGCAACTGCTCCTGCAGTGTTTCAAGGGCTTAGAACGCGGCAATTTCTTGAGCCCTGTGCTGAAGGATTGGCACAGAACCTCAAGCGAAACGGACACGCGATTGGAGCTGCGTGCAGACGAAAGAGAAGTCGACAGACTGGTAGAATTATCCACTCCAAGCAAACGGGCGGGTGCGGATACAGTGCTAGAGGTGAAGGACGCCATACTGTAAGAGGTGACGGACGCAATACTGCTAGAAGTGCAAGACACACTGATTTTGTGAGTAAGAAGCGACCAGCAGAAGATCATAACAAGAGAACCTGGACGGAAAGACTGCAAATACAGACTACCAAATCGCATTGATGACTGGACCTTGAAAGACGATAAGTACCTCGACATTGGTTTAATGCGATTAGCATAGGACCGAACCAAAACATCGTTCTACGACAGTCTAGGGATATGCACATGCAAATTGAGCTATTAACAAAATGCCAACAGCAATACAAACCCACATTTGCATTTTCCAGCACAAGATGCCGCAGTATCATTGCCTAATCAGAAGAGCCTATAACATCATCTTCTTCAGCAGCCTTTTCAAGAAACTCCTTGGCTCTATTGAGGAGTGGATGACAATCAACATCAGGCGCATGGAGAGCTTTGCTGCTCTGCACCTTGATGGCAAGATCCACAACAAGTGCCCGCCACTGCTGCTCCCTCTTCTCTGCCACAGCAATCTGAAAAGAAAGGACCACAGCCGCCTTTCATTAACAATGTCCTATTTGCCAGCTAGTTGGCAATGAAGCATGCACTCACCCTGTGGCGTGCATCCATTTCCAGCATGTGTGATGCCGAGCGCACACTGAAGGAATTCATCAGCAGCAGCGGACTTTGATCTGTCCAGCAGCCTGGCAGGCCTGAGGCACCGGAACTTCTTCCCTGCTTGCCCGCACCACTGCTCCTCCTGCCACCAACTCCAATGCCTCCACTCATACTGCTCCTGCTAGAAGCACTGTTTCGCTTGCTGCTGGGAACAGGAATGGTTGGTTCACTAAATGCCCTCCCATGCCTTCTTCCACCCAAATCCCTCTGCTCCTTCCGCCCCTTCTTGTTGGGAGTTTCAACAACCATTTCCTCAATCTCGTGTCTGTCTGCTCCTTGAGTCAATTTCTTGCAGCATTCGTCCCTTCTAGACCCCCCATAAAGCACTGCTGCAGTCAAAACACTTGCACATTCCCTCCCTGCTGTAAGCTCAGCCCCTTGCTGAGCCCCTCCCTCACCAACCATTTCAGCGACAGGTGATACCTCAAATGATACCCGCCTGCTAAGTCGCCCTTGTTCTGTTGTCATCCCACCACCAATTCGATCCCATCTCTCCGCGCTCCCCCGTTTAACCATGCGCCTCATCTGCTTCCTTCCTTCAAACGCAGGAGCCTGTGCCACTGATCCTGCAGGTGTTCCTACTGTAGCTGCTGCATCTCCACCTCCTGCTATGACTGCCGTTGATGCGGTTGCAACTGCTACAGAAGCTATCACCACAGCTCCACTCGCTGCAGCCTCTGCTGTTGTTTCCATGGACCATGTCCCTACATGAGCAGTATTCCACGCACCTGATCGATTGAAAACGCCAGAGTTCGAAATAACAGCTGGAGGCACACTGGCTGGGCTGCTGCTGCCGGAGCTGCCTTCAATTACTGGAGGGAGAGAGGCCATGGACAATTCATGCTCCATGCCAGCCAGAGGCAGGAACATCGCTCCGCCTTCGTGTCCACGCCCACCTCCTAGCCCTCCTCCTGATCCTCCCCCAACAGCTGCCGAGTCACTTGCAGCTCTGCATTCAAGGACTCTTCTCCAGTCCTCAGCAGCAACATTAGAAGTGCTTGCATTCACACTGCTTCCACGGACCACATCACCAGCTGTGTTCCCACTGGCTAGTGAACCCCCTCTTCCTGCTGCTACTGTTCCTCTTGACCCTTCTTCTGCTCCCGTGCCTGGTCCCCCACTCCACAACACTCCACCGCCCCACACTCCACTCCCCCATACGCCACCTCCCCAGCCTGACCCAGTCCCAAACCCAAGAGAAAGAATGTTCATGAAGCTTGAATTTTTTCGAATCGTGTCAGCTGCAACAGGAGCAGTGGAGTCACCAGCAGCAGCAGCAGCGGAAACGGAGGGAGGATAAGCCAGGGAGGCTTGAGAGGCAGAAGCAGAGTCATCAGGGGCTGGGAAGGGGTGAGCGGCATCCTTTCGGCCCATGATGGCGCCTGACTTGTCGGTTGAGACAGCAGTGGGGTGGCGGAGAACGCTGGGGAGAGTGGAGAGGGATGGAATGTTGCGGAGATTCTCCCAGGAGGGAGCATGGGGGAGGAAGTGGGGGCGGCGAAGAGTAGCTGGGACAGGCTGGACGTCGTGAAACTTGGTGAAGTCCTGCACATGTGGTTGGGTTGGGGACATGGATTTGATTAGTGGAACAAACAGGAGACTGGGGCACAAATAGTGGAAGAACAGATATGGCAGCTCACCACACGTCGGATTCCACTTGGTGATCGCCTGACCATGGTGCTGCAGCAATGAATGAAACGAGATGGGAGCGTAACAAGGATGAGCAAGCAAAGAAAGCCTCCTTCAGTACTTTCACAAGAACTACAAAGCGCTTTGATCATCCAACAGGCAGTGATGAAAGGTGGGCGGATGGTGGTGATGAAGAGGTGAGTGCTCCTAGCTCACCAGAAGCGGTGGTTGAACTTGATGTCACGAGGGGAGTAGGAATGCCGTGCTGAAGTCGCAGGAGCGCATGGGAAGAACAACAAGGAACACAGAAGCAGTAACTGAGCCCCAGAATTGAAGTGCAGAAAGCTGTGCACACAATTGTTGGTAGAAGAAGACACATAAGCTGTGCTGACGCATTTGCACAAATGCTTAGCAAACAGTGAGTCATAAGCACCTTGCAGTTTGGCTGATGTGGGAGCATCCACGCCTTCTATAAGCACAAGGAACTCAATGTCAGCGCGCTCCATCATCTACAATCACACCCATGTGGGACAGAGAATGCGCAATATTTATTGTAGGGGTAATAGAGAGCCGTTGGAAGAATAGTCACATGAGCAGGCATTCTGAGAGCAGATGCTCCTACTCTATGTGGGCCACGGGCAAGCAGAAAAGAAGAAACAATGAAAGAAGCAGCAGCATATAGTTGTAAAGATGGATGCGAAATGAGATGAGATTCGGGACTCACAGCAAGGGACATGCCATGGAGTGGGCTGTGCTTCGTGATTGCATGAGTGATGATGCACGGGAGAGCAAGAAAGACGAAGCCCCCTCCAAGGATCTGCAGTGTAAAGACACGGGGAAACAAATGGAAAACGATTTAAAACAGCCGTTCAGAATGACAAGACCAGATTGTGTAAATAGCAGTCTGGCACCAAGAGGCCCGAGCGGGGTGCCATTTGACTGGATCATGGGTCTGGTCTGGAGCGAGATGGTTCACAGTTATGATGAGACTGACCGGAAGGTTGGAGAATTTGAAGAGCGCCTCATTCTCCTCACTCATAATATTGTTGATTGCCACCAGCAGCTGTGCATGCGCCTAAAAGAAGAAGAAACACAATACAACAATCAGCAGCCAGTTAGTCCATAATTAGTGCAAAAAACAAGACTGATCATGCTGCTGCAGTTGGTGCTTACCTCTATGAGTTGGTGCTTGCGAACATTAGCTACCCGGAATGAAAGGCGAGGCACTCCGTCTTCCTGCCAAGGAGCAAATTTAAGCCAGAGAAATACGGAAAGCGAAGCTATGGCAGCCTCTGATGAATAAGAACAGTAGCAAAACATCACCTCGTTGAGCACCATGCAGTGGCTGAACACGAGAGATGAAGCTCGACGGGAGGGAAGCGCAAACCTGCAAGGATGACAAAGCGGACATATCACATCATTCGTGCCTGACAAGCGGTGAGCGTGTCTGTGATATGCATGTCTGCATAACACTCTAAAATATGCAACATCCTACTGAACCTCTCTACAAAACATCAGCCTCCTGCTCTCCACATACCGTGTGTAGACTATTCCCAGCAAGGAATAGGCGACAATCAGAGCAGCAAGTGATTGGAGGGCTATAAGGAGGTTCAGTGTGAAGCAGTCAGGATCAGGGACCAATTCTCCCCCATACCCTGCACACAACAACACAAGAGGTATTCATCGTAGCAGGAAGGAAAGAAACAGGGGTCGTGGTTGAGGTCTGCAAAGGATGCAAGCAAAAGATGAAACATGTCGAAAAGGGGATGCAATGCAAGTGGCACACCACTACTTACCAATGGTCATGGCGGACTGAACACTGATTTGGCACATTGAATTGAGTCGAAGGTGTATAACATGTTGTCACAACGAGTCCACAGACATGACAAGAAGAGATCGTTAGTTCCCTCTTAGGAAGAAAAGCGCACGGCCAGCATTGTCTCACCTGAACCATAAAGCATGCCAGTAATTTTTAACCCCTGGGATGCATTTATACTGTAAAGACTGGTCAAATACACGCACAGCACACCCCACACATCCATAAAAACAGGGTCAACCATGCTGGTGCTTCAATGGAAGCTGGGCTTCTATAATGTAACAAGAAAGAGATACAAAATATTCCGGTGAAGAGACCCTCTGAGAGCTGAAGCCCACCTGATAGTAATAGGGGAGCGCAAACCCTCCAAATAGCAGCGAGTAAACAAGCAGAAGTAACGGGTAGAAGCGGATGTTAGGAATCTGCAAGGGAAAGGCAACATGAAAGCTGTCACATATCAGGTGAAAAAATACCGATTCAGTGGGTTCTGGAGTGCATCTGCTAGGCAGTGTGATCCAACGAAATCGGGAACATGCAGCAGCGAGGACATCAAGACGCAGCAACCACCGGGGATCGACTGGGACGACTGCAGCATGGGGACTTCCGTACGTTGATCAGCGTGTGAAACAGATCGCTCCAATACGCCGTCAACTTGGGAACTCCACGCCGTTCCACATTCAAGCTACCCCTGTACACACAAAGTGAGGGATGCTGTCAGAACAACAAACGGGGTGAGACGCGGCAGAGAGAGACAGAGAGAGAGAGCGAGGCGGTACCTGCCTCACTAGAAAGCAGATTAAACAAAGTATTGACTCACGATGTATCGACCAACGGCAGCTTGGCTGGTTTCTGCTCCATGTCGCCTTGCGACCCACGTTTCCGCAAGAACGATCCATAAGGAGTCCTTTGCTGGTTCGTCGCCTGCTTTGTGTGCACCGGAAGCAGCGGTTCCTTGTCATTCCAGCTGTTATCGCGACGTAGATTGCTCCGACTGCCGCTGCTACAAGCAGACTGTGGACTGTCGACAGGGCTCCTACTACCTGAGCTGCTTGGTCCAGGATCGTACGAAACCGTTATTTCGCCTTCGACACGCCGCTTTGGCATCGGATCGGAGCGAAGAGCCGAAAAAAAGTGACTACCACGGGTACTATTCTGGAAAGAGTCTCGGAAACCAATGGTTCTACCAATGACGTGATTGAAATACCCACGTGCCTAGAAAAAAAGTGATTCACGTGATCAGGAAGCGGCCAGCAGCGCAACCCCCAAACCGGCGTGTGGTATGTTCCGTGTGTGGTGGAGCAGCTATAACCATTTTACACAACCTTATTCTCTGAATTTGAAGTGCAGCCTTGCTGTTGCCTTATAGCTTGTACACAGCTGGCTTAGAGTGACACACTGAACGGGGACAGCGAATGAGGGAACATGAGGGAGTGACGTGGACTTCGAAATGCTTGCGGTGGATGTGCCAGCTGTCCACAATTTCCCCCCTTTTTGCCTCGGCAATACAGTACCTGGAGCCTTCACTTTGGTTGTGCTCCGAACCTAGCCTTTTTTGGGAATTGCCATGTCAGGGGGGGCTTGCTGTTAGCCGAGCCTAGCAGGAAATGTGTTGGCCTGGCAAACCAGTCGCATAACCCAGCTCTATATTCCTGTCTTTCCTTTCATCATTCACATTCCGACATCATTCCCTGAAACTCGCTTATTTTTGGTCCTTGTCGAAGAGTTGCAGCTGGTGAATAGGTGGCTATGGCTCTTCAGCCTGTGCACTCGCTTCGCGTGCACTCTTCGCCGGGAGTATCGCATCCTATCTGTTCCGCCGGAAGCCGACCACTTACCGATGTCGCACTGCAATCCACGCATTTCGTCAAGGCTAATAATATAGCATCTATTGCAAGCTTACGAAGTTATGGATTTGCCTCCTCTTTCCTCCGTCCAGGGCCGTGCCTTCCTCGTGTCACCTCAGTAGCCTCTCACAGAAGGACTATAGTCACAGCTGCCTCGGCGGGTCATAATGAGCCTGCACAACACGAGAGGAGTGAGTCCTTAGCGCGCGATGTTCCTTCTAGGGCACCACCAGGTCAAGAGCTGAAGGAGTCGTTGGTCTTGATGAAGACTTGCTTAGGAGAATCCTTATTAAAACTGTTTGCAAACCCGTCGCATAGTATTCGCGAAGCATGCGACCGATTCGGACGGCTTGCAGCGTCTGTCGCTATCACTGCTACCGTCCTGTCATCTGCCATGCCGGCATACGCTGGTGCAGTGGTGGCGCCGCCACGTAAGCTTATGGCGGATGAGCTGGCGACTGTGAAGTTGTTCAACGAGAACACCGCGTCCGTTGTGTACATCACGAACCTCGCCACTCGGTACGTGCATGCCCGCTCAATCACAATTGCACCTCTTGGGTTGTCATTTGCGACGAGGATGTAAGGTGTCTGGAGAATTCACAATGAAGCATAGGGCTTGCACATACCCAACGCATGGCAGCTTGAACCTATATCATTCAACTTGTGGGCGAACTCGACAAAACAACCTTCACAAAATACGTATCTGTGGCCATGTCTCCATGGGTATGTATGCACGTGCTGTGCTCGCGTGCTTGGATGTGTTGGTCTGCATATGACCATCTCTCTGTGAATTTGATCATGGGTGTGTGACTGTGCACGGGGCTATGTGTCATTATGTGCATGACTGTCGTTGCAGGAAGGACGCGTTCACATTGGATGTGATGCAGGTGCCTCAGGGGACAGGGTCAGGCTTCATCTGGGACACGGAGGGCCATGTGGTTACCAACTTCCACGTCATCAGGCGCGCCTCTGACCTCAGGTATCGTCTACGAAAGGAAATGCTTTCCTGCACGGGCATATGGGTTGACAATTGTTGCACATCAAAGCCTGATAGTGGCAGTGCATGGTGACAGACAGACGTCCAACACACCTCTACCCCTTTCGTTCTTCCCCCGACCCCAACATCCTCCCGTCCAGAGTGACCTTAGCCGACCAATCAGTGTACGAGGCGACAGTGGTGGGAGCGGACCCCAACAAGGACGTGGCAGTGCTTCACATCGATGCTCCCCCTGAGAAGCTCAGGCCGCTGCCTGTAGGCTCCTCCTCGGACCTGCTCGTCGGCCAGAAGGTCTTCGCCATCGGCAACCCCGTGAGTGCGCCATCCGTTTCCGTGGGCCTACCGCTCTTGAACCCTGTCTTCCATCCTTCACTTCTTTGTTGCCCGTACCCCCACCCCCCCAACCCCCGAGCCCCATTCTGTCAGCATGTCATATTCTGTCGACCTCCCATTCCCCCCTGATCTCCACTCAGCATTTCCCTTATAACCATCTATTTCTCCCTCCTTTTTCTCCCTGTCATCCCCGTTTACTGCCTTGCTCCTGCATTAGTTCGGACTGGACCACACACTCACAACAGGAGTCATCAGGTACAGTCTTTTTCCGTTCTTCTTCCTGTTCCCTTTCACTCTCACTTTTTCAGCTCTCTGCATCTCCTTTGGCTAGGCTTCCTCTCCTCCTCTTCTCCAATTATGCAAATGTAAACAGCCAACTCGTCCACACGCCCCCATCAATTTCCCCAGTGGATTGCAGCGTGAGATAACATCGGTGACGCGGCGGCCCATTCAGGACGTGATTCAGACCGACGCTGCCATCAACCCTGGCAACAGCGGCGGGCCCCTCCTCGACTCCAGCGGCACACTCATTGGCATCAACACCGCTATTTATTCGCCATCTGGCGCATCCTCGGGCGTTGGATTCGCCATCCCTGTGGACACAGTAAGCACTCTAGAGCCCTAGGAAAACGCAATCGACTGAAGATAAACTCCTCTGGCTCCATCTCACTCTCCTCTCGGGTCTCATCTTCGCCATACTTGGTTCATAAATCCATCGTGTTCACGTCAAACAGCAGATGTCCAGCACAGTCCCCCTCATGCTCCATGGCACATGCTTGGAATGCCACTCACATCACAGTGGCTCATGCATGGCATGTGTGGCAGGTGAGTGGCATCGTGGATCAGATCATCCTGTACGGCCAGGTCACACGGCCGGCTCTCAACCTGGCCTTTGCACCGGAGCAGCTGGTGGATCAGCTTGGCATCACGGGGGTGCTCGTGCTCGAAGTCAACCCCAATGGCGCCGCTGCCAAGGCCGTGAGTCCATGCATCGTTTCGCCCCTTGCATTATTACCACGAAGCGTTCTCGTTATTGGAATTCCAATCATGCAGCCCATTTGAATCCAGCGCTGCACGTGGCACTGAAATTCTATGTGACAAAAAACCACAATTTTCAGAAGAACCAGCGCCATTGTTCCATCCCTTGTTGCTGCAACCATCTAGCCTTCTCAACGACCTCGTTTCCTGCATGATGTGCTCAGGGTCTGCGCCCCACGTCGCGGGACAGCTTTGGGCGGCTAATGCTGGGAGACACTATCACAGCCATTGATGGCAAGCCCATCCTCTCCGGCTCCGACCTCTACAAGATCCTTGACAAGTGCAAAGTCGGCCAGACGGTGAGTGTGCTCATGTTCCTGCATTCAGAGTATGCACCTGTGGGTAAAAGTGGAGATGCGGATGTGTGTGACACACGCGACGCCATTGCTAGACTCTTGCGATGCGCTGGTTACTGATGTGCTTAAAGTGGTGCTGGGCAGGTTGATGTACGGCTGCTGAGAGGAAACGAGGAAGTTGTGGTGCCCGTCACATTGGATGGGCTGAGCGGGTGAACTGTTGCTGGATGCGATATTTTCAGCTGTGCTAGCTGGAAACAGGGTTTGAGGAGCTCTTGCTTGATGAGGTGACATGTTCAGCTGTGCTAGCTGAAATGAGACTGCAGAAATGGTTTCATTATATATATTTAGGTACTGATGCCAGTACATCTCGTCTTGCAGAAGTCATTGTGCAGCACAGATAGCAACATACAACACCAGAAATGGCAATACTATTTGTGCAGCAGAGCAGCACCTTTTGGAGGCACAGTTTTGGCCCTGGGTTTATTTAAGAACTCCTCCACTATCCCCATGAACTCATCTTCCACGAAGTTGCTTCTCATGCCTTGGTCTGTCTGGTTTCGGGGTGTTTGTTCCTTCAAAGGAGTCCGAGCATTTGAATCTTCTGTTCCTCCCCTTCTATGCCTGTGCCTGCCCGTGTACCCTGCTTTTTCCACCGTGCAACTCCCTTCCTCAGCCTTCTCCTCTGCACCTGCTCTCTTGGGCCTTGTCTGCCTCACTCTCACCCCTCCGAGCGCTGCAGCAAGCCTCTCCTGTCGGGCACGGGATTCCCTGGCAAGAATCGCCACGGTCACTGTGTGCATCTTCAGCATCTCCGCCTCCGCCGGCGAACCACGCTGCCCCCGTGTCTTTCTCGCTTGCGCCCCCTCCTCTCCCCCTTTCTCCATATGCCTTGCTCCATGCGTCATCTGCGGTGACCTCCCCCATGCGGGGCGGTAGAGGCATTCAGACCTTGAGCTCAACAGCCCACCCTCATCGCACTCCTCCTCCTCTTCCTCCTCCGGATGTTTCAACAACTGGTGTGAGATAGCAGAGGGACGCCTGCTGCCTCTCACCTGAGCACCCCGCCTCGCTTGTGCCTCAGCCGCTGCCCCTTCCGCTGCGTCCTGGGTGGCTGGATGGTTCAATGCGGAAGGGCTGACAGCAGCAGGGAGCGGTACAGCAGCACGAGGAGTCAGGTCACCCACGAGTGAGGTTGCTGCGTCGCTTGCGCTGTGGTGCAGAGGGGTGGGGCTGTTGAGGAAGCTGGAGACAGAGTCAGGCAGCACAGCCCACGAGAGAGGTGCGCTCAGGGCGAAGTGGGCCGCGCTGTTGGGGCTCGTGACAATCTTTGGAATCACTGGCCTGCCCAATGCCTCCTGCGGCGTCTGCTGCATGTCGTCCGACCCCACCTCTGCGCCGCTCACATCGCATGATGCTGCTGCCCTTGGCGTTACTGCACTATCCCTGCCGTATGCACCACCTCCAACATCTTCCGTGTCGTGCGTGCTCTCAACGACACCGGGCACATATGTCAATCCACACTTACCCTCCCCATCCTCCTTGCCCTCTCCACACCCGCTTCCCCCATCTCCCTGCGCAACCCCCTTCTCGCCACATTCACGCTGCGCTTCTGCGCGCCTCTCCCACTCCGCTCCACCGCCTCTCGCCGCGTCGCTCCCTGCTGTGCCTCGCGCCGCCAGCCGTACAGCCAAGTCGCCCACCACCACGCGCTCCAGCGCCCTAGTTGCTGTCCGTCTCGTGTGCCTCCCTCCTGCCATTGCCGCTGATGGCGCAGCTGCTGGTGGCCCTGCTGATTCTGGCGGTTGTGACTCTGGCGGCTGTGACTCTGGCGGCTGTGACTCTGGCGGCTGTGACTCTGGAGGCTGTGACTCTAAACGAAGGTCGCTGCGCGGGGAGGTCAGCTGCGCTACGGACGAGGTCTCACGCGGCGGACTGAACGGGGCGTTGTGAGCGCGCCGAGCGACGCGCACTGGAAAGCAACCACCGTATAAGCCAAACGTCCACTTCCCGCTGCGCGAAGACGGCTCGTTCCCGCCTTCGTCGGCGTCGACGAGCTGCGTGTTCCTTGGAACGGCATCTGTTACGGCAGCCGCGGCCATGGGCGCGGCGACGTGCGACGGTGGCGTGGCTGGCGGCGTATGGCGCGGGAGGTTTCGTGTCGTGCTGCGCCGAGCTAGGAAGCAGACTGTACTAGGCGGCTTGGCGCCTGAAATGCTTGGCTTGTCGAGTCCAAGCGCGTCCAAGTAGGGGGTGACCGGAGATTGCAATCAAGGAGGCACGAGGGGGAAAGGTAGGCGATGTTATACACGGAGCGAGAGACCATGGCGAAGACACGCGCTTCGTGCGCGCAATTCGCGCTCGCGGGGGACGGGCGAATCGCTCCGGCGTTCCCTTTTTGCGGGCAATCAGCGGGTGCGGCGATGCACTGTGGCGAGGCGAGGCGGCCTCGATTCCGCCAGCTATGGTCCTCGGCGCTTTTAGATTCGGCGAATTCTGCGTGTCTGCGGATTCTGCGGCGGATGAGTTTTGCGGCACGTGAGACGGTGGCAGATGTCGTATCATCGACCGCGCGGAGGACCAGCAGTGGGCCACTGGCGAGGGCTGCGGTGTGGGTGCGAGCAATGGAGCAGGGCTAGCCATGGTGGAGATAATGGGCGCAAGTGGGGACAGAGGGCAGCTGCGGAACACGAGATAGAAACAGAGAACAGCACGGCATTCGTGGTTGTGTGCGCGCCATCCTTGCAGCTGGCGTAACCGGGCAGGAGCACTGAGCGACAGAAACACAGCAGGGGCTCGCTGTCCGTATGTTCGGCGGGTCGGAGAATAGTGCAGCTGTTGTGGCAACACATTTGCACCCGCATTTCCCGAAGACCGGAGTCACAAAAAGAAAACTACAGTTCAAAGACAGTGCATGTATGTCTGAAACAAAATGCATATAATATAACACTGCTTTACTGCTTGCTAGCAGGTATATTCATTCCAGAAAATCCATAGCCAGCACTTCTCCCAACACCACTTTCACAAGAGAATAATGACGTACGGTAATGTTATTAAACCAACTCATCCAACTGGCCCCACACTGCTGTTGCGATTTCCTCCAGGGTCTTCACATCAGAGAGCTCCTTGCGATAGCGGAACACACGACTGAGTGCATCGTTCTGGTTGAGCAGAGTGTAGCACCTGTGAAAGGCACAAATAGTGAAAGCAGAGGGTTGAAAGGATTGCACACAAATCTTTACTACCACCTTATAAAGAATGTCAGCTGAGGCATTCCCAAACCACTCACATGGCACGATAGGACTGGGTGAAGTTTGCTCCAGCTCCTTGCGCTGGCCGTGGCGGCTTGTACGTGGTAAGCAGCCTGGCAAGGTCGGCCTTGTTGCAGCGCTGGGCGCTCACATGCAGCATGATGAGGTCGTACAGGGGGTCGCCTGGTGTGCCGTGCAGGAAGGGGTGTGTGAGGGGGGTGGGCCAGCATGCAAGGGTTGAGGATTCACAACACATGCGTGAGCATTTTAGCACCAACAAACAAATGAAAACACGGTATGCAAAGCAAGCAAGAAGGAGCAGAGCACCGAGAATGAGGGTGCCGAAGTCAATGATGGAAGACGGTTGCAGCACCCGCTCCCCCTCCACTGGCACTGCCTTCTCTCCACCCCCCTCTCCTGCGCGTGGCTTCTCGCCCTGGCTCTTCCCCGCGCCGTCCTTGCCGCGCGCCACAAACTCCTCGATGACGGGCGTGGCAGCGGGCGACGCAGCAGCCAGCAGCACATTGTCGCTCATGATGTCCGTGTGCAGCCATGACGGGCGCTCCTGCCATGGCGTGTGCACACAGGGAAGAAAACGAATGGATAAGTGATGAGTGGGGTGCATGGGATGAAAAAGGTGGAACAAAAGAGGCAAGGAGAGGAGTGAGGAGTGAGGTGAAGGGGTGAATGGGCAAGCAATGAGGTGTGTTGAGCAATCTACAGCGGCAGCTGTAGCAAGCACGTTGGACAAAGATGCAATGAAGATAGGAGAGAAGCGGGCGTGGCAGGAGGGAAGAAGGGAAGGGAAGAAGGAACTGACAAGGCCTTGGAAGAGCAGTGCGGGGTCCTTGGGCAGATATGCCGCCGCCTGCTTCACCAGGTGTGGGGGAGGCTGCCCCTGGTGGCGTGAGAGTGGGGTAGAGAGGGAGGGAGGTGGGTGAGACGCATGGAGGGCACAGCACATGGCAAGGGGCAGATGGGCTGCGACAAAGTGGGGCGCGGGGAAGAGGGGAAGCAGGAAAACGAACGACATTAGACTGCTGCAACCTCTCCACTCAAACGCCCTCCTGCCAGACAATGGCCTGGTGCCACTCACATGTCCTCCAGGCGCTCCTTGATGTACTTCCTGTGCTCGCGCATCATCTCTGCAAACGGCCGCCACTCCTCACTCACCACCACCACCTCCTCCTCCTGCTCCTCCTGCTCCTCCTCCTTCCCACCACTCTCCACCGCCCCGTTCCCCGCCCCCTCCTTTGCACCCCCGTTCTCCTTCACTCCCTCCCCTGCTGCACCCTCCGCCCCGGCCTTGGTCTCCTTGCTCTTGCTCTTGGCCTTGCGGGGCGGGGGGGAGAGCGGCGTGGAGGGCAGTGGCAGCGAGTGCAGGTGGGAGAGACACGCCGCAAAGAAGTCCGCCAGAGCCTGCCGGTCCGCTGGCGTGGCTAGATCCGCACTGGGGTGAATGCAGGGAGGGACAGAGAGTGCGAAGGGCAGGAAAGAGGTGGGTGGGGAGAGGGAGGGGGGGAGAGGGAGGGGGGAAAAGCGAGGCACGAGGTTAAGGGAGGAATGAGAGCGGGGTCATGGAGGCTTGGTAAGGATGAAGGGATGGAGAGGCACGCTGCAATGTGCATCAGATGATTTGTATTCACAGGGAGGTCTCGAGTGGGTGAGTGCGTGGGTGTGCGCGTGCGCCCGTGTGAGAGCACGAGCAGTGCAGCACTCACACAGCATCCAGCTGCCACCCAGGGCACCGCCCCGTGATGATGTACGGCCACACTCCCTCCTCCTCTTCTTCCTCCTCCTCCTCCTCCTCCTCCTCCTCCTCATCATACTCCTCCCCTTCCTCTTGCTCTGCTTCCTCCTCCTCTCCCTTCCCCACCCCCACCCCACCGTCCTTCCCTTTCTTCCCTTTAGCCAGCGCCCTCCTCCGTCGTCTCTCCTCAGCCTTCTTCTTGAGCCGCCGTCGATATGCCGGGGTGCGCCTATCCCTCTCCTCCTCCTTCCCCTTACCGCTCTTCCCCGTCTTCCCTCCCCGCCCTCGCGCCACAGCGCCCTGTGCCTCCTCAAAGGGGTTGGGGGGGCGGTGCTCGGGCAAGCCGTCCCACTGGGCCGCCACCAGCTGCTCCTCCTGAGGCGCCACACTCACCTCAAACGGGTACCCCTCTTGCTGCTTCTCCCCTTCTGCCCCTTCCGCCCCTTCCGCCCCCGCCTCCTCCCCCTCGCCCTCGCCCTCTGCACTCGGCGGATTGCTCCCCACCCCGTTTGTCTGCACGTCCTTCCCTCCCCGCCCCTTCGCCCCCTCCTCCTCCTCGCTCTTGTCCACAACCCCTGATGAGAAGAGCAGGCCCGAGGCCACGAGGGGCGGAATGCAGGGGAGCAGGGGAGACTGGCACGCGTGTAGCTCGCGGTAGAACGCCAGCTGGAAGAAGGGAAGGGGTGTGGGAAGAGCGGAGGGCAGCACAGATGATTGTTGTGATGAGTCCAGGTGGCGGTACAAGGGAAGGGTAGCTAGCTGTGAGATAAACGCGTGGTGAGCTGACCGTTGGTAACGGGAGAGCAGGCAGGGCAGGGCGAGGTGGGTACCTCCTTGGCGAGGAAGGTGGCGGCTGACTCGTCATGAGAGCCCATGGGTAGATACAGCTTCACCACGTGCTGCCCCACCATGTACACCTGCTCCGCCGTGTCGGGGGAGGGGTTTAACAAGGGGGAGAGGTGATGTGGGCTCCGATGGTGCATGCAGAGATGGCCGAGAACAGATGTGAGGGTGGGCGAGCAAGCGGCGGGAGAGGGGGGATGGAGAGAGAGGGGAGGGAGAAAGTGGAGAAGGAGAAGGTGGGGAGGGAGAAAGTGGAGAGAGGGGGTGGAGAGGGAGGGAGTGGGGAGAAAGGGAAAAGGGGAGGGCGAGAGAGAGGGGGAGGGCAAGAGAGAGGGGGAGGGCAAAAGAGAGGGGGAGGGCAAGAGGGAGGGGGGAGGGCCCGAGAGAGGGGGAGGGCAAGAGAGAGTGGGCTCACAGCGTTGGAGCCGGAGCCGAGGGGCAGGGCGTCCAGGCCCTGGGGGGCGGGCAGGCCGTGTGCTTGACACACTGTGGCCACACGCCTGTGCCACGTGGCAGCATCCATGCACAGACACGCGTTCTGCACGCACAGAGGAGGAGAATGGATGGGGAGGGAGTTTGAACGGTAAAACAAGAGTCAGGCACGAAGCAGTTTGCAGACGAACAGAGAAGGAAGTCAATCCAGGGATGGGGTGTTCAAGGAGGGGCAGAGGAGGGTGAGAGCACACACACAGACAGCACAGGCAGCACGACAGCATGACAGCACGACAGCATGACAGCACAGCAGCACAATGAGCCGCACCTTCCAAATGCGATCCTGCAGTTGCGGCTGGGCGGGCCAGAGCGAGCGCAGCAGGATGCGGATTTCAGGCATGGACCAGCCCTCGTTGCCGCCCTCGCTCAGAAACTGCTGCGCTGCCAGCGCTGACAGCCGCCCCTGCATCCCGTTCCACGTGCCCCCCTCCTCCTCCTCCCCCTCGCTCTCCCCCTCTCCCCCCTCCTCCTCCCCGTCCCCTTCCCCCTCCTCACTCCCTTCCACCTCCTCGCCTTCCTCCACCTCCTCCCACTCATCCTCCTCCTCCCCCTCCCCATACATGGCCCTGAGTCGCTCGTCCCACTTCTCCCCGGCCTCGATCGCCAGTCTCCCAGCGCGCGCCACACCCCTATGCCGCCCAGGCACCATGTCGAGGCACACACAGTCGAAGTTGGCGGAGGAGGCGAAGTTCTGCGTGACGGCGACGGTGAGGTCGAGGTTGAGCACGCTGTGCCACCACCCTGATGGCACGTAGATGGTCTCGCCTGGCCGCTGCATCACCTCCATTGGTTTGTCCTCGGGGCGCAGGAGGGGATACACCTCCAGCCACCACTGCACGGGGGGAGAGGGGGGAGGGGGGCGGAGCACACTTTCTGAGCCAGTATGGCGTGCACGCAGGGAGCAGGCGTAGCATCATGTGGAAGCAAGTGCACTGCTGGCGTACACAACTGTGGCGCAGGGAGGGCGATAGGCAAGGGGCATGTGTGGGGATGTGTGGATGAGAGGGACGAGCAGATCGTGTACCACAGCGTACCCACAACAGCATACCCATCCCCTTTCCACAACTCCCAACTCACCTTAAGCGACGTGGGCCCATCATAATCCACATCGCCCGAGTCATCGTCCACTCGCAGCGTGACACCTGGCGGCACCTTCCCGGGCGGGTAGAGCGCCCATCTTTTCCGCCCAACAAGCAGAGTGTTCCAGGCGCTAGTGAGCGCGGGGTCCACGTGCCAGCCTGCACCCGACCGCTGTGGGCCGGCCACGAGCCAGCGGTACATGGGGCGGCTGAGCGCGGGCATGGCCTCAAACACGTCCTCCCTGAAGTGAGGTGGCACAGAGTAGCCTGATACCAGCGCCGGTGCTTGCTCTCCAAACTGGCGGGGCAGAAGGGGATGTGGGGGGTTGGGGAGGTGTGGGGTGCGGGAAATGGGTTTGGCGGTGAGCGGTGGAGAGGGTGAAAGCCGGGTGAGAGGGGGTGGAATGTGGGGTGATGGTGGAGGCGAATGGCAGTAGGGAGAGGAGAGGGTTTGAATGTGAGGGTTAAAGGGAAATCTGGAGTAATTCGAAAGGCCTCACCTTGGGGTCGAAGATATAGAGCGGCTCCTCGTCATGCTGTGCCGCCACGTATTCACGGTAGTCGCGCAGCTTCATGCGCACCGTGTGCCCATTGGCCACCGACACCTTCAGCGCCACGTCACCGTGCTCCTCCGCCAGGCTGTCAATGCTCCACTTTGACGTGGCCCTCCTCCAGTTCTCCGTCAGGTCTGTCATGATCACCTGAGCGTGTGTGGGGCATGGACAGAGCACAGGGAGTGCGTGGGGCACTGAGCAGCAGCATGGGGCACTGAGCAGCAGCATGGGGCACTGAGCAGCAGCATGGGGCACTGAGCAGCAGCATGGGGCACTGAGCAGCAGCATGGGGCGCTGAGCAGCAGCATGGGGCGCTGAGCAGCAGCATGGGGCGCTGAGCAGCAGCATGGGGCGCTGAGCAGCAGCATGGGGCGCTGAGCAGCAGCATGGGGCGCTGAGCAGCAGCATGGGGCGCTGAGCAGCAGCATGGGGCGCTGAGCAGCAGCATGGGGCGCTGAGCAGCAGCATGGGGCGCTGAGCAGCAGCATGGGGCGCTGAGCAGCAGCACGGGGCGCTGAGCAGCAGCACGGGGCGCTGAGCAGCAGCACGGGGCGCTGAGCAGCAGCATGGGGCGCTGAGCAGCAGCATGGGGCGCTGAGCAGCAGCATGGGGCGCTGAGCAGCAGCATGGGGCGCTGAGCAGCAGCATGGGGCGCTGAGCAGCAGCATGGGGCGCTGAGCAGCAGCATGGGGCGCTGAGCAGCAGCATGGGGCGCTGAGCAGCAGCATGGGGCGCTGAGCAGCAGCATGGGGCGCTGAGCAGCAGCATGGGGCGCTGAGCAGCAGCATGGGGCGCTGAGCAGCAGCATGGGGCGCTGAGCAGCAGCATGGGGCACTGAGCAGCAGCATGGGGCGCTGAGCAGCAGCATGGGGCGCTGAGCAGCAGCATGGGGCGCTGAGCAGCAGCATGGGGCGCTGAGCAGCAGCATGGGGCACTGAGCAGCAGCATGGGGCGCTGAGCAGCAGCATGGGGCGCTGAGCAGCAGCATGGGGCGCTGAGCAGCAGCATGGGGCGCTGAGCAGCAGCATGGGGCGCTGAGCAGCAGCATGGGGCGCTGAGCAGCAGCATGGGGCGCTGAGCAGCAGCATGGGGCACTGAGCAGCAGCATGGGGCACTGAGCAGCAGCATGGGGCACTGAGCAGCAGCATGGGGCACTGAGCAGCAGCATGGGGCGCTGAGCAGCAGCATGGGGCGCTGAGCAGCAGCATGGGGCGCTGAGCAGCAGCATGGGGCGCTGAGCAGCAGCATGGGCCGCTGAGCAGCAGCATGGGGCGCTGAGCAGCAGCATGGGGCGCTGAGCAGCAGCATGGGGCGCTGAGCAGCAGCATGGGGCGCTGAGCAGCAGCATGGGGCACTGAGCAGCAGCATGGGGCGCTGAGCAGCAGCATGGGGCGCTGAGCAGCAGCATGGGGCGCTGAGCAGCAGCATGGGGCACTGAGCAGCAGCATGGGGCGCTGAGCAGCAGCATGGGGCGCTGAGCAGCAGCATGGGGCGCTGAGCAGCAGCATGGGGCGCTGAGCAGCAGCATGGGGCGCTGAGCAGCAGCATGGGGCGCTGAGCAGCAGCATGGGGCGCTGAGCAGCAGCATGGGGCGCTGAGCAGCAGCATGGGGCGCTGAGCAGCAGCATGGGGCGCTGAGCAGCAGCATGGGGCGCTGAGCAGCAGCATGGGGCGCTGAGCAGCAGCATGGGGCGCTGAGCAGCAGCATGGGGCGCTGAGCAGCAGCATGGGGCGCTGAGCAGCAGCATGGGGCGCTGAGCAGCAGCATGGGGCGCTGAGCAGCAGCATGGGGCGCTGAGCAGCAGCATGGGGCGCTGAGCAGCAGCATGGGGCGCTGAGCAGCAGCATGGGGCGCTGAGCAGCAGCATGGGGCGCTGAGCAGCAGCATGGGGCGCTGAGCAGCAGCATGGGGCGCTGAGCAGCAGCATGGGGCGCTGAGCAGCAGCATGGGGCGCTGAGCAGCAGCATGGGGCGCTGAGCAGCAGCATGGGGCGCTGAGCAGCAGCATGGGGCGCTGAGCAGCAGCATGGGGCGCTGAGCAGCAGCATGGGGCGCTGAGCAGCAGCATGGGGCGCTGAGCAGCAGCATGGGGCACATTGAGTGATTTGGTCGTGCAGGTCTCCGTGGAACCGTCAGGTCTGTCATGATCACCTGTGCGTGTGTGTGTGTGAGTATGGGTGAGTGGGCGCGTGTGTGGGGCACAGACAACATGGGAAGCGTGTGGTGTGGGGAAGGGAACAGAGCACAGCGCGGGGCATGGAATCTGCTGTGAGCGCCTTCAACACCACACCCTGATCCTCCCCCCTCGCCCCCTCTCGCCCGCACTCGCCCGTCCCCCCTCAACGCACGGGGCGGCGGCCATCATATGATTGGCGGAACTCCTCCGGGGTGAGCCCCGCGCGGCGCTCCACGTGGCCCGTGTCGCCCTCGAACGCTTCCAGCTTCACGTGGCAGCGGTACCAGCGGCGGTACAGAAACATGGACTGGAGGTCTGCTCGCACACACAAGCGCACATGCGCACAAGCACGCGGAGTGGAATCATAAAAGGGCGCAGAGGAATGGGGATGGGGCAGCACGCTTGGGAGACGGGAGGGGGGTAATGTGGAAGCTAAATTGCAATGCCCGCCTTCCAGAGCACGAATAAGCGTGCATGCGCGCGCGCCTGCATGCCTGCATGCGCACAAGTGTGTGTGTTCAGATTCGACCCTGCATGTGTGTGAGCATGTGTGCGAGGGCAAGCGCGGTACCTTTGAAGTGAAGCGGCTCCTTGAGATCACGACGCTCCACTCCCTTCTCCTCCGACAGCCTGCCACGTCACGCCATGCATGCCATGCATCGCATCACACCAAACCATGCGATGCCATGTCATGCCAATGTCATGCCAACCCCATCCAGGACCCCACGAGGCAGCAGCAGGCGGCAGTGAGGCGAGGAACGGAGTCAAGGAGGCCTGGAGCAATGCAGCAATGGAGCCATACGCATGCCGCTCTTACAGCGCGCTGCCCTCTACAGCCACCAGCGTGCTTTCGTTTCTATCTCTGGGACGTCTCAAAAAGCACAGTTCACTTTCCTCCCGTTCCCAATTCGACCTCTTGCCACAGCCCTGCGGTGCTTCCCCACCTTCCCTCCTTCCCGTTCCCCACTCCCCCCCTTTCTTCCCCCATGGCGGCGCACTTGTTAAGGACTGTTTGGCGCCAGGAGTGGTCGAAGCGCATCACCTCGCCCTTGTACTCGCGGAAGCACGCCGCCAGCCACGTGGGCTCCTCCATGCAGAACACGTACAGCACGCTGCGCGCCGATACACACGGGAATCAGGAGGCGGAGCCGGTTGGAAACGGGGAGTGACGGGGTTGCGTGAGTGACAGGTTGAGATTAAGCGCCTCGTTGCGCGGCTAGTGATTGCAACGGGGGTTCACGACGGGCGGAGAAAGGGACTTGCCTGCTGACGCAAGCGGCGGCCATGAGATCCTTCGGTCCCAGCCGTCCGATGATATTGTCGATGACGTCATCAGGCAGCACCGCTAGTGCACCTAGCGCTACAGTGCGCCTGTCGCTCCCCGGTGACGTGGCAGGCGGAACGGACGTTTCGCCTGCGGCTGCTGCGGTGGCAGATCCCGAGGCATCGCTCCCGTTCATTGCGAATCAAGCTTAGGGGGAGTGGCTAGATCAGCGCATTCACCAAATAAACTCGGAGGAAGGAGAAATGTTCAGAAATGCGCGACAATGGAGCGGGGAGTGTGAGGAAGGCTGCTGAGCAGAAATGCCCAAAAATAGATTCACGACCTCGGGATTGGAATTTGGGACTTGAGAGAGCTGGCGCTGCCTTGCGCAGGCGGACGGATGCTTGCCCTGTGTGGGGGGGCGAAGAGGAGACCAGCTGGCACGCGCGAAGAAAAGATCCCAAAGACGGGTTACATGTACGGTGCTGTGAATCTTGACGGACATGTGGCGCGCCCTCATTTGTGCACTGCGATGTCACCGACCAGTCAGGTACAAAATAATTGAAATTCAAAGTACTTGTACACTGCACTGTCAAAATTGGCGCTACTAAGGCAAAGAAATACCACCTGAATCTATCTTCCCATTTATATCATCTCCTAAATAGCTACAGTAAACAAGCTAACTGAAAAATTTCTAGATATCTTATGACGCATCTCCTAAATAAATACAACTAGCTAGCTGGATTGTTTCTAGATGTCTTGGGACGCAGCGGAACTCCAAAAAGGCAAGGGACTTCGCGAGAGCTTATGTCATCCTCCTCATCTTTCCTATCCCCATGTATCTGCTGCTTGGACTCAACTTGAAGGTCAACACCTCTATCACAAAAACCCATGCCATCATGGGGATGTCCGCGCCCAGCAGGCCCATATCGACTGATGTGCTGGTCATCAGCCGGGTCAAAAGCAGGGCGCAAAAAAGGCATAGAGGAGACGTTGGGTGAGGAGGCGAGGTTGACTGCAGTTGCTGTAGTGTCAGGAACTGTCCTTCCTTGTGGTCTGGCGTGCATGGGGGGTTCGCTAGCAGGCACCTTGGTGGTATTGGAAGGACGCAGTGTGCTGGCAGCAGGGGCGGTGGCGGATAAGTGTTGTCGCAAGGCCAGTTGAATGGCCTCCAGGGTATGTCCTGCCACTGACACCCCACGCGTTGCCGCACCCGCACCTACTGCAGGTGCTGATGCTGAGTGCACCCCTGCCACGTGGTGTGAGGCCATTGGTGCAGGGGTCTGAAGGGGTTGGGGGCGGGGCAGCAGGCGCATGACATGGTCAATGAGGCTGCCCGGCGGCCCGGCATGCTCCGCTGCCTGGGCCGCAGGCACTGCTTCGGCCCCATACCGTGTCCCTGTGACAGGTAAGGATGCGGCAGATACAGCCTGCTCCAGTCGCAACCTGTCAATTTGAGCTTGCATGATGTGGGGCGACGCGGAGAGCATGGCGCTAGGCGGAGCAAGAGAGGAGGCATTCACGCCGGCCCGAAGAGAGGGCTCGCAAGGGGAACACGCAGACGACCCTGAGGCTGATGGCGGTAGGACGGCAGGTTCGTGGGCGGCAGGTGCATGGGTGGCAGTTGCATAAGCAGCAGGTGCATAGGCAGCAGGTGTGAGGGCGGCAGGTGCGTTGGCGGCACTTGCATGGGCGGCAGGTGCATGGGTGACAGGTGCGTGGGCGGCAGGGGGCAAGGCACTGTGTGCAGTGACAGGCGGGGGGCGGAGGGACGGCGAGTGGAGCCGCCCAGCCGCAGCATCATGCGGCAGCCGCCTCTTCACTCCGCCCTGCGCCCGCCCAGCTGCTGCAGGCTCGCCGTGCAGTGGCAAGGGCAGTGGCGGTGAGGTAGCAGCGATCAGGGGCTGGGCCGGGGAGGGAGCGCGGGGGAGCGGCTGCAGTGCGCCAGGCGCCGCCACGGCACCTGCTCTGACGCACGTGCTGTATCTACTCAAGGGCTGTGGGCGCGCTGCCAGCGTGCTGCACGCTGCTGTTGGGGTGGCGGCCGTGAGGGTTGGGCTGTGATGAGGCAGTGGCGGCATCAGCACCGGTGGCAGAGCCGCGCGCTGCGCTTGGGGCACCGGCGCCGGTGCCATGTGCTGCGCTTGGGGAATCGGCAGTGGCACGGCAGGGAGGGAGTGGAAGGCGTGTGCGCTGTGCGGTGATGGTAGGGCGGGCAAGGCTGGGACTGCTGTGCTGGCAGGATGCAGTACGGGGCGCACAGGCGCTATGGGCACAGGCAGTGTGTGAGGGTGGCGTGAGTGCAGAGGCACGGCAGGGCTGCTGCTGCCACTACCGTGAAAATCCGGTTCTCGCGTCTCCCTCTTCGCCATTCCCCCGCGTGCCGCGCCTGTTCTCGCCCTCGCCGCACTGTGTCGCTTGCTGTTGTTGCTGCTGCTGCCGTGGGGGCTCCTCGCAGCTGCCGCGGGGAGGCGAGGGGCGGCGCGGCCGGGTGCGATCTGGCGAAGGGCGCGGCGGGAGAAGGCGGCGTGAGCGGCGCTGGCGGATTGAGGAGATAGGGGCTTCGCTTGAGGGAAGAGCGCGAGGGACGCTGAAACGACAACAACACGCGGCACGGGAGTAATTCGAGTTTCACTCCACTTCCGACAACACGCTCCCACAGCCCTGCGCTCATCCGCGCCGCGCTCGTACGATCACGACGGGGAACGGATATCTGTTAATGCATATGTAAACGCATATGCATTTGATTAAGCGACGTAACATGAGAACACGACGGCGCGACGCGAATCGAGGAACGGAAAGTACCTTCCACGCACGGAAGGAGGAGACGCCGCTCGCCTTGCTGTGCCGCGGCAGGCGGTTTGAGAGGCGGCGCCGGAAGCGCGGAGGCGGCAGGGGAGGCGGGTGAGGTGGGCGCGGGGTCCCAGCGGCCGTGCGCGAGGAAGTGGCGGTCCTCGCGCTCCGTGCGGCCGATCACCGCCTCCAACGCCGCCGTCAGCCGCGGCGCTAGCGTGCGGTGCTCCGGATACTCCTCCTGCACAACCATGGTGGCATCGTTACCCCAACATGTTCCACCCATCATCACGTGCCGCGCACCACGACCCACGGGCAGCAAGTCAGGCAGAATGTCAGAAGACCTCTTTAAAACGTTCCCTATCAAACGAAATACGCTGTACGATTGATGTGCGAGCGGAGAGGGGAACGCGTACGAGCGAGGAGGCGCGGCAGTAGAGCGTGTCTTCGAGGCGGACCACCACGCTGGGCAGCGCAGCGCGCCACACTGCGCTGCTCACGGTCGCCTCTTCGTGGATCGCCGCCGCGTGCCTGCCACCACCGACGGGCAAAAAACCAAAGGTTAGTGCACACGATCCTTCCCGGCCAGGGATTGCGCTTCGTAGTGTCGGTTCGAGAACGCAATGGGGCGGTTGAGTGGGTGTCGTGCGGCGTACTCAATGATTCGTTTGATGACTTCCACTCGCGCGGGTCCGTCGCTGTCGCAGTGCCACGGCTTCATCCATGCGCCTCACGCGCTCGCGTCCAGGCGCCGACAAGGGGAGATGCTGATGGCTGCTGCATCCCTATGTCTAAGCAAAAACGCTATTACTAGTAAACGTCGGCAAGCAGATTCGAATAAACTATTCTGAACGCCCAAGCTAAATGTTACTTCGAGTTTTAGTTCGGCTGGATCTGAGGAGCCTGACATTCGACCAAGTTGTTGGAGAATGATAACAGATATGTGAACAGCGGGGTCCAGTTGCTTCAGCCACGGATGCATCGCACGAGTGCTCTACAGCACGGCACTGACGCTGGAAGCTGAGGCTGAGACAGAATGGTTGTGCCTGCACCAGTCGAGCAAGCCAAGCATGGGAGGCAAGTGTGGCGCAAGGAGCACAACATCATGGGCACACAAGACTGGGCTGCAAGAAATGAAGACACGGAGGATGGCAGTCGAATCGCAATTTTTGTGAAAGCTGCGGGTGTGTGTGGTGCGGTTCGGATGACGTGGATGCAATGTTCCTTCCGCGACAAGCACCAGAACCATGCTGTAAGAAAGGAATGATTACGGGCAGCCCGTGTTTCACGGATATCCCTAAGATTCGCCAGCGAGACATTGAAAACAGATGTTAGTGGTTACAGCTACTCCAAAGCATTCATCACTCCCGGAGGTGATATCTTCGGCAATTCTTGACATGGCTGTCAGATATTGGCTCTAGACACAGCAAGGTGAAAATCATGATTTGTTTGACGTGGCTTCCATTGAAACCAGCGGATGAGCGTTGACGAGGTCACGTGTGGTGAAGTGTCACAGGACAAGACAATCAGACTGCCCTTCAATGACTGGCCCGGTTGAAAGGAGCCGTGCTTCATTGGCTGAACAAAGAGATTGCGCAATTTCACTGAGTGCAATTTTCCAAGAACAATGGAAAGCCACTGTGCAACGAGTGCAACTGTACGTCAGTGGTCACTGGGGAGTGGAAGGAAACACAAGTTGCTATGAACCCGACTTCCCAGGAAGAAAACGATTTTCTTGCCTGCATCACAGGCTCACAGCTGTTTGGCTTTTGTGGCCGAAGAGCCCTTCAGTTCCGTCATGTGGCAGTTCCTGGTTCCTTCCTCATAATATCAGCAACCCGCTTGGCTGTAACATTCGTCGGTTGCAACGCGCGTGCTGACGGGGTCCTTCGTATTGAAACCACCCTATCGAATGAAACAAAAGTTTTTTTTCATGATTGTCCCAAATTTGCAGGGCACGCTCAGAGGATCGCATGCTTGTGTTTTGAATACCTTTGCATTTTGAAATACTGTACTCTTTCGGGAAATTTCTCCAAGCAGAGTTCGCTTGCTCTTTGTTCCTGGAACTCCCCCAGGTCCCAGCGAGGGAGAATCATTGCAGAAGGCCAGCCGATTCTCGTCACTTGCGGGCCTACTTTCGCGACGATTTGGGCTAGGCGAATTCCACGAATCGTTACGCTGTTTTACAGCCCTCGCAAGGCTGGAGTTCGCGTGCGTCCAGGGGTCGTCCACATCCATTTTTTTCGCCACTGTCCACATTCCTTCCTCATAATGTCAGCCCTAGTCCGTTCCGCCTCGTCCTTGTACTATCGCCGCGTCGCTTTCACAAGGCTCTCTTCTACCTCTAGTAGCTGTCGTTCCGCGAGCAGCTTCCATCCGTACAGCTTGTTGTCCGCTCCTTGCGTATCTGGAGGATTCTACCGTCGCGCGTATTCATTGTCTAACAGGACCCGTTTACGCCAGGGCTCAGCGATTGAGCGTTTTCCGTTTTCCGCACATCCCTCTGCGCAATTGTCGGAATTCGATTCACCCGCGAGCACCCGCATCGCACGCAGTATGTCGCAGCACGCGTCCATTCCAGCAGAGGGGGCAGCGGACGCCGCGCCTGGCGCGCAGTCAGAGGCGCTCGCGTTCGACGCGCCGAAGAGCATTCCGGGGCTGAATTGCGTTCGGAAATTGCTGGCCGAGGACCCCGTTGGTGAGCGCCGCTCCAATTTTTGGGGCAAGTGCGCGGCGACGGGACGAAGGGGACGATTGCTGCGACGCATGCCAACGCAAGGCTCATCATTTCTGTCCGCGCCTGCGCGTCTGCGCCGTTTGCTCTCCATCATCCGCACGATTAGCCGCGCCAAATCATGATTCTGCGCGGATGTTCCGCTGACGTGTCCACCCTCGCCTTCGTGGCTGATAGCGTGTCCACCCTTGCCTTTATTTCTGGGGAGCTTCCGCACAGCACGTCCCATGCCTCCACTCGCCGCTGTGCCCTCTCCGCATTCCTTTGGGAACCCTAACCCTAATCTTCATTCTCCCCTCCCCCCTTTCCTCCCCCGCGCGGCAGGCGGGTGGGAGAGGGCGTGGCAAGCGAGCACGACGCCGTGGGATCTGGGCGGCGTGACGCCGGCTGTAGCGGCGCTGGTGGCGGCGCAAGAGGGGTCGCCGCTGCACCTGCCGCCCTCCATCCGCCACGTGCTCGTCCCCGGCTGTGGCACCGTGAGTGCTCGTCCCCGGCTGTGGCACCGTGAGTGCTCGTCCCCGGCTGTAGCACCGTGAGTGCTCGTCCCCGGCTGTAGCACTGGAATGCACAGTGGTGGTTTCGTGGACCATGTTTACCGGGCTGTAGCAAGAGTGGGGATGGCAGTCCAAGGCATGCGCGAGGATTGCTCCTTGGTTGTCCGAAACCTCCCATGCCTTGGCGCATCCCTGCATGCTATCACGTGGGTCCATGGCATGACATGGATGATGTTGGATACTATGGCGGGCATGGCATGGCATGGATGATGTTGGATACTATGGCATGGCATGGCATGGCATGGCATGGCAGGGGTACGATGTGGAGGCGTTGGCATCGAATGGCAGGGAGGTGACAGGCCTTGACATCTCTCCAGCTGCTGTGGCGCATGCAGAGAAGGTGGGAGCATGCAGAGAAGGTGGGTGACGCAGCAACGCACGCCGCTCATGCTGCTTCATGGCCAAATGTCTGCACACATGCCTTTCCTGACATTCCCGCCCTCATGCTCCTTTCCACTCTTCCCCGGTGCCCAATCTCAAAACTCTCCCCTCTTCGCCAAACCTCCTCCCCCCTGCTGTTCACTCCAGAGAGTGGAGGGGGCGGGCAACAGGGCGGCCATGGCGTTTGAGTGTGCCGACTTCTTTGAGTACCGCCCCGCTCAGCCCTTCGATGCCATCTTTGACTACACGTGATCCCCGCTCCTTCTCACCCCCATTCCCATCTGCCTCTCACCCCCCTTCCCCTCTCCTTCTTACCCCCCTTCCCATCTACCTCTCACCCCCCTTCCCTCGGCTTCATACCTCCATTCCCATATGCCTCTCAACCCCTTTCTCCCCCCTTCCGCATTCACCCCCTCTCATGCCAAACACCTGCTCTGCTGCCACACGTGTCTGTCTCCGCGGCTGTGCTCCTTTCCCCTCTCCTGTGCCTCGCATCTCAATCGCTCCCGACTCTCTCGTGTCCCGCCCTCTCTACCTTTGCTGGGATTACGTACCCCATCATGCCCCCTTCTGCTCATCCACGCCAAATCACGCCCACGTGTCATCACCCCTGCCATCCCCCTCACGCCCTCGCATCCCCGTGTACCGTGCGCCCACACACCGTCTCTCCATGCCTCCATGCCCACATGCCCCGCCCCACCACCCCCACCCCCCCGCCCTCGCATACCCGTGTACCATGCGCCCATCCCTCCATGCCCGCATGTCCCTCCCTGCGTACAGCTTCTTCTGTGCGCTGCCACCGTCGCTGCGGGGCAAGTGGGCGGCCAAGACAGCGGAGCTGCTCGCACCACAGGGGGTGCTCTACACTCTCATGTTCCCCGTGCGTATCCCCGCACCCTCTCACCATGTGTATCCATGCACACCTAACATCGTATGCTCATGTGTGCCCTCGTGTGCTGCCTATGGCCAAAGCCTAATCTCTGCTGTGTGCGCACGGCGCGCGGCTGTGTGTGTGTCCCTCGCTTTGTGCGCCTCGCCTGCAGATCGATGCACACGAGGGCGGCCCACCCTATGCCGTCTCCAAGGACAGGTGCGCCCCTATGCATCCATCCCTCCTCCCCTCCTGTGCCGCCCCTCGCCCCTGCCCCCACTCCCCTTTGTTCAACCTCCTTTTCTTGTATCCCCTTTCCCTACTCTCCCCCCTTACTCCCCTGTCCCCCTTGCTCCGCCTGGTCTGCTTGTCACATCTGCTGTTAAACCTCCCCCCTCCCCTCTCCCCCCTCCCCCCTCCCCCCTCCGCCTCCTGCTTGGCCGTATGCACCCCTTGCAGTACTTGCCATTTGCTCCTCCTCGTCCCTCCCTGTCCCTTCCATCCCCTGCCTCCACACTTCTGTTCCCCTCCTCCCTACGCGCCTCGCTCCCCTTGCTGCTCCCCCGCATCCCCCACCCGCCACCACCACTGACTCCCCATGCCGCCGCTGCCCTCCTCTCCCCCGCGCCACGTGCGGCCCGTGCAGCTACACGGAGGTGCTGCAGCCGCTGGGGTTCACGGCAGAGAATCTGCCCACTGTCAGTGTGCCGCCCAGACAGGTACGCCTGCTTGGCTGCGTGTGCGTGAGTGCATGGATCGCCATTGCTCTGCGTGTTGCGCGCTCCGTCTTTGGCTCATTGCATGTGCGCCCCACCTGCCTCTGTGTGTGTGGCTGTGTCTGTGTTCGTGCGTGCAAGCATGTGTGTGTGTGAGGGAGGGGAGGTGGGTATGGTGTGGGTGTGGGTGTGGAGGGGTGTGGGTGGGTGCGCGGTGGGTGCATGGTGGGTGTGTGTGTGTGGTGGGTGTGCAGGGCAAGGAGCAGTTGGCCAAGTGGGTGCGAGCAGCTGTAGCATCCAAAGTGTGACGAGGGCACGGATGACAAGGAGGGCACCAGAAGACATGATGTAAGAACCAGTATCAAAACAATAAACGAACAAGCATATCAGTTTTTAAATAGTATATATTTTCAAATAGCAGCATTTTTATATCGTCCTCATTGAGCACAATTTAAGAGGAATTAGAGCGTGGATGCAGAAACATCTCATGTAAGGGAACAAACCTTTTTCAATGTAAAAAACCCACTACGACCTGTAGCTAGATTCTAAGAGTTCTTCTGGACTTTCCAGATTTAGATTAGTTATAGAGCAAGCTCATTGTTCGATTCAGTGTAACTCCCTCTTATGTCGAGGAGAAGCTTGGGACTGCGACGTGCAAATTGGTACTGTAATGAAATTCGCCGACCTCGCGGAATATGAGAAAATGCGGTCTACTCTTGCCTCGCCGGCAGATTTTTTTGGCAGAGCCAAGTCTTGACTATCCTAGCGCCTCCCCGAACCACACCCGTCGGCAGGGAGACCTTTTCAGAAATTTGTGGGATGGGGACTAGTGGTTGCAGCTGTCGGGGGAGAGACGTGTCGTGGCGCTACTGGAACAGAACAGAATGTACAAGAACAGTGCGATTCTGGGCGAGAGGGGGCACCAACTTACCTGCCACCGAATGGATGTCAAGGGAGGGGAACCTGTCGAGGTGGCGAAGATTTGACGGTCGTTCCGTTCCGTTCAGTGACGTAGGCCGGTAAGTCGGGGCTGCGGGGTTCCGTTCCGTGATATGTTGCGACGTGACGTATTCGGAGTTAATGCCAGCTGACACGCGAGGAGCTCATTTGTTCACTGCATGACTGGCGTGTTTGACACTACACAACGATGAATTCACTTGCAGGCATGTTGTGTGGGCCAGGAATTTGCTCGCAAGTTTCTTCTAGCCTTTTTCCCGCTCCTTGCGTATCCGGAAAATTCTACCTTCGCGGGCATTCCTCATTTAACAAAATCCGTTTCCGCAAGGGCTCGGTAGTCGATCGTTTCGCGTCTTTAGCACGTTCCTCTGCGCAATTTCCGGAATTCGATTCGTCTGCGAGCACCCTCGCACGCGCCATGTCGCAGCACGCGTCCAATCCGGCGGAGGGAGCAGCGGATGGCGCGCCAGGCGGTGCGCAGTCGGAGGTGCTGGCGTTCGACGCGCCGAAGAGCATTCCGGGGGTGATGGAGGTGCGCCAGCTGCTCACCGACGACCCCGTCGGTGAGCCTCTCTCTAATGCTTCGAGGTGCGCCCAATAATCTCCGTCGCGCGATGTTTGCCCTCCATCGTTCGCCCCCAAGGCGCGCCGATTTTTTTTTTTTTTGTGAAAATTTGCGTACGGTACCGGGGCGCGCCGAAGCGCATTCCGGGGATGCTGGACGTGCGGCAGCTGCTGACCGACGCCCCCGTCGGTGAGCCTCTCTCCAGTTCCTGGCAGTTCTCGGGACGTGTGCACGTGCACGACGACTGGGATCGCGGGATGAAGGATGCTGCGATGCATGCAAAAGCAAAATGCTCAATCATATCCCCCGTGCCTGTGCCTCTGCTCCTTTTGCCCTCCATCATCCACACGCTACACCGTGCCAAATCACTCTGAGGGGATTGCTTAGCTATTCCGCTGCCGCGGCTGATTGCTTTGCTTCTCGCTCCTCGCCTTCCGATCCTCCCCGCACAGCACGCTACATGCCTCCACTCGCCGCTCTGCATCCCTCCGCATCCCTCGGGAAAACCGTAACCCTAAATTTCATCGCCTCCCCCCCCCCCCCCCTCTCCCTCTCCCCCGCGCGCGCGCGGCAGGCGGGTGGGAGAGGGCGTGGCAGGCGAGCACGACGCCGTGGGATCTGGGCGGGGTGACGCCGGCTGTAGCGGCGCTGGTGGCGGCGCAAGAGGGGTCGCCGCTGCACCTGCCGCCCTCCATCCGCCACGTGCTCGTCCCCGGCTGTGGCACCGTGAGTGCCTCGCGGCCGGCTGTAGCGCGGGAATGCACATTAGATGTTTTACGACAAATGTGCTTCAGGCTGTAGCATGAGCGGGGGGGGGGGTAATGCATGCGCGATGATTGCTCCGTGGTTGTCTAAAACCTTCCATGTCCTTGGCACTATCTCTGCACGCAATCACGTGGGTCCATGGCATGGCATGGCATGGGGACATTCTGGATGCCATTACATTGCATGGATGGGATGGCACGGTGTGATGTTTGATACCTTAGCATGGCGTGGCATGGCGTGGCATGGCATGGCATGGGGAGATCTTGGATACATTGGCATGGCATGGCATGGCATGGCATGGCATGGCATGGCAGGGGTACGATGTGGAGGCGTTGGCATCGAATGGCAGGGAGGCGACGGGGCTTGACATCTCTCCGGCTGCTGTGGCGCATGCAGAGCAGGTGTGCGCATGCAGAGAAGGTGGGCGCATGGGTGCCGCACCAAGGCGGGTTCAACTCGCACAGTCGGGCGGGCAGCACCAATGCGGGCCTCATTGCACACTTTCGCCCTTCCCTTCCTTCCTTCATCCCCTTGCCGACACACCTGCCCTCATACTCGTTCCCCTACCCCCCCCGCCGCTCAATCTCCTCCCTCATAACACTATCTACCCTCGCAACCCTCTCCTGTCCTCCTCCCGCCCAACCTCCTCCCCGCTGCTGCTCTCCTACTCCCGGCGTGGGTGCTTAATCAGTACGACTCGCGCATTCGTGTGTTGTGGGCAGCATGCGTGGCACCACCCATTCGCCCATTCCCTTTGCTCACACCCCCGTCCTGCTACCCAATCTTTACCCTCTCAGCTTTCTTAACCCAATCTCTTCCCTCTCAACCCTCTTTCCTCCACGCCCTCCGCCCTCCGCCGTGCCACCCGTTGCTCACCCCAGAGAGTGGAGGGGGCGGGCAACAGGGCGGCCATGGCGTTTGAGTGTGCCGACTTCTTTGAGTACCGCCCCGCTCAGCCCTTCGATGCCATCTTTGACTACACGTGAGCCCCGCTCCTTCTCACCCCCATTCCCATCTGCCTCTCACCCCCCTTCCCCTCTCCTTCTCACCCCCATTCCCATCTGCCTCTCATCCCCCTTCCCTCGGCTTCTAACCCCGCTCAGCCCTTTGATGCCATCTTTGACTACACGTGAGCCCTGCCCCTCTCTCTTCCACCCCCCTCACCCCTTTGCCTCTCTTCCACCTACCCCTCTTCCTCTCACCACCCCATCCTTCTGCCTCTCACTCCCTCGCATACCAAACACCTTTCGCCACACCAGCTGTCCCTCCTCTGCTGCACTCCTTTCCCCTGGCGTGTGCTTAGCGTTCCAAGCGCTCCCGCATCTGTTGTGTCCCATTCGCCCTCTCTACCTGCGCCAAGCCAAGAGCACGCACCCCATCTTCCCCCCTTCTGCTCACGCCCTCGCGTCCCCCACATATCATCCCCACATGCCCCCCGCACCATCTCTCCATGCCTCCATCCCCACATGCCCGCATGCCCCACCACCCCCACCGCACGCAGCTTCTTCTGTGCGCTGCCACCGTCGCTGCGGGGCAAGTGGGCGGCCAAGACAGCGGAGCTGCTCGCACCACAGGGGTGCTCTACACTCTCATGTTCCCCGTGCGTATCCCCGCACCCTCTCACCATGTGTATCCATGCACACCTAACATCGTATGCTCATGTGCACACCTAACGCCTGGTCCGCTCTTCTCCTCTCCGCCTGGTCCGCTTGTCATAGCCGCTGCTGGCCCCCTTCCCCTCCCCTCCTCCTGCTCGCCCTATGCGGCCCTTGCAGTACTTGCCATTTGCTTCTCCTCTTCCCTTCCTGCCCCTCCTGTCCCTGCCCTAACCATCCTGGGCCTCCGCACTTATGTTCCCCACCTCCTTACGCGCCTCGTGCCCCTTGCTGCTCCTTCGCCTCCCCCACCCGCCACCACCACCGACTCCTCATGCTATCTCCGCCCTCCTGCCCACCACCCCCCTCCCCACCACCCCCCCTCCCCCCCACATGCGGCCCGAGCAGCTACAGGGAGGTGCTGCAGCCACTGGGGTTCACGGCAGAGGATCTGCCCACTTTCAGTGTGCCGCCCAGACAGGTGAGCCTCACAGCCAGTGTGCCGCCCAGACAGGTGAGCCTCACAGCCAGTGTGCCGTCCAGACAGGTGAGCCTCACCACTGCTCTGCTTGTCTCCACTGCTCTGCTTGTCTCCACTGCTCTGCTTGTCTCCACTGCTCTGCTTGTCTCCACTGCTCTGCTTGTTGCTCACTCCCTCTCTGGCTCGTTGCACGTGCGGCCATTCACCTGCCTCTCTGTGTTGTTGTGCCTCTGCTCATGCATGCGAGTGTGTGTGAGCGTGCGTGTGTGAGTGGGTGCGGGTGTGTGTGGGTGAGGGTATGGGTGTGTGTGGATGCGTGGGTGGGTGAGGGTATGGGTGTGTGTGGATGCGTGTGTGAGTGAGGGTATGGGTGTGTGTGGATGCGTGGGCGAGTTGGGTGCGTGGGCGATTGGTTGGTTGGTTGGTTGGGTGGGTGGGTGGGTGGGCGGGTGCATGGCGTGTGCATGGCGTGTGCGTGTGGTGGAGATGGCGTGCAGGGTAAGGAGCAGCTGGCCAAGTGGGTGCGAGTGGGTGCACCATCCAAGGTGTGACGCGCCTGGGACTGCTGCAATGGCCACCCGCGAGCAGCACAGGCCCACCTCGAAGCACCCTAGGAGAGAGCGTCTGCGTCTGTCTCGCACCGTCTCAAGGCGTACAGCATATGAGAAACGAAGCTCCGTGCTTGTTTGAGTTACCAAGTGGGCGTCAGAGCAGTGGGGAGTGGCATACCGTGGAAGCAGCGCATGGGAGCAGTTTGGAATGAACTCAAACTCGACTCCCTGCACTTACTGTAGATGCACTGCAACATGATAGCTTGGGTGACACGTGCAGTGGGTACAAGCAGAGTGCCCCTATGAGGGTGCCAGTGCCACGGATGCCATACAACCTTATCTGTGATTGAGGGCTGTTTGGTGCCTTGAAGTTTTTCTCCATAAAGAGAGGTGTCCTCCAGTCACCCCATCCATCCCAGACACAGCAACAACCCTACTGCATTTGTGGCACTGCTGCACACAAACCCTCAAAGACCTTTCCTGATTGTCTGTTGTTTGGTATCTTTGAAACTGGCTTTCTACTCTTAAAGCAATTTGATTTTGATCTAGACCAGGGAGCAACAGGAATGGTGTGAGAAAGCTGCAACTTGATATTGAGCCTTCTCTGAGGGAGAACATTGAATTGATGTACAACGATCTCTAACAAGCAAAATAGTTATCAACTCGCTGCATTACCTGCTTCTCCAGATACAATCACAATCTTAGCCTGTACTGCATCACTGGTTCTATGCTTCACTGCTTCACCATCCACCCAACCGTGTCAGTCCTCCCCCGTCAATACTCCAATACCACTGCATCACTGCTTCACTGCATCACTGCTGAACTGCTTCGCTGCATCACTGGCTCCTTCTCGATTCTCCTTTACTGCTGCTTCCCCTTTACTGCTGCTTCCCCTTCACTGCTGCTACCCCGTGAACTGCTGCTTCCCCAACACTGCTTCCCTAACACTCCTTCCCCTTCACTGCGCCTTTCCTTCCCTGCGCTTTTTTTTTTTTTTTTACTTGGAAGGCTTGTGCACAAGCCATGGAGGATAAAAAAATCCGTCCCATCAGCATCGAGTTGGGTATGATGCCTACGGGCTAAGACCCTGAAAACTAGGGTACTGCCGTATCACTCGGCTAAAAAAACCTCCGTAAGGGCGCTCCCCTGCACCCCACTGCTTCTCCCCTCCTCTGCACCAGCGGATGCATCTGCTTCTCCGTTGACTGCACCAGGCAGCTGTACCCCTTTCTCTGTACCAAGCTGCTGCTTCTCGGCTTCAAGGTTTATGGGTACCTCCCTCCCCTTCTCTAGAACAGGCGGCTGCCCTTCATTGCTGCTTCCCCTTCACTGCTGCTTCACCTTCACTGCTGCTTCCCCTTCACTGCTGCTTCACCTTCACTGCTGCTTCCCCTTCACTGCTGCTTCCCCCTCACTGCTGCTTCTCCTCTGCACCAGGCGGCTGCTACCCTTGTCCTCTGCACCACACCAAGCTGCTTCTCCCCATCAGGGCATATCTCCTCAACTGCATCAAACGGCTGCTGCATTAGGCGGCGGCTGATGCAGCTTCTCCCTTCAACTGAGGCGGCTTCTCCCCTTTAACTGAGGCGGCTTTTCCCCTTTAACTGAGGAGGCTTTTTCTCCCTTTTAACTGAGACGGCTTCTCCCCTTAACTGAGGCGGACTGAGGCGGCTTCTCCCCTTTAACTGAGGCGGCTTCTCCCCTTAAACTGAGGCAGCTTCTCCCCTTTAACTGAGGCGGCTTCTCCCCTTAACTGAGGCGGACTGAGGCGGCTTCTCCCCTTAAACTGAGGCGGCTTCTCCCCTTTAACTGAGGCGGCTTCTCCCCTTTAACTGAGGCGACTTTTTCTCCCCTTTAACTGAGGCGGCTTCTCCCCTTAACTGAGGCGGACTGAGGCGGCTTCTCCCCTTAACTGAGGCGGACTGACGCGGCTTCTCCCCCTTAACTGACACGGCTTCTCCCCTTAACTGAAGCGTATCCCCTTAACTGAGGCAGCTTCTCCCCTTAACTGAGGCAGCTTCTCCCCTTAACTGAGGCAGCTTCTCCCCTTTAACTGAGGAGGCTTTTTCTCCCTTTTAACTGAGACGGCTTCTCCCCTTAACTGAGGCGGACTGAGGCGGCTTCTCCCCTTTAACTGAGGCGGCTTCTCCCCTTTAACTGAGGCAGCTTCTCCCCTTTAACTGAGGCAGCTTCTCCCCTTAACTGAGGCGGACTGAGGCGGCTTCTCCCCTTAAACTGAGGCGGCTTCTCCCCTTTAACTGAGGCGGCTTCTCCCCTTTAACTGAGGCGGCTTCTCCCCCTTAACTGAGGCGGCTTCTCCCCTTGACTGAGGCGGCTTCTCCCCTTGTCTGCAGGCGGCTTCTCCCCTTGTCTGCAGGCGGCTTCTCCCCTTGTCTGCAGGCGGCTTCTCCCCTTGTCTGCAGGCGGCTTCTCCCCTTGTCTGCAGGCAGCTTCTCCCCTTGTCTGCAGGCAGCTTCTCCCCTTGTCTGCAGGCAGCTTCTCCCCTTGTCTGCAGGCGGCTTCTCCCCTCAACTGCATCCAGCGGCTGCTGCATCATGCGGCGGCTGCTCCCTCCATTGCTCCATCCGTCTCTCCCTGTGACTCCAGGCTGACGCATCAAGTGAAGAACCCCCCACACCCTCCCCAGTGTGAGAAGGCCCCGAGGCTTTAAGTAAAACCGCAACCTCATAAACAGGAACTCTCAGGTGACCTAGAACGAGTATTTCCACACCCACGCCAGTGTGGACTCATCGTTCAGAGGTAAGAGAAGCTCTCCGCACCCTCACCAGTGCGGTCTCCCTTCTCTTAAAGAGTGACATCAAGTCCCCCGTACCCACCCCGGTACGGTGCTGACTTTGTGGTGCAAATGCAACCCCAACAGTGACGCTACCTGGAGTGTCAGGTGCCCGGATTTGCTTGATTTCTGGGCCCAGGCAGTGCAAAGCCTCCCGGGCGACTTTGCACTGCCAGAACCAAGCCCGGCCCTTACTCCATCACGTCACTGCTGAGATCACACCCACACCGCGCCACTCGCCTTAGGACCGGCTGAGCTCGCTACACTCAGCCACCTCTTAGGCCACCCTTGAGTTCCCATCCAGCCACCGTCCGCGCAACCCTTCGCCACAACCACCACTGCTTCGCCACATCCCTCCCGAACAGCCTCCGCTTCCGCAACAACCGCTTTCGCAGCCTCCTCCTCCGTCTACTCCTTGCAGCGACGCCTCCTTGCAACCCAGCCTCCTTCTACGCCCTGCTAGTCCGCTACGCCGCTGCCCTGTAGTCCGCTACGCCGCTACGCCGCTGCCCTGTAGTGTAGAACAGTCCGCCGCTGCCCTGTAGTGTAGAACAGTCCGCCGCTGCCCTGTAGTGTAGAACAGTCCGCCGCTGCCCTGCGCTGCCTTCAAGTCCGCCGCGCTGCCTTGCACTCCGCCGCGCTGCCTTGCAGTCCGCCGCGCTGCCTTACAGCTTCCATGGCAGCTTCGTGGGCTGTCATCTGCTTCGAAGGCTCCTTGGGTAGGCCGCTCGGGCTTCTTGGCAGGCTCCTTGGTAAGCTCCTTGGTAAGCTCCTTGGTAAGCTCCTTGGTAAGCTCCTTGGTAAGCTCCTTGGTCCTGTTTTAAGAAAAAACAGACAAAGATTAGTATTCACTCTTCTGAATCAAAACCACTAAGGAAAGACACCAGTTTGGATAAAACGGTTAAAAGGGCTAAATGGTAAACGGATAAACTTACCACTAAGTTCAGGTGCTTCTTGGTAGCTTCGCTCCTTGGTTGCTTCTTGGTAAGTTCGCTCCAGTTGCGCTGCCTTGAAGTCAGCCGCGCTGCCTTGCAGTCCGCCGCGCTGCCTTGCAGTCCGCCGCGCTGCCTTGCAGTCCGCCGCGCTGCCTTGCAGTCCGCCGCGCTGCCTTGCAGTCCGCCGCGCTGCCTTGCAGTCCGCCGCGCTGCCTTGCAGTCCGCCGCGCTGCCTTGCAGTCCGCCGCGCTGCCTTGCAGTCCGCCGCGCTGCCTTGCAGTCCGCCGCGCTGCCTTGCAGTCCGCCGCGCTGCCTTGCAGCGTTCATGGGAGACTTTTAGACTTCTCCATTTGCTGCTGGTTGGTCCTGTTAAAGAAAACAACAGACGCATATTAGTATAAACTCAAATTTCGAAGAAACCATCAGCCATCAGCTCAAGCAGAAAACGGCAAATGGACAATGCAAGGAATAAAAAGCTTACTCAACAGCTTCCATGGCGGCTTCGTGGGCTGCTTCGAAGGCTCCTTGGTAGGCCGCTCGGGCTCCTTGGTTAGCAGCTCGTAGGCTCCTTGATTGTCTGCTCGTAGGCTTCTTGGTCCTGTTTTAAGAAAAACGACAGAAAAAAAATTAGTATTTATTCTTCTGAATCATAATCTCAAAGAAAAGACACCATTTTGCAGCTAGATGAAGGGTAACACGGTTAAAACGGATGAACTTACCATAAGTTCAGCTGCTTGTAGCTTCACTCTTTGCAGCCCGTCCCACACAACCAGCTTTGAAGAGTGATTCGCCATGCGTTTCGTAGAAAAATTGTAGGCTCGCGCATGTGCTTCGTCGGAGAGTCTGTAGACTGCTGGTGATGGTCCTGTTTTAAGAAAAACAGAGACAAAAATTAGTTTTCATTCTTCTGATTCAAAATCTCAAAGGAAAGACACCATTTTGCAGCTAGATTAAGGATAACACGGTTAAAATGGCTAAACGAAAAACGGATAAACTTACCACAAGTTCAGCTGCTCGTAGGCCCCCTTCTTAAGACTTCACTGCTTCATTGGCAGCTCCGTTCGTCATCTCCTCCGTTCGTAATCTCCTTGTTGGCTGGTCCTGTTTAAGAGAAAACGACACACATATTAGTAATCTTGATACCAGATTCTTCGATTCTCAGAATACGAATCATTAGAAAAACAGGCATACACCAATAGCAACGGTAAATAGTGGAAGGACTGAGACAGTGAAAAGCTTACCAGGTGCTTCAACGGTGCATTGATAGACGACTTGGTGACTTCCTTCAACGGATCCTTGGTAGCTTCGGTGCAGATCTGCCTCCACGCGATCCTCCTTTGCTGGAAACGGGGGGAAAAAACACAAACAGAAGCACGAAGTTAGTATACAGCAATGACAAAATAAAAAGGAAAAAAAAAACAAGCATAAAACGAAAAGCGTGAACGAAAATATGGAAACGACAAGCGAAAACGAGGGCGGAACGTCCATGGTCACGGGCTGCAGCCTTCAGAGGGAGGATCTAATCTAGCCAGCCCATCTACCCAACCGAGGAGGATCTTCGTCCAGCTGCAACCGCGTGACCAGAGGGACGGTGGAAAACGGCGAGGCACGAGTGGCGGTGGTGGATGATGGACGGTGGAAACGAAAACAAGGAAACAAAAGCGAGAAAAGAACAAGGGAAAAGGGAAGCGAAACTTCCCGATCGACGGCAGCGGGTTGAGCGGCAGAAGCACCACGCACGGCTTGAACGGCAGCACTCCCAACGTGTCAGAGCGCCACGCACGGCTTGAAGATGCAGAGCAGAAGCTCGTGTTGAGCAGAAGTCGTGTTGAGCAGAAGTCGTGTTGAGCAGAAGTCGTGTTGAGCAGAAGTCGTGTTGAGCAGAAGTCGTGTTGAGCAGAAGTTCGTGTTGAGAAGAAGTTCGTGTTGAGCGGAGCAGTTCGTATGCAGATTCGTCACTGGACTTGTCTTTTGTACCTGCGAAAAACGAACACAGATGAGTCAGTAATTGGAAGTTTACACAAATAAATTTTGAAGCACTGACATTAAAAAAACGTCTAGCTCGGAACAAGTAGGCATAAGAACTCTCTGCTTACCTTTGGAGATCGAAGGGCAGGCTGGGCGGGGGGCGATGTGCGGATGGAGGCGGGTTGCAGTTGGTGATGGGGGCGGATGGTTGGTGGGCGATCTCCAGGGTTTATGAGCTTAGACGAATGAAGCTCGTTGATGACGGGAATTATGGTGGGCGAACTCCAGGGCGCATGGTGGTCGGGCGAATGAAGCTGGTTGATGACGATAATTCTGGTGGTCGACTTCGAGAATTATGAGCTTAAAGCTTTACGATTGTAAGTCCCTGTACTATATACGTGCTACCAAACGCACAGGCAGTGTCTGGAGCCTCTACTTTCTCCTTGCGGGAATGTTTGTGTTCCTGTTCTGTGAGGAGGCTCCCTGAGCATTCTTGCGGCAAGGTGAGGATGGAGCAGAGGAGTGGTTGGTTCACTACAAGCCGAAAACTACAGTGTCAGATTGCAGCAACTCTGTGAGATGTGGTGGTCACCACCACCTGCTGCGGGTCAAAAAAAACATTTTGGGTAGACATACAGCATGCGATGTATTTCCCAAATTTCATAAAAACCTGAAATCAGGACCTGTGTCATTGCTTTACTTAGAGACTTATTCGAGGATGTTGCCAGCATAAAACATTTGCGTTTCAGAAAAGCACACTACCGAAAATTCAAAGCACGGAACGCGCCACGGGGGACAGGCGGGAAGTGGACGAGTTGCCGACGGAACTGTTCGTGAAATCCAAAGGGAAATTGGCTTGTGCAGGGTGCCAGGAAGATGTACGCGCGACCTGCGGCAAAAGTCGTCCACCACTCCTTGCGAGCGGTACTTACAGCATTTCAACTTTTGACGACACTGGTTGGACAACGACTCGTCAGGAGATCACAGGACAAAACATTGCGAAGAGGATAAGGTCACAAACAACTCACAAGAACCACACACCCGAGGCGCGTTTTCTGACGACGGTTCAAATTGGGGGACAGAAATGCGGGAAAGGGGAGGGCCACCAGCAGTGTGTTGACGTCACAGCACATACGCCGCCGGAGGAACCATCATCAAAGTCTTGCGAAGCTGCCTTGTGGACTTGTTGGCAACGTCACAAGCGATCACGTAAATTATCGGCCGTAGATCCGCGCCAAAAATGCTGACACGCTGGCCGAATCACGGTGCTGTTTCGAAATGATAAGATTCGCCACATCACCAATTTGGAGTCACCTCGCCCAGCCTAACCAAACCAGACTAACCGATAAGAAAACCCCGAGATGACTGCTTCAACGCTATAATGCATCATTAGAACAGAGCGCATTTCTTACAGACTACATAAATAATAACTTCCAACTGTGTAGGTGTTGTTGATCAGGAAAAGGAAATGAGACCTATCATCTCACGCCTACAGTTAAGTCCTCTAGGACCTTCAATTGCAGAATTGATGGCCCCAAAGTGTTTTTGACGAGAATCAGACAATTCACAGTGAATGAAAGATGAACGAATAATCAAGCAGCCAGTCCGAGGTTTGGTCATGACTCTGATCAATTAACTGAATGTATGTGTTTTGGAATGACATCCCGAATTTGACAGGCGTTACCCTGACATGGCCATGCAAGGGTCGTTACTGGAACCTCAAAAGGATTTCAGGACTTTTTACCCTGGAATCACAGGGTCTAGTACAGGGTAACAGTGGCTCGTGTGGTACGTACAAGCAACACCTGTCGGCGGGTGCACCAGCACCCAGAAGGCAGCATCGGCAAATAAGAAATGCACTCCACCTGCGCAGCAAGTGCGGTTGGCATTTGTGGCACTTGTGGCGTGTGTGTGGGTGGTGGCAGTGTTAGCGCGTGTGCAGGCCAGTCCAGTCCAGTCCAGGCAGCGCTGCTGCTCCAATGCAGGATCGACCTGGCAGCACATGAGCCGCCTGTGCTGTGGGCTGCCATGCCATCACGAGCCTACACGCTGCTCCACGCCTCTCACAACTCCCTCCATCGCACCTCCTGCCCTCACCTCCCCTCCCTCTGCTGCGCCCCTCGCTTCCTCCGCTCCCCCGCTGCCAGCCACCACGGGCCTGCCTCCTCTCCTCGACCGCTGGCGCTTCAACCCCCAAAGCTCGCCCGCTGATCCCCCCTTCCTGCCATCCGCACGCTCCCCATCGCCCTCCTCCGCATCGCCTTCCTCCTCCATCTCGCGCCCTCTCTTCCCTGCACCTCTCTTGACCACTTTCAACTCCCTACTACTACTACCACCACCACCACCACCCAAGTCACCACTCACACCTGTTCCCCCACCCTTGTCACCGCTCCCCAGCATTCCACCTCCCAAGTCACCACTCCCAACCGTGCCACCACTGCTGCCAGCAGCAGCAACAGCAGGAGGGGCAAGAGGCGAGCACCCTCTGCTTGGGTCGTCAGAAGCATCTTGGCAAGGCGCACCGGCAGCAGCAGAAGCAGCAGCGGAGGCAGCACCTGCAGCGGGGGCAGCAACGCCTTCCAGTGCGTGGGCGTGGGCGTGGGCGCCCACAGCCACAGCCGCACCGCCAAGGTCCTTCACCATGCGCGTCCTCTCCCGCCGCTTGCCCCTCTCCTCTCCGCGCCGCTGCTCCCCACCCTTCTCCTCCGCGCCCTCCTCGCTCGCCAGCACCACAGCGGGCGAGCCACACGCCGACAGCGGCGCTTCAAGCAGCGGGCGCGGGGAGAAGGTGGTGCTGCCAACAGGGCTGCCGCCCATGCCGGGGCTGTACGGTAGGTACGGGCTCGTGAAGCGCGGGCTGGCGTTGAGGTACGGGCTGGCGAGCAGGTGAGGGCTGGCTGTGACGTATGTGGTGCAGTGGAGGTGGGGGCTGGCAGCGAGGTGTGGCAGGGGTGTGGCAGCGGAGGCAGGGCTGCTGGTGGCCAGACACGCACTGCCTGCCTGCCCCGCCCTGCTCGCCCCTCCCCCTCCCTCCTGCTCGCCTCCATGCCCCCCTCCCCTCCCTCTGTCGCCATGCCTCCAGCCTTCCATGCCTGTGTCATTGCCACCACCACTGCCAGCACCACTACTGCCATCCCGCGACGTGCTCCTCTCTGCTCCACCCGCTCCTGCCGCGTGCGCCTCCAGGTTTGGTCCGTCCACCTCTATGTCCTCACCACCGCCCTGGCCCCCACTCTCCTCCTCACTCTCCTCCTCTCGAAATAGGCTCGAGAAGCTGTCACTCTCACTCTCACTTGCACTCTCCTCGTCGCCCTCACTCCCACCACCCCCACCTCTCCCCCCTCGCCCGTGCATGCCCTCACTGCTACCACCAGACCACAGCGCGTCCGTCTCCTGCTTACCACCGCTGCTCTTCGCCCCACCAGTTGCACCCACGGCTCCCACCTGCCCCTCGCGGCACCTCGACAGTGCCGAACCACCTCCTCCCCTGCCGCCACCTCGTTTCCTCTCACTCGCCTGCGCCTCCCTCTGCCTTGCACCACCTTCCCTTGCACCCTCCTTCACCTGCTTCTGCTCTTCATTCTCTTGCACCCTTTCTCCCCCCCTCTCTTTGGCATCAGCCCCGCTCACCCTCACTGCACCGTCCTGCTTGTCCTCTGTCCGCCCCGCTCTCCTCCCCCCTCCCCCTTTCAGGCCACCGCGCTTGCCCCCGTGCCTCCATCGCCCCCGCCTGTCGCGCTGCTGCTGCATGCTCCTCTGCTTCTCCCCCTGCTGCGCCGTCCTATCTCGCTCGCCTGGACCCCCACTCGCCGCCCCTCTCTTTCTTCCTCTGCCCTTCCCCCCGCCTCTTTTCACTGCCCCTCCCCTCCTCCCATCACCTTCCAATGCCCTCTTCCCATCTCCACCTTTCCCCTCCGCCTCATATGCCTCCTCTCCCCCCTCCTCTCTCCCTGCTCTGCCTTTTCCTCCTTCCCCCACTCCCACCTCTCCATCTGCTCTTTCCCTCCGCTGTCTCTTTCTGTCACCTTCTTCTTGCTCCCCCCTCTCCCGCTTCCCCACATACCCTGCAGCCTTTGCACCGTCCCTTCCCCCCACCTCGGCCTTCTCAACATCTGCTCCGGTCTTCTCTCCCTCCACCTGCCTCTCCCTCGCCCTCTGCTGACCACTGCTGCCAACCCCAACCCCATTGCGAGCACCAGCACTGGCACCATCACCAGCAGAACCAGCATCAGCAGCACCCGCGTCCACCTCTACTTGGTCTTTCACACCTCCCTCGACCTTCTGCCCTCCCACCTCCCCTGCCACACCACCAGCCTCTCCCTCCCCACTGCCCGCACTCGGCCTGGCCTCCGCGCCCTCCCCACTGCTGCCGCCTGCCCGCCTGCCTGAGGAAGAGGGCTTGTGGAACGCGCTGGGGGGTGCAGTGGAGCGAGGGGAGCGTGGAGTGGCGGCGGCTAGAGGGGCAGGGAGGGCAGGAAAGGCAGGGAGGGCGAGAGGGGGGAAGGAGAGGAGGCGCCTGGGCACGGTGCGCTGAGTGCGCTCCTTCTTGGGCGAGGGGAAGGGTGGCTGGGCAAGGGCGTGCAGGGGCAAAGGGGGAGGTGGCAGCCGCACTGTGATGGTTGTGGCAGCACCACTGGCAGCAGTAGCAGCAGCACTGGGAACCCCTCTCCCTGCACCTGCCTGTTGCTCTTCTCCATCCCCCACCCCCTCTTGCTCCTCCCCTTCTGGCTTCACCCCCTTCACTCCACCACCACCACTACCATCACCACTAATATCACCATCACCTCCACCGCCTGAGCCATCACCAGAGGCCATCCCCACCATATCAACCGCTGCGTTCATCTCTCCACCACTTTGCACCTGGCCCCTGCTGCCAGCTCTATGTGCATCCCCGGCCACGTGCAGCGAGGGAACAGCCTCTCCCTCTTGCTGCACTCGCAGGGTGCTCGCCTGCCCACTCCCTGCCCGCCCCTCACCACCCGGCCTTGCCGCCTGCCTCTGTTTCCCCACCGCCCCACATACACTCGCCGCAACTTCTTCTCCTTCCTCCCTTCCATTCTCTCTCGCGCCATCACCCTCCTCCTCCTGCGGCTCGCCTGCGTCAGCCCCAACCGCCTGTGCCATGGAGTGGTGAGCACCCAGGTCCCAGCTGCCACTCGCACCCTCACTGCTCCCATCCCCCCCACTCTCACTCTCACTCTCACTCTCACTCTCACTCTCACTCTCACTCTCACTCTCACTCTCACTGCTGCTGCTGCTGCCCGTTGCTGCATCCATCCATGCCTCCCCATCCCCATCCAAAGTGCCGCTGCCGCTGCCACTGCCACTGCCACGGGCAGTGCTGCAGGCAGGGGTGCAGGAGAGCGGCAGGGGGGCTCCGGTGTAAGAGCAGCGCCACTGCCGCATCAGCCCTGCCAGCTGCCCGCCGCCCTCCAGCTGCATGCGCCACTGCCAGCCATCCTTCTTGTCGCCCTGCTGCTCCCCCTTCTCCCCATGCCCCCCCTGCTGCTCCCCCTTCTCCCCATGCCCTGCCTGCTGGTCCCGTTGTGGAGGGGGCGAGAGGGCGAGGGGAGGAGCAGCAGGCGGCACGGAGCCCCCCTGGGCGGCAGCAAGGGGCTGCCATGCATGTGAGGCGGGCAGCAGCGAGAGAGGCATGTCACAGCGCACGCTCACAGCACACCCCGCTCCCGTGCTGCCCGCGTCAGCAGCATCACAGGCCAGGGGGAGAGCGGGGCTGGCGAGGCGGGCAGGGGGGAGAAACCAGGCTGTGCGGTGGTGGGCGGGGAGAGGTGCACAGGGCACTTGAGCCCACCGCAGTGGGAGAGAGCGGGCACTAAGGTCAGTTCCCGTGTCAGTACCCATTACTGTAACTGTGCTCCTGTCTGTGGGTGTCACTGTGTCAGTCCCTGTAGCTGTATCTGTGTTAGTCCCTGTGTGTGCCTCACTGGGTGTGAGACTGGGAGGAGCAGCTGCAGTGGGGCACGGGAGCACGGACAGCAGTGCCACAGCCACGCGGGGCACCACCACTCTTTCCAGTGCCGCCAACACACCCACAGGCAACCCCACCCTGTCTGCTGCTGCTGCCGCCGCTGCTGAGGATGCTGCTACACAGGCAGGTGGGGACCCCTCTGCCGTCTCACCTGCTCCCGCCCCTCCCCTGCCACTTGTTATGGTGCCACCACCCTGTGCGGGTGAAGCAGCAGCAGGAAGGGGACCGTCCAGCTTGCGGCGCTTGATGGCAGGCAGCAGGGCGTGCGGGGGAATGACCACGCCCCACTCATTGATCACCACCTTCACCCGCGGCTTTGCCTTCACTGCCCCTCCCTCCCAGTCCTCCCCCCTCAGCCCCACCCCTCGCCCCCTCTCCTCACTGCCTTCCGGTCCCATGCTTGCTGGCGGCAAAGCAGAAGCGCCACCCACAACCCCTGGTCCTGCTGCCACAACACCACCAGCCGCTGACACGGCATGCTCTGCGGCAGTGGCAGCGAGCTGTTGACTGCTGCTGAAGGCAGGTCTGCTCACACCCAGGCTCGCCCAGCTGGCTGCTGCTGTGCCGGGGGTGGTGGGCAGCGCAGAGGGGGCAGCAGGGGGCGGCAGGGGGAGCAGGGAGTGGAGCAGGGAGGGGGGCGTGGCGGCAGGAGGGGCACCCAGCAGGGAGGGCGAGATGGATGGCGACGGCAACAGCCCCCCTGGCGTTGCCAGCAGCCCTGCCCCTCCCTTCCCAGGCGACCCCCCCCGCTGCTGCTGCTGCTGGTGAGGGCTCTCAGCGTGGTGGTGGGAGGAGCTGGGCGTGTGCTGCGCCTCATCTGCACGGGTGGGCTCGCGTGGAGAGGGGGCGCGTGCAGGGGCGGGCTGCAGCGGGCGGGGGCGCGCGGGGTGGAGGCGGAGGCGGCGCTGAATCACCCAGGAGGCGGGCTGCATGGCGTCCATAGGCAGCTCGCCCCGCCTGTAGAAGTGCTCCTCCTGGTGTGGCGCACGTGGGGGCGCGGTGGAGAAGGGAAGAGAGGGGGTCACAAGAAGGGAAGTGACAAGATGGAGAGAGAGAGAGAGTGAGGGCACACGATACTCTTGTGCACAACGGGGCCATGGGATGAGAGGAGGTGCGCGTGCCATGCAGCAGGTGTGGGCACGGTGAGCATGGGGGGAGTGGTGGGGTGCTGACCTGATCAGGAGTGAGGTGGTGGCGGAAGCAGCGGGCAGAGGGCAGGGGGCAGCGCCCCGCCACGTGGTCCAAACACAGGGACGTTGCTCTGTCCCGCGTGCGCCTGGAGGGGGGAGAGAGGACGGGGGGCGGGAGTGGGGAATGGGGAGGAGTTGAAGAGGTGACGTGGAACGAGAGGAGGGCGTGCAGGCAGCAAGGAGGGCGTGCAGGCAGGCAGCAGGGTCGCACCGCTTGGGGTGGTGGCGGGAGCAGGAGGCAGGGTTCTTGCAGATGCCGTATCTCAGCGCGTCCACACACAACCGCAGCCTCCTCGCCCTCGCCTCACCCTCCCCTGCGCCTTCAGCGGCGCTGACAGGTGCAGCAGGCGTGGAGGGCGAGAGTGGGTGAGTGAGGGAGTGAGATGATGCAGCAGGCGAGGGCGGATGGGCGGATGACGGCCTGCCTTGCTGGTGGCGCGGCGAGCTCAGGGGGCGAGAGAGAGCGCGTGAGTGAGAGTGGGAGTGGGAGTGGGAGTGAGAGAGAGTGCGGGGGTGGTGCTGCGACTCCTGCACACTGTGACCACCGCTGCCGGCACCCTCATTGCTGCCCTTCTCCCTCTCTCTCTCGCCCTCCTTTACTCTCGCCCGGTCCCTCTCCTTCTCCCTCTCCCGCTGCCTCTCCTTTTCCTTCTCCCATTCCCTCTTCTTTTCCCACTCCCGCTCCTTCTCCCTCTCCCTCTCCCTCTCCCTCTCCCTCTCCCTCCCACTCCCTCTCCCGTTCCCTCTCCTTCTCCCTCCCCCTCCCCCTCTCCCTCCCCCTCCCTGTCTCCCTCTCCTCCTCCTTTTCCCACTCCTTCTCCCTCCTACTCTCCTTATCCCTCTCCCTTTCCTTCTCCTTCTCCCACTCCCGTTCCTTCTCCCTCTCCCTCTCCCTCTCCCTCTCCCTCTCCCTCTCCTTCTCACCCTCTCTCTCCCTCTCTCTCTCCCGCTCCCCCTCCCTTTCCCGCTCCCCCTTCTCCCTTTCGCTCTCCTTTTCCCTCTCCCCATCCTCCCCTTTTTCTCTCACCCCCATTTTCTCGTTTCCCCTCCCCTCCCCCCTCTCCCCACACTGTTCCATCTCTGCGCCCCTGCCCCCTGGCATGTCTCTTCCCTCCAGCGCCCCATCTGCAGCTTCCCGGTTAGTCCCCACGCCACTGCCACCATCGCCATCCCTCCCAGGCGCCTCATCTCGCTCCTCTACAGACAACACACGCTCGCCCTCCCTCGCCGTCCCATCATCCCGCCCACTGCCCTGCCTGTTCATGTCTGCTCTCTCTTCCCCTTCCCCCCTGCCCTCCGTCGAAGCTGCCTCCGCATGCTGCTGCGTGCCCTTGGGCCTCTCTTTCGACCAGCCCCTCTCCCTAGATCTGCTGACATCCCACCGCTCACCTCTCTCGCTCTCCTTCAATTCATACCTTCTCCTCGCATCCTTCTCCCTCTCCTCATCCCTGTCCTTCTCCCTCGTCTCCCTCTCTGACTTCCTCTCCCGCACTCGCTCGTCATCCCGTTCCCACCCTCCATCCCTATCTCTGTGCCTTCCCCTCACGCCTCTCTCTGCGGTTCCGCCCCCCTCCCACGTCCCCTTGTGTCTTTCCTTGGAAACGGCCAAGCCACCAGAGCCCCCAGTCCACGCGTCCCTCCGCCTCTCCACCATTCCCTTCTCGTTTCTTTGCTCATAACCAGCTGCACCACTGCTGCCCCGCCCCCTCCCACCCTGCCTCTCACTGCTCCAATCTTGGTGTCTCTCCCCTCTTCGCCTATCCCTCTCCCCCTCATGCAACCGTGCTCTCTCACTGTCCCTTGCTCTCTCATTTCCCCTTTCCTTCTCACCTGAACTCTCCTTCTCTCTTTCTCGCTCCTTCTCTTGTTCGATCTCGCCCCCTCTTCCCTTCTCTGTCCTCCTTTCCCTATCCCTCCCCAACTCACACATCCGCTCCCTTTCTTTCTCTTCCGCCGCTCCATCCCTCTCCTCCCACTTAACCTTCTGCCTCCATTCCCAGTCGATATTCCTGGCTGGTTCTTGACCCTTCTCCTCGTTCTCCTCCTCCACCACCTCCACCCTGTTGGAACCTGGCTTCCTCGCCCCTGCATCGGCTGTGCGTGTCGTGTGACCAGCTCCCACACACGCCTTCTTATTGTAAGCTTCAACTTCACCTTCTCTCGCCCTTGCCTCCTCAGCTGGCCGCTCCTTCTCCTCTGAGTAAATGCCTTCCCTTTCTATTTCTCGTTCTCCACGTTTACCACTTGTCTCCCTCTCTCTCTCTTCATTTTTCCACCTCCCCTTCCTCTCCCTTTCCCGTTGCCACCGCCTCTCCCTTTGTGCCCATTCACCATCCCTATCCCGCTCTCCTCCCATCCCTCTCTCCCTTTCTTGCCTTGCCCTCACCATGCATTTCCCACCGCCCCTACTCCACTCCTCTTTGGCTACTTTCCGCCTCTGCCTGCCCTCGTCCACCCTCTCCTGCTGCTCCTTGCCCTCCTCTCCGCCCCTGTCCCCTGTCGCCCTGCCACTGCTGCTCGCCCCAAGCGCGTGCGAGTGCTGCTCCTCTCTCCCTCGCGCACTCACTTCCACAGCCCCGCTCCTCGCCCTCACTGCCCTGCTGCCCTCCTCATCCCTGCTGACACTCACTCTACGCTCACTCCACTCCTGCTTCCCACTCCCACCCTCCTTGCTCTCCACATCAGCCCCCTGGTCGTCTGCCCGCCTGGCCTCCGTTTCTCGCCCTCCGCGCCCCCTCCCCTCCCCCACTTCCCATGCTGCGCGATGCCCATCCCTGCCCTGAGCGCCTCTTCTCCTCTCGCCCGCTCTCTCTGGCAGTACATCAGAACCCGTCCGTCCCCCACACGGCTGTGCAGGGCGCACAGGCGCGGCCGCCAGTGCGAGCACGACAGGCATCGGCCCGTGCGGCCACTCAACGCCCACCTCACGCCCTACTGCCCTGCCACCCGCCTCCTTCCCTCCTCCTGTCCTCCTCATGCCTCTGCTCCTCCGCCCCCTGCCCCCACCCTCTGTACTCAGCCCTCTCGATACAGTGCCCCGACCTGCACCCCTCCGCTGCCCGTGCCTCCGCCTGTGCCTGCCAGGGCTGCCCCAGGACGGGTCATCCTCGCCACTGCTAGCGCCGCTCGCATCACTCCTCACCTCCCCACTCGCCTCACCATCGCTCCCATCGCTCCCACTGCTGCTGCTGCTGCACGTGCTGCTGCTATCACTGCTCTGGCTGTCACTGCTGCTGCTACTGCTGCTGCTACTACAAGGGGCACGGCGAGTTGAGGGCGCATATCCATTCGCCTGTGCACCCCTGGCCCCCCCTGCCACACGCCTGCCACATGAACCCTCACCACCCACAGCACCCACAGCAGCAGCAGCAGTGCCTCTCACGCTCATGCGCTCGCCGCCCTCCCCACCGCACGCCAACAACTGTTGGCCTGCCTTGCCACCTCCCTCACCCCCCTGCCGCCTCTCTGCACCTCCACCGCCCTCCCTCATTCGTCCCCTCTGCAGCGCGCCACAGCTGTCATCCCCTCTGCTGCCCCGCTCCTGTGATGTATGATGTGTCTCCATGCTCCTCCCACGCCCTCGCCCCCCTCCTGCCGCATACCCATGCCCGTCTCGCCTCCTCGCTGTCCCCATCCGCCCCCCTGCCCTCGCCCCTCGCTGCTTCCTCCTGCCCTCGCCCTGGCCCTCGCTGCTACTGCTGTCACCACTGCTGCTAATGGAGCTGCTGCCGCTGCTGTCGCTGTGGCTCACGCTGGACGTCGTGCTGCCGCCACTGCCCCCCTCACTGCCCCCCTCACTGCCCCGAACACAAGCGCCCTGCCCCCTTGTTGCGCGCACCCCTTCACCCATCCTTCCCCTTGCACTGCCGTGCCTGCCCGCCTCTGCGCCCAGCATTTCGCGCTCGCCCAGATCGCCCTGCCACGCCTTCCCTGCTGGCTCAACACTGGGGCTTGCCACGCCGCCCCCACCTGCGCTGCTCCGCACAGGCGCGCAGCCTGGGTCTGGCAGCAGCAGAGGGGCAGCACATGCAGCACGCACCGTCTCAGCAGCTGCAGGAGCGGCATGGTCGGCAGGGGAAGCAGCATTGGGAGCAGCAGGGGGGGAGGTAGTGCTGTCCTCCCGTGGGATGCCAGTGCTGTGCGCGGTGGGGCTTGAAGCCGTGGGGCTGCGAGGGGTAGGGCTGGATGGGGTAGCGCTGGGAGCAGTAGGGGTGGGAGGAGCTGATGCAGTGAGGGCAGAAGCAGGAGGGGGTGGCGCAGAGGGCAGTGCAGGCATGGATGGGCTGTCGGCCACAGGTGCAGCAGCACCTTCTCCCGTGCCTGCCGCTGCCGCCTCTGCTGCTGCCCCTTCCAGAGTAAGTGGGGGTGCAGGCAGCATGGGTGTCCCACTGACCGCAGCGATGGCGGGTTTTGGCACGCAGGGCAGTACAGATGGCAGGGCAGGCGAGGTGAGGGGTGACGTGAGGGGCGTGCAATGCACCCCATTGCCAAGGGCAGCAGCAGCAGGTGTGGTTGCGGCAGTGTGGGGCATGGGAGGCGAGTCGTGAGAGGCATGGCGTGGTGGGGCTGTGTGAGGGTGGCCGTTGGCCGTGGCAGGGGGAGGGGGTGGGGGAGGCAGTGGCAGCGCAGCGTGTGCAGCATCGGCAGCACCTTGACCATCCTGCCACACCACACAAGGCAGGTGAATGTGGGCAACTTCAAGCATCAACCAAAACACAACAAAAAAGCACTGATATGATGATGAAGTGGAAGCGTGCGGGTGCTGAATGCTGACCTCGGGAGGGGGGGCGCCTCCACAGCGTGCATTCCAGGCGGTGAGGAGGTTGAGCAGGTAGGCGTAGTCTGGCTTGTCCGCGTACTGCAGCACTTGTAGATGGTCCGCGAACGCCTGGTGGGTAGGATGGCATACAAAAGCAGTTGATGGATGGGCTAGGATGGCATGCAAGGAGTGCGGTCGGTGGGCAATGTGGGAAACGGAGGGAGAGGCAGAGACATCGAGCATGGTGGGGTGGCAGGGCTGGCAAGGGTGGCAAGGGGTGTCAGGGGATGAAGGGGCGGCGGACTCACAGAGAGCTCCTCAGGGAAGGCAACGGACTTGGTCATCTGCTCCGGGTGGTCAAAGAAATACAGCTTCATCTCCTTCACCCTCTCCTGTTGGCGTGTACACACACACATGCACACACATCCACATGCATGCACGGATACACACATGCACACATACACGCACACACACACACACCCTCCCTCCCAACACGTGTACGTAGATCATTGCACACACAGCAGGGCGAGGGACACAGTGGGTGGGGAAAACACATGAGGTCCAGGCATGGCAGTGACATGTATGAGCCCAATGCAGCGGTGCAGAACATGCACTTTCTTGCTAGGAGCACACTTATCACCTTCTCGTGCACGTGGCGCCAGGGCAGCTCACCTTCTCGTGCACGTGGCGCCAGGGCAGCTCACCTTCTCGTGCACGTGGCGCCAGGGCAGCTCACCTTCTCGTGCACGTGGCGCCAGGGCAGCTCACCTTCTCGTGCACGTGGCGCCAGGGAAGCTCACCTTCTCGTGCACGTGGCGCCAGGGCAGCTCACCTTCTCGTGCACGTGGCGCCAGGGCAGCTCACCTTCTCGTGCACGTGGCGCCAGGGCAGCTCACCTTCTCGTGCACGTGGCGCCAGGGCAGCTCACCTTCTCGTGCACGTGGCGCCAGGGCAGCTCACCTTCTCGTGCACGTGGCGCCAGGGCAGCTCCCCATCGAGGAACTCCACGAGCACGTAGAAGAGCGACCACAGGTCGTCCCTCCGCCCCAGGTCCTGCCCCCACCCACACCACACGGCACGACACGGGGCGCAGCAACAGGGGAGAGAGCAGGACCCGGCGCGGAGAGCTTGATTGATGGGGCAGGTGGATTAGAGGAGGTGACGAGCGGTGCAGCACAGCATGCACACGTGGAAAGCACTTGCGTCACGGAACGCAAGCTACGGGCACGCAGGGGTGGCATGGTGCATACCATGAGCAGGTGCGAGTGCACGGAGGCGTAAGCGGTGGAGCCGCGGAACTCAGCGAGCTGGCGCGCGGGGTGCACGCCATGCGAGGAGCGGAAGCGCTTGCTGATGCCAAAGTCAATCACGAAACACTGCGCCTGCCGCGCCCCCACACCCATCGCGAAGTTGGACTGCTCGCACACATGCGCCATGGGAGGTGGAGGGGGTTGTAAGACAATATGCATGGATGATGGCGTTGGGATGGGGATTGGTGCATGGGGGAAGTTTGGGAGGGCAGGGAATGCATGGAGGGGTTGACGCGAAAAGGAAGGGCAGTGATGACACAGGTAGGCATGGCAAGGCGATGCAGACGAGGGAGGGGGGTGGGCGGGCACTGACGGGTTTGACGTCGCGGTGCAGGAAGCCGTGGTCGTGCATCGTCCTCAACGCCCTCAGCATCTGCCCGCCCAGTGCGCACACCAGCAGGGCAGGGGAGAGGGAGGGAGAGGGAGGGGCCGAGGTTTGGTAATGATGGACAGGGGTGGGGGAGAAACAGCAGTGGGACGGACCCCGGGGTAATAAGCAGCTGAATGCACCATGCAACCCCCATTCGGCCCTCACCCTCCCTTGCCAGTCCCACGCGCGCCCACAGCGCTGCTGCCAAGCACCCC